TGCGGGTGCTGAAGGTGCCGAAAAGGTGCTGAAGGTGCTGAAGGTGCTGAAAAGGTGCTGAGGTGCTGGGGGTTCCAAACCTGCACTTTCCCCCTTGGTGATACCTCTCTAGGTCTTAAAAGTTATTTGATTAGATCATCATTGTTAAAAATAAAATTTTGTAGTAATCAAATAGAATATTAAATTAATAAGAACATTGGTTGAGATGATTATTTTATTTAGACAACAATTACATAATCATTTTGTTCTTTGTAAAATGTAAAATTGCAATAAAACTTTAAGCATGTACTCAACAAAGTACTACAGAACAAAATAAGGTGGATAGGCTTCTTGTTGTGGATAAAATTGAACATGATCTGGTGAAGTTGACGGTTTCGTCGAATAGTTCATAAATGTAACTGGTGCTTGATAACCAGGTGTGGAGGGATTTACCATACTTTGAGTGCTCGAACGAGTTAAAACACTATTTGGTTGCTCTATCTGCTGTTGTTGCCAACTGTTTGAACTAGTTTGTTGATCGAGCGAATAACGAAATTGCCATGGTTTTGACGATGATTCTCTTTCGATAATAGTCATACTACAATAATCAACTTTACCAGCAAGTTCAGCAAGTCTTTCAGGTCTTGGTTGTCCATTCATTAAATGTCGTGTAAGTACTTCAAGACTAGGTGCATGTGCAACAAATAATATAGTACCACCTGTATTTCGATGTAATTTGATAATTTTTTTCATTGTTTCTTTTGAACGATCATAGTATTGATATTCATTTTCTAATAATCGAAGACTATTCATTTGCGAACTATAATTTGTATCAATATTAAAGCCACCATTAATTAATTCATTATCGGACATAAAGTTAATTGGTGATCGAGCATACCAAGATGTACATTCGAATAGACCGAGTTCTAGTCGTAATGCAACGTGTCCTAAATGATCGAATAGACGAATATCTATTTTTCTTTCGCATCTCATTAAATAAATACTGATGTTTACCTTTCCGACCCATGCCTTCAAGAATACGATCAGCTGTTTGAATACTACGAAAAGCAGGTGATGAATAACATGCTGTCACCGGTAAATTATATCGTGCAAGAACATTACCAACATTCCATGATTGAGCTAAACCTTTTACAGTTAATGGAGTATCAATATCATAGTCTAACCAATTAGCTCGATGTGGTAATGATGGTGGCATATTGGAGTCAAAAGGATAATATCGACCACTTTGATCAAATGCTCGTTGTGTCCAACCACCGCCATATGTCACATCCACACGCTCTCCATGACGAATAATTATAAAACGAAGAGGTGCACTGCCTCCTTCACTACCAGAACCGTATGATGAACTGTAATAACCAGATTCATCGATATCTCCTCCTTCCATATCGTATTTTGATGTTTCACGTTTATTACTGTGTCCAAATAAGAGACCTGATGGGTCCAAATATGCATTAATTTTTGCATACATTTTCTTTGTTCTGGAAATGAAAAATCCTAAGAAAAATAGATTTACGTGTGTAACTTTTCTCAAAATGATTGCAAGGAAATATTATTTATACAAATAACTTTTCATTTTTTTTAGAAAAGTCTATTGCTATCGCATTATGCATGGGAAATAATCGAAATGCAGTCACTTGACTATTACCTTCTTTTTCTCTCCTTTCAGATTATTCGTATACAAAATGAAAGAAAATGATGAGCCATGACAACGACAAGTAGCCAGGTGGTAGGTATCTTATCTGTCAAAACAGTAATAAGTATATAGATATGTATACAAAAAAAAAATCTATCGAGGACGAATATATAATGGGTGACTGCTTTTTTTGTATTAGTCGCTCTCTTCTCAATATCATGAATAGGAAAAGAAAAAAAAGAAAAACCGTAAGCATGAAAATCTAATCATCATGAACACTGTGAACTTGAATGTTGTTGTCCTTGTTAATCAATCGTGATTCATCTTTGCATTGATGAACAATATTTCCATGATATTCATAATAGTAAACAATACACATATTTCTTATCGTTTTCGAAACGATAAAAATAATTTCGCGTAAAAGACAAACACCATATCCTATCATATTCTTTCATCCATCGCCTTTTAATAGATAATAGTATTGCTGATTAAATTTTTTATAGTGCCTATTTCCAATACAACGGAGATCAATATATGCTATAAAACTTTCAACCAACATAAGACTGGTAGTTTAGACACGATGGTTAATGCATATATGTGTCAATATTAATACATTAGCAGTGGAAAAAAACGAATTTTTAACAAGAACAAAAAAAATAATCTAATTAATGGCGAAATAATATCTGACAAAGACGAAGACAAAGACAACGAAAATGAAGATGACACATTCATCATCATAAATTGTTCTTCATAGAAGCAATACGTCGTCGACAACATGCTTGACAAAGTAGGATATCACCTAATGGGTAACAACGACGATCCGGTTCATCATTCAATTGCAAGGAACAATCCTAAGAAAAAAGTTTCAATTTTTAGTTGTAAATATTTCTATGATGTATTTATATAACGAAAAATTCATACTTGGCATTGATAACATTGAACATGAAATGTTTTGCCCATGGAAATAATTCTCACAGTTTCATTTGAACCCTAAAATTATACAAAAAAATAATTCTAATCAATATCATAAGCTTTATCTAACATCTTCTGGACAAATCGGATTTGAACATTTATCACATCGGGGTCCATACGTCCTAAACATCAACCGATAATGATTTTTATTTTCATTTCAACAAGAATAACTTACATATGATAGTCATGCAAACAAAACAAATTTTGATTTTTATCCGTTATAAAAGGAATTTCATCTAAACAAATCGAACATTTCGAACATTTAAAACATGTTAAGTGATAGGATTGACCAAGCGCTTGTAAAATCTATGTTGAATATAAATAAAAGCTAATTCATTTTAATTTGAACTACTACTCATACTGTATCAGTAATTAAATGGCCACAAGCAATACAATGTTCTAGTGTTTGATGAAAACCTGTATACTAGAAATATAGAGAAATAAAAAAGAAATAAATTTTTGATTAAAAAACTATTATTTACCAAAAAGTCTTCTTCACAATACAATTGGTCTTTAACAAAAAAATGTTTATTTTTTACTGATCGTCCACATAACACACACACAGCACAAAAGCTATGATAGATTTGACCAGCTATATCACATGCATCATCAGAATTTGCTACTATTTCGCCGCATTTTCGACAATGACCAATAGAATATTCTCTCTTGATTGGTCCATTCATTGTATCATGTTTATGATGATTATTAATCGAAAGTGAATGAAATTGACTTTCGAGTGTGTGAGGATCAGCAATATTATTTCGTTTTACGGTTGATGATATAACAGGAGATCGATACACCATTTGATTAGTTGGTTTCGGTGATGCTGATGCATTAAAATCAGAAATAATTACTGAATTTGACTGATGACATACAGGTGAACCTCGTGGTGGAATAACTGGTGGATGAAGTGGATAACGTGGTGGTGGTGGTGGAGGTGGTGCCATCGGTTGATCTCGAGATAATGGTTGAGTTAAATAAAGTTGTGTTGTATTAAGATATGTTGTAGTTGTTTTCATTCCACTTGGTGAGCATTGAGGTAGAACATTTGTCCGATGAATAGTATTACTAGTATCATTTGTTGTTGTTGTTGTTGTTGATGTTACTTTTGGCATACGAGCAGGCGGTGGAGGTTTTGTATCTGAACTCCGATGTGGTGAAACAAACGAATAATATCCTTCTAAATAATATATATATATATATATATATATAAATATAAGCTAAATATTTAGAAATGTATATTATGGATCTTCATATTACCTGCTGCTGTGGACTGTTGTCTTTGATAATGATTTGATTCATTGGGTGTTGATGGTAATGAATAGGATATAAATGGTGCTATGGTTGGATTTGGACTACTTTGCTGTTGATGATTTGAATAATAATTAAATGAAGGTGAATGAAGTGATGATCTAGAGCTTTGACGATTAGCTAAAGCTTTATTAAAAATACTTTCTTCATATGAGGGTGGTGGATGATTTGGTTTTGGTGATGCTTGTGGTGAAGATGATAATGATGATTGTATTTTAGGTGATGATGATGATGATGAAGTTTCCCAAAGAACATTTGTTATATCAGGACGTGATGATGGTGAAACAACAGAATAAAAAGTTTGTTGTTTACCCGGAATAAAATTTCGATTATCGAATGCGTTTGCCATTGGGACACTGTTTGTGTTTATGTTTCACCTGATCTCGTATTGAAGAGAACGTAGAAAATAATTTAGAAAGTGTCTTCTCTTAAATGAATGAACTAGAGCGACATTGGAATGTGTGGAATGTGATTATATATATCATACGTGTTTGTTCTCCATTCGGATTAGAGCGATATTTTTCTTCCTTCTTCGTTCGCTTTGAACGTTTTCTTTGTTTTTTTCTTTCTCTACGACATCGTCGTTTAATTGCAAAATGCCACACGAAACGAATCGATATAAAATGAGAGAATAAGACGACAGATTTTTTTTCCTTCTCTTCGCATATACACTCCATAATATCGACATCAAGCTGTGCGTATACACGTATACATGATCGACTTAAAATTCCAATTCACGCCTTTAACTATTGTAGTAGGGAGAGAGAAAACAAAATGCCAAGCAGATGGATCAGTCAGGACAAGATTATCTAATATTATGCACATTCATTCGTTTTATTTTGTTCGTAGCTCGAATCATAGTTCTTATTGAACAATTTGTTCCGCGATTGATCATGAGAAAAAACATAATGACAAGTGACTTCTGAAATTTCACACGAACAAGACAAAAATTATTTCCCAAGCAGAATTACATAGAAAGAAGAACTCTTTCATACTACGTTATTGCTGTTGAAACTCGTTTAGCTATTATCTTTTTGCAAAGAATGCAATAAGTATTTTTGTAATTATATTATATAATTAGTACTTTTGACTGCTATCAAAGCAAGGTATGATTATGTTACTTAATATCAAATTCGATTCTTTTTAACATTGATAAAAAGTAAAGCAGTATTGATGTCGAATGACTATTAATCAAAAGTTCAATTGACATTTTTTTGACATATGAACATCTGAAGAAAACGAATTCTTTGTCAAAATGATCAATCGAACAAATAAAAACAAATAAATATTGCAGAAACTCAATTGTTTATTCATTGTGACGATGATGTCACTCCTAGAAACAGTTTGGCTCGTACAGAAGAGAAAATATAAATGAAATATTGTTTATTTGATCATATTTTCATAGCCATTCAAATCAAATGTATGTACATGCTATTTTCCAGACAGAACAACCTCTCTCATGTTCGTTACATTATCCTTGATTGAATGAAGATACAACGAAACATTGTGAATTATGACATGAATGGCCATGTGCTATATGATTTAGTGATTACTCATCTCAAACATATTTTATTTTTGATGATAATAGATTAAAAATCCAATTAATATTGACAGCTGGTTGTTTTAGATTTCTCTAATGCAACAAAAAGTTTAATCTCTGTTTTTTTCACATAACACGAGTTATTTATAATACTGAAAATGTCTTTCTTTAATTTTATGTCGAAATGTCCTTCTCTAATTAAATAGTTCGCATGAAATCGGTATTTATTAATCATCTGCTGTTTGTTCAAATAGCGCTCTGACAATATGATTACGATTGAATAATTCCGTGCGTATATGTTGTCCTGTATCCCAATCATAAAAGTTTGTTGCAATAAGTTGAAAATCAGAATCATTTGCAGTTGATAATGAATTTTGATAATAACTCTTTCCGTAAATGCGAACGGTTTTATTAGAACCAAGCTGAAATTCAGGAAATGTATAACTAATACGTCGGCCATCAACTACGCGTTCAATAAACCATCCAGTAAGGTTTTGTAGACGATTGCCTATATTTTCAATTTCAACAAAACCACCTTGAACATTAGCAATTTTAATAATAATTTTTCCTGAATAAAAACTTTTACATAAATTCTAAAAGCTTTCTTTTTATTCTGACCTTTGTATTTACGTTTATAGTGCACTATACTTTGCACATAATTTTCGTCAAGTTCAAGTGATCCTTGATCGTTTTGATTCATACTCATACACTTTTGTTGGTGTTCGCTCATCTCATGTGCAAATGTTCGTGTTGTTGGCATTTTTACCATTTGATTTTGGTCAATTGTATTTTTCTGATTTTCATACTGATCACGATTAATATTTTCATCCAATGTTATTGAAATATTATCACTCAACATAGATGGATGTCGATAATCTAGTGTATGATCAATATCAGCAGTTCTTGTAATACTGGGTCTATGCAGTTGAGAAAGATTTGATCCATTTTGAGACAAGCAATCATTCTCTTTCCGATATAAAGAATTTAATAATACTTCATAGATTTTTAATTCCTGACCAATATCAAAACGAATTGTATAAGCTAATTGATCTAGTTGATCTTTTAATTCATAGTATTCTGCAAGTGCTAAATTAATATCATGTTCAAGACGAGCATATTGCTCGGTACGTTTCAGTGCTTCTATTTTTGCTTGATTTTCAAGATCTACTAATGCCCATCGTTTGTGTTGAATTTTCTCAGCTAATATTCGATAATCAGATTCAAGACTGCCATATTCTTTTGTATGTTCACCAAGAAGATTCTCAAAATGTAGAATATGTTCTTGATATTGTCGTTCATCTAAAGAGAAAAAGAAGATTAAATTTTAATTTGAATAATTTTCATGAATACCTAAATTCATATAAATTTTATTTGATATGCTTGTAAATTTTCTTGTCAAAACTATTTCGACATGCATTTGTTGCTCTTTAAGCATTTGTTCATAGTCGATTTGTAATTGTTGTTGCATTGTTTCTAGAGAATTCTGATAAAAATGTCTTGACTCTTGCAATAAACTGTTTAATAAACGATTCCATTCATTAATTTCTTCTTGATAATATCGTAACCGAAGATTATAATGCTCTTTAAGTAATTGAATTTCATTTAATAAAGTTTGTCTATCTAATGCCATTTGTGTCCATTCTGATAGATAACAAGAAAATCGAATTGATTCTTCTCGATAATCATCACCATAAGATTTTATTTGATCATTACATATACCAAGTCCCAGATGAATTTCGTTTAAATCATGATCTAATTGATTGATTAAATAAAATAACGTTTTATGCTTTTCATTATATGAATTTATTATATCAAGAAAACTAGTTTGAATACGATTTGTTAATTTTGTTTGTTCATCAAAACTTTTGATTTCAACTTCTTCAATTATTTTACGATGATTTTCTTCTGATAAATATAGTATCATACTATCAAGTTCTTGAAAAAGAGATCCACAATTTTCTTCAACCAAACTCCCATTGGTGATTAATGTCTTAAGATCATTGTTTAGATTTTTATTTTCTGATTTCAAATCGTATAAATAATCAAGTAAATCTTCAAGACGATTATTTAATGAATGAAAATAAAGTTTTTCATCAGCATCTTGTTGTTTTACACCTGTTAAATCGTTCACAATCTGTGCAATTAATATATTACTATCATGTATTGGATGATAACTACCAAACAACGACAACGGTTCCATTGAATAACATTGATTTAATGACATAGTAAAATCTTTGTATACTGTTCGAAACATTTGTGGTTACTACATGTTCTTACTTAGTACAAAACTAAAAATGCTCAATCCTTTGTCAACCAAATATTCATTTAAAGATCATTGCTATTTCATTGCTATTTCTTTTGTATTCAACTGTATTCATGATCGTGTTCTCTACATAGTCAAATGGTTTTATTCAATGAAGAGAAGAAGAGAACGTGCTTTTTATTCGTGCAAGAATTTCTTTCCTAAGAAATAAAAACGTCAACAATGAAAATAGTAAATAAAAAGAAACAACAACGATAACATAAGAACACGCAGAAATCACACACACACACAGAAGCAAACAGATTCTTCAATGCATTCGTATTCATTACATGCATTCATCTCCATGTCGACCTTTCTTTTCTTCTTTATCAAGTTTAATCATATCATCAATACGTAAAATAGTAATTGCTGCTTCTGTTGCATATTTCAATGATTTTATTTTTGATACAGCAGGTTCAAATACACCAAATGATTTACAATCGCGTACTTTTCCAGCTTGAAGATCTAATCCAAACCATTTAAGTTGTTCTTTATCCTTTTGTGTTTGTGATGCATTATGATATGCACGAAGTTTAGCAACAAGTTCTGTTGCATCTTGTGCGGCATTAACACTCAATGCTTTAGGTATTGATAAAAGTGCTGTTGCAAATTCAGCAATAGCCAATTGTTCGCGTGAACTCTAAAGTCAAGAAGATATTGATTAGTTTCCTCATTGAAATGAAAAGATTAGAAAAATACATACAACTGTTGTAGCAAAATTTTCTAAATAAATTGAAAGTGCTGTTTCACAACAACCACCACCAGGTACGACTTGTTTCGATTCCAATACACGTTTAATAACACATAATGCATCGTGTACAGAACGTTCGATTTCATCACACATGAAATCATTTGCACCACGTATTATAATTGATGCAGCTGTACGTGCCTTTGGTCCTCGAATAAGAATGAGTTCATCATCACATATACGTTCTTGAACAACTTCATCAGCACTTCCAATAATAGATGCATCAACTGATTCATCACCTTCCATATTTGCTAAAGCTGTTAATAATGTTGCTGAAAACAAAAGAACACACCAGAGAAGAATAATATGAATCAACAAATTCCACAAATAAAAATCTCACCTCCTGTTGCTTTAGCAATTCGTTTTAAATCTGCTTTTTTACAACGTCTGACTGCCATTGCTCCAGCTTCGACAAATTGTTTCAAACAAAGATCATCAATACCACCTGTTGTTAATATAACATTAGCTCCAGCATTAAGCAATTTAGCTACGCGTTCTTTAGCAATATCAGTTTCTCTAAATAGATTTGATTTCATGTGAAAAACTGAAATGAAATTAGCAAAATTTCGTACCTTCTTCGAATTGCTTCGAGTTTTTCAGGATCTTCAACAACAATTTGCACACCTAATTTCATTCGTACTTTTTGTAAACTGAAATCCAAACATGCAATTTTAGCATTTGCTATTCGTTTTGTCATTAATTGTGATGCAACTGTACAATTAAGTGCATAACCAGATATTAAAATACTTTCATGTGTTGAACGACCATGAGCTTTTAAAACATTTATTGACTTAATTGGTACGACTATTCTTTCTTTTTCATTAAATTTAACCAAATTTGCTGCATCAACACACATTTTAGCAAAAAAATCTGCATCCCTAGATTAAGAATAAAACTGAAAGCATAAAAAATCAAAATCTTTATTTCAAATACTAACATTCCAATAACTTTACTGGCCATTGATGTTTTAGCAACATTAATTAAACATTCACTACCTAATTCATCAACAGGTATGACCATTTTATCTTGAATATATTTCACCGCTAATCTAGAATGATAGCCAATTTTGTTTTTCTATGAAAGAGAACAACATGGTTAGTGTCTTACTTGCACGCAAGTTTATAGCCACTAATAACAGATGTTGGATGAATCTTTTGTTTAACAAGTTGATCAGCATTTTTTAATAATTCAGCAGCAATAATAACCTTTGAAAAATTTTAGTTTCTTGCCATAAGAATAAAAAAAACAAGAATTCTTTAACATACTACACTAGTTGTACCATCACCAACTTCTTGATCTTGTAATTGAGCTAATTCAACTAAAACTTTTGCAGCCGGATGTTCAACTTCTAATAGTTTAAGAATAGTGGCCCCATCGTTTGTAATCGTTACGTCCTAAATTATTTGAAAATACATTTTGTTTTACTAATTTTTTTTAAATAAATGTAATTTACTCCAATATCATCAACAAGCATTTTATCAAGGCCAAGTGGGCCCAATGATGTTCGAACAATGTTAGCAATTGTCATAGCAGCCAAAACTAGATAATTAAGAGGCAAAGAATAATAGGCAAATTATTTTAAACCTACGAACCATTTTGAGTACGAACTGAATCACCTTGAAAATTAAAAAAAAATACACAGAAGACCAACTTATTTTTATTTGAAATATTCAATTCTTTATTTACCTGTAATACGTTCACCACCGAGCGATAATGTACCTTCAGTCATTTTATAAACTAATGAATAACTATCTGAAATAGAAAAGATACAAACATATCGACTAGTTACCAACACAGTGGTATATTGTGTCTAGATTTTATTTTGAGAAATGTAAAGAAAAACATAGTTTTGCAAACATAATATGAATAACTGTAGTCCAGTAAGATTGTTTAGTTAGCTCTAGATAGATGTCAGTAGAATCATTAATGAAAAAGTCAATTGAAGGAACAATTGTATGTCACATGGTAGTTCATTATGTTTACTTCTTCCTGTTCTGGGTCGCCCGTCAATGTGGAAATAAGAACAATATGCTCAGTTAATAATATAAATAAAGCAGCGAATAGCCTACGACTCATTGTTGTTCTTTTAACGAATTAAAGTACTTTTTCTTTTTGCAAATCAATAAAAACAAAGTGGATCTCCTTATTCATCCATCACTAGCTGTTGCAGCTGCAGCTGCAGCTGCATCATCATCATCACGAATGATTTCGATTTCACCACCACCTCATTCACATAGTCCACCGTCAAGTGGTGCATCAACATCAAATGGTGGTGGTTCTTCCTCCGATGCATGTAATGGAATTGTTGCAAATCTTTTATGTCATCGACAACGAACAAATGGTGAAAGTGAAACATTTGCTAAACGAGCTATCGAAAGGTAAATATTCAAGAAACAGTAGGTGTTAATCAAAAGAATTCAATACTATTTTCTTAACTAGTTTGGTGAAAAAACTTAAAGATAAAAAGGATGAACTTGATGCATTGATTACAGCAGTAACATCAAATGGACAACTGCCAACAAAATGTGTAACTATTCAAAGAACACTCGATGGAAGATTACAAGTATTCAATTTTATATATCTATTGTCATATACATTTTTTAAATGTTTTATTTAGGTTGCCGGTAGGAAAGGTTTTCCACATGTTATTTATGCTCGTATATGGCGTTGGCCTGATTTACATAAAAATGAGTTAAAACATTTAAAAATCTGTCATTTAGCATTTGATCTTAAACAAGAATATGTTTGTGGTAAATTTTTTTTCTTTTTGATAACGATTTTTCAATCTTCATAACATTTATATATGTATATAAATTGAATATTTTAGTAAATCCATATCACTATGAACGTGTTGTTTCACCTGGAATAGGTAAAAAATATTATTGCTTTTTCTTCGGAAAACTTTAATTTTCTTATTAAAATATTGAATTATTTTCTAAACAAAAAGACTTAGCAGGAATGCCACTGGTACCTCGTTTTCAATTACTCGGCCATAGTGATCCATCTTCGTCGAATGATCGTGATCTTTATTCAACATCTGATGGATATCGTTATATGAAAGGTTATTAAAAACATTTTTCTGAACTGTTTTATTTTAAGTAATTTTTCTGTTTTGTTCTTTTTATATAGATTATATAGATGAACAAAATTCACCACAAGCAATAGGTGCCATTCAACATCCTGCACCGGATACAACTAGTCCTAGTCCACCACATCAATATGCTGCCAATGGAAATACTGTTTCTACTGTTAGTAGTTTTCCTGCAACATTACTTCCACAAGGTAAACAGAAAATCATTAATTATATCAATATAGAAATATACTATATCCTTTGAAGATGGCAATGTTCCTCTATGGGCACAATCAGCATCAGCCTCAACTAGTAGCTTATGTAAGTTGTTTGAAAGATATTACCTTAATCTAATATTTATTATTATTATTATTATCAAGGGCAACAACATACACTTGTTCCGACAAGTGTTCCATCAATTCAACCGATAACATTAATAAATAATATTGGTGAATATTGGTGTAGCGTAGCTTATTATGAACGTGATGTTCAAGTGGGTGAAACATTTAAAGTTCCAGATACATTCAAAGAAGTGACTATTGATGGTGGAATGGATATGACTACAGTTGGAGATCGATTTTGCTTAGGACCTTTAAGTAATGTTTATCGTACAGAAGCTAGCGAAAAAGCAAGGTATAGATTTATGCGAGAAAATGTTTAAGAAAACAAATTTGTATCACTCATTTAGACTACATATTGGTAAAGGTATTCGTGTTGAGTGTCCAAATGAAGGTGATATATGGATACGATGCAATAGTGAACAAGCCGTTTTTCTTCAATCACATTATCTTGATCGTGAAGCTGGCCGAGCACCAGGTGATGCTGTTCATAAAATTTATCCTCAAGCTTGTATAAAAGTATGTAAATATTTAAAGAATAAAGACGATGTTTCTTGCGCCTAGACTTTTCTATTCATTGAATATTTTGAAATTCATTTTTATTAGGTTTTTGATATACAACAATGTCTTTCTCAAATGGATCAACATGTAAAAATGGCATTACATACTCGAATGCAACAGCAAATTCATGGTCAAGCAATACCACCGTCAGCCAATTTAAGTGTGGATGATTTAAGACGTTTGTGTGTGTTAAGACTTAGTTTCGTAAAAGGATGGGGACCCGATTATCCAAGGTGAGATCTACTCAATTGGAAATAATAATTTTTTACAAATTTTTGTTGGCACTATTATTTTTAGACAATCCATCAAAGAAACTCCATGTTGGATTGAAATACAAATTCATCGGGCACTTCAATTACTCGACGAATTCTTTAATTCAATGAATTTTCAATCAAATGTTACAAGTTCATCGTCGAATCCGTCCGTATCGAGTAACAACAGTAGTTCATCACATTCAACGACATCAATCGAATCTGCTTCTACTCGTCCGCCGCAACATGGTTAATGAGAAAAAAAATCAAATTCACTTTTTTTGCTTTCTTTACTATATTTATTTTCAACGACTCTTCTTTTTATGCAGATATTCTGGTTCATATCTATTCTCATGTCTCAGGATGAGTTACATTTGTTTTCTGTATTGAAACAAACAAAAAAAACACCCGATATGTACAAAAAGAGGTCTTTAGCCAGTTTTGTGGCAATACTTTTTTTCCGTGCGGCACAGCGTGGCTAGTTGTGATTTTTTTCTTTTGTCTTCTTTGTAGATATTGGTGTCGATCTGATTGTTCTTGTTGCTATTTCTTTATATTTACCATAGATGACAATGTCTAATATTGCTTAGATGTTATCTACAGATTAAAATATACATTCATTCTCGTTTGTTTTTAATATAAACATAGTTATGTTTTCTTTTTTGTTCTCGTTTTGATTAAGCAATTCAAGCTTAGATATACTAAGAAGAATTTAATTTATCATTGACCATCATTGTTTATGTATGAATATATAATTTTAGATTTTGTTTTGATTAATCTTTTGGTTAAAAAAATATAATTATGGTACCTGAAATTTCTGATGTAGATTCAACGGATGAATTTGATAGAAAGACACTAAATTAACTGGCTAATTAGAATCGAAATACTAAAAATATTATTACATTTATTGGCTAGTAGGTTGTAAATGTCTAAGTAAGACATTCAAAGTGGTATTTATGCAGATGCTGGTATATCGACATCTACGATCTAAGTCAATTTTATCAATATAATGTATGTAGCCTTAAAACATTCATAGATAGTTGCAGTATATTTTATTCTTTAAATACCATAATCGAATTGTATTGCTTTCCTTTCTTTGTTTTTTTTTAATACATTTTTGTTTCTTATCTGCATACTAAATCGCCCTTATAGAATCATCATAGAAGAAAGTTCATTTTGTAAAGTTGTTATTATTATTTTCATTTAGTATTTCTGACTTCCGATCGGATACGAATACAATTTTACCTACGGGATCAGATGTATGGGACCTTCGAGATCATTTCGGTGCAACACGTTTGCTAACTACTCGAATTACAACATCAACAAAAGTTATTTGCTATCAGTGATATGTATGGCTCTTGTTGAGTTAGCACGTTGGAATCTGCCACATTGTATTTTGTATCACAAAATACTGACGATTTACATTTACGATTTGGTCTATCATCAATAATTTGAGCTAAACTTCATGGAAATTCTAGTTAAGAAATGTGTGAAAATTGTCATTCATAATACTTCTATAACTCTCATTCACGTGGTGTTACTCAAGTATATAATCATGCAACAAATCGAAAATCTATTCAATGAAATTCAACACTTTATGATTCCATTAATAATTGTGGTGAATATTAACTTAAATATGAATAAGAAGCAAGTTTTGATCATGTCAAACAATTTAGTGTTTGTCTTGCCGTACGTTGATTATTACATGCAATGGTAATAGCTCATATTCCATTGTTTGTTACCCAAAAACAGCGAAATATTATTCATTGGTAATGCACAATAGATTCCATTAGTTTCAATTAGCTAAAACAAATATTCATACCGCATATGATGATTCCAATACCTGTATAGAAACTTCATCGACAAATACATATCACCATTCAACAACTAAGCGTTTAAATTATAGATTTAGATTTTAGTCGTGATATTGCTAATACAATCTTTTCAATAGTAAGAATGCTTGCTACACAAAATAGTGAATCCGTGTATGATTAAAAGATAATCGAAAATGCGGCACTCTTTCCATAGAAAAAGTCAAAAAAAAAGAATATACCAAATAACAAAAATTCATTAATTGATCGAATCAAACTGGCAGGAGCAATTGTAACGAACGCATGTATACAATTAGAATACTATTTATCTATGCAACTAAACAGTTCCATTTATGTTTTAATCCAAAATCTGACTATTCGACTGCATAGGACTTGATTTGCAATTTTATGTTTTTTGCTATTAAAAATACTTCGCTCGAAAGAATTCTGATATGAATTTCGTTGTAATGTTTTCTATATTGAAAAACAAGATTTCACATACTTTTTTCTCATATTTTTAGATCAAATTATTTTATTTATTATTTTTTTTGTTTCGATATTTATTTTTCACCACAAGAAAATCAAACCCTCCGTCGCGGAGGATATACACATTCTTATCTAATATTAAAATGGGATCTAGTGCATCACAAACATCAGCAGAATTAAGCAAAGACGACATAGAATTTATTTCAAGTAAAGCAAAAATTGATCATGAAAGCGTCCGAGTTTGGTATGAAAAGCTCAAGGTTTGTCGTATTTGTATTTTGACTTATTCACAATATTGAGTAAATTTCTATGTCTAGGCTGCTTGTCCAAATGGAAAAATTTCAAAAGCAGATACAGTAAGTTTCTTACGAAGCATCAATAGTGGAAAAGAAGAGCAAATTGAAAAACAAGCAGCTGATATTCATAAAGCGTTTGATGCAAATAATGATGGTATTGTTGGTATGTACGAAGGCTTCGTTGAATAAATAGTGAGAAAAGGATGCGATACCATGTTTTTGTTATCGAAAATATTCAAGTTTCTTTTTTTTGTATTAGAAACAAATTCTGATATATGCTAAGATTTTATTTCGTAATAATTTTCCACCAAAGTTTCGATCTGAATTCGAACCATTTTCTATAGATCTTTGCTGAACGAAGTTTTTTGTTAATCTGTTTAAATTATAAATGTTTGCCAGGAACTCCGTTGACAATTATTGTCACATAAACTGTCGGCCCATTCGTAGAATTTGTCTCTAACTTGATTTTAGCATAAGGAACCCAAATGTTGTATAGAATAATAATTTTAGTTTTGTCCACTCTCAATATATTGCTGTTTATATTTTTTTCATATTTGTCTATTAGATCAGCGTGAGTTTTTAATTGGTTTTGCGTTAACGTCAAATGGTAGTATACGTGAAAAGCTTAAATATGTTTTTCGAACGTATGATCACGATAAAGATGGTGTAATTAATAAAAAAGAAATTGATCGAATGGTTAAAGTATGTGTCGATATAAAAAAAAATAGTTCTGCTTATTTCTTTTATCGAACTTTATTTTCTTGTAGATTGCAATGAGACTTCACGCAAAGGATGATCCAGAAAATACTGCACGCATTATTGAAGAATTAAAACGATCACTTGAACATCTTAATCAAGGCAAAGATCTCGATGATATCAGAATAACTTCAAAAGAATTTATTCAATTATTGATAGAAAATAAAGAATTATGCGAACTAGTATCACCATTCAATATTGAACAACCACGAGAAGTCATTGTTCAACAACCACATGCTCAGTCAAAATAGAATAAAGACGCAACAGTGATATCGAATTAAACTCTTAAGATAAATCTGATATATGCGTATATCTCTATTTACTATATCTTTTCTTTTCCTATTCGTCTTCTAAGCATAATCCCATCAGTGATCACGTTTCCCGTACGTTTTCCGTTTGTTCTTGGATATGCGCATTGGTGTGTGTACGTGTTTTCTTTTTCAGTCGAATCTTCTTTCTCTTCTAGCACATTCTGCCCGAAGCGATAAACCAAGGTTGTTTCATCTTGTGAATCAGCATTTCATGAGAAAAGATACAGTCTATTTATATTCCACCTATACGGAAAGAACAATGTAACATAATATTTTGAAGTAATTTTTGCATTCATTTTTATGTATGTTTATTTCAATTTACGAAATCGAACAAGTTTAAAAATGAAAAATAAAATGCGCTAGAATATTGTTACAGTCATATGTTTATTCCTTAGCTCATCGACATTCATATACTCATATCCTGACACATATTCCCTCTATATATACTCCTCTTTCTTCAATGATAAATTTAGTTCCATCGTTATGGTACTCATTCGTTATTAATATCAAGAAGGCACAAGGATCCCTAACAAATATAAAAATGATCATTTCATTTAAGGGACATAATATTCATGGATATATTTTTTAGTTAATACTTATTGTTAGCATACTGATTTGATTCAAATTATTTTTCATGCATTTAAGTTGCAGCAAATTGTTTTTGAACTTAAATTTAGATCATATAAACGACTTGTCCACGTAACGCCCTACTTTGCTGATCAAGTTTTGAAAACATTTTTTTCGATATGTACAGATCTAAGCGTATTTTCTGGTACAATGTTTTTACGCTGATTATGAGTTTGTACTTTTTTTCTTAAAAAAAATTGAGTGTTGGCATCGAATACCGCGTTTTAAAGTTTTCCAAAAATCGTATTTTCAATTTTCTAGTCAAGAAATGTAAAACAAAATGCAGACTAATATATCATTCGATGCAGAATTTGATTCTGTACAAAATGGCCTATTTATTTTTACTCTCATTACTCAGGACAACTTCTAAGCTCTTGTACAGTTTCTAACTTACTGTACCATTATTGAGCTCCTATTTTAATGTAGTAACTTGATTCTTTTTTACAGAAGGATCTATGTACGGCAATGATCAATATATATATAAACATTCGAAATTTTTCAGTATGTTAAATGCTTCAAATTTGGTCGACAAAAAAACGTGTCACAGTGTTACGTTTGTTTTTTGCATTTTTTATCTGAGCGAAAAATTTAGAAAAAGTATTTTTTACTGCTTGAAAGCCCATTCAATTCTCTACTAAAACTGGTACCATAAGCATTTAATTTGAAGAAATAATTTGTCAAAAAATTAGAATTTTATAAGCAGTCCTAGAGTAAAAGGGTCCTTTTTTGTCACAGTATTACGCGATGATAAAACCTTTCTAGAGACGCGAGAGTTCAGTCAATCTAGGCCATTTTTGCAACATAAATAGATTATGATGATCTGCGCCGAATAATGTTTGAACGACCTTGATACCTATTATGTCTTTCGAGATAATTGCAAAACAATTTATCAAACTGTCACAGCGTTACGTTTGGACAATGCGTAAAAGCATAATTTCCTGTTTTTATTTGAGACAAAAATAGTTTGTAGCTATGAAAATTAAAACAATCATCCCGTCTTGGATTAGTTTCTGTACAAGACAACTTTTGTTCTAATATAAGACAACATGATTTTTTGGAACGTAAGATTTCATTTTATAAAAATAAAGACCTACTTGAGTTTTATTCATAAAAGAAATGAATTAAATCTAAAATTGGTTAGTATCAAACTAGTTGATTGTCACCAGGTTTTCATCAGTTTTTAAGATACTAAAGCAAATTTACTTATATAGATTTTCTTGGTTTTAACCATTGAGTGAGGCATGATCATAGAGATCTTCCTATCAAGACTGTTATGCTTTTCAGAATAGAAAAACCTTTAAGTTCTGCTAAGTCACAGTAGTTTCATATAAGAACCGATCAAGTTTCCCAACGCTTGTATAAAAAATAATCTTATCTTAACGGTTAAAAATCTGGCTTAAGATGTATCCAGAATATTCAGTATTCATTTCGATGAGTTATGTCTTCAAAACATTCTTTTATTATTTTTCGTATTAATTCTAATCAAGAGAAAAATACTCATGATTCCAATCGATCTATGTGTCTCGAATATCTTTAGATAAAGTGTCGCTGAATTTCAAATACAAACCAAATCTTGAATAAGAAAAGTCAAATAACGTCCATGAATAGAATATATTTTCTTTTGAATTATCTAGATATCAATATGTATAATACTGCTATCATTATAATGATATTCGTATGTCGTATGTCTCGTACTAATGCTTTCGAAATGTTTTACTGAAATATCGTTACACATTAATGTGTTTTTTCATGGTTTACTACATCAATCAAAATCATAAAAAAGAAACACAAACATTATAATAAAAAGGTATTGACAATGTCCTTCATCTGATATTTCGTGTCTCATATTCAGTAAAAGCAACATGCAAAAATGAGACGAGTGTCCATATTTGTGGAATAATACATAAGAAAGCAATTCAATTCTCATCAGCACCTCGGCGCGTTCGACAAAGATAGCATAATAATGTGCCATCTGTTAATGGACAACAACCGCCTAAAAGAGCTATCGTCTGCTCATCACTCAAACTAGTTTGACAATCCTGCAATAGAAGATAAACAGAGATGCTATATGAATACTTTGAAATCAATGATACCTCACATCGATAACAATCAAGATGAAAATTTTTGTTCATAGCAATAACACGAACAGTTTCATAAGAACCCTATGAAATAAAGAGAAAATAATTTTCTTTTCATTTTCTTTTCTTTTTCTTACGTCTTCTGGACATATTGGATAGGCACACTTTGCACATCGTGGAGCATAAGTACTAAAAAGAACAACGAATAAAAAGAAATAAAGGTAAATTCATAAAAAAATAATCTCAAATATTACTTGTGATAATCATATAAACAGAATATTTGTCGTTCTTTATCGACAGTAAATGGAAGACCGTCAAGACATTCATTACATACTGAACAACGAAAACAACCAGAATGATATGTATTACCAAGTGCTTGAAGCATCTTAATCGCAAACAAAAAGAAAAATATTAAAAGTAACAATTTAATTTGTCTTTTGTATAGTTAGATAAATACCTTATCCATTATAAGATGATCACAAATATAACATTTTTCTACTGATTGTTGAAAGCCAGTAAACTAAAAACAGCAATAAATTATACTTAAAAAATGTCTTTCATCTTTGCATTTGACTCAATCTCATACAAATAACAAAAATATTTCATTTCTAAAGTGCGTTGTATAAATAAATAAATAAATAAATAAATATATATATATATTTATATCAACAAGAATAAACGAAAATTTGCCATCTGAAAATAACATAAATAACATATAGTGTTTATTCGTACGTACCAAATAATCTTCTTCACAATATACTTGATCGTGTACACGATAGAATGATTTACCTCGTAATATACGAGCACAAACAATACATTTAAAACAGTTATTATGATAAAGTTCGCTCAGTGCTTGACAAGCATTAGACGAGTCAGTTACTGGTTGGCCACATTTTGTACATTGACCATAATATTCATCTACAGTTGCGTCATCTTCTAATTCCTTTTCTAACCGTAATGTAAGTGCAGCTAGTTTTTGTTGAACATTATGCAGAGAACTATTAGTACGAGCCATTGGCATGGCTGCACTAAATGGTATTGATGTTTGAGATAGACCTTGATCAGATTTTTGAATATTTAAACGAGAAAAATCCTGTGTTTTATGAGAATGTTGTGGACGATAATTTATATTTTGATGACCATTGGCTGTTGGTTGAAATCGAGGTTTTGGCGGATGTAAAGTAGTTTTTCGTTGATTAACGTAAAATCTATTGGAATTAGGAAACGATACTGGAGATGTTACCGATTGTTCTTGCTTTCCGTTTAGTGGAACGTAATTCATATCTGAGTATTAATCAAAAATTAATGATAATAAGCGATGTTCTATAAGAAGAAGAAATTCAATAAATATTTCAATTGAATCTTCAAGAAAGAAAAATCTATACTTAATGTGTATTTTGAATTAAACTTGTTAATAATATTTATTTGTTAGTAACAATGCTACTTAGAAGACGTGCATGCAAAATTGCGTATCCGCATAAGAATGCCAAAACGACTGACGCAAGCCACTATTTTTCTCTTTGCTCTCTATCTCTCTTATTCTGTCAGCACATCCAGGTCTATCTTATATGGTTGATCATCCAGAAGAAAGAAGAAAATATCTTTATTACTCCTTTTATTATTTCTACAGGCATTATAACTTCTCAACACAAGTAAATCCATGTCCATATCTATAGATAATTGCATTAACAACTGATCTTTTCTCTTTCTTGTTCTTCCGTTTTCTCTCCTGTACACACGCACTGCACGGCCATCATGGTTGTTGATGTTCTCTTTCGCACAATGAGAAAATGCTTGACTGTGCAATATTTATTTTACGTATTTGCATGAAAAAACAACAAACTAAGATTAATTTTCTTGTTTCTACATATGTAATACTTAATTAAGAGCATCATTCCCTAGACTTCCTATACAATTTAGTAGAAAGTTTGGTATGTGAGAAGTTCGATAAATATCTCGTTTCAATCTTTTTTGTTTTGTTATCAGTAAATCATTGGCATTGCTTTTTATAGCTAGTTTTTTTTAAGTCAAGATTATATTTTATTATGATTAATTTATGTAAAATAGTATGTTTATGCTTATTATTGTAATTATTTGCGGATTATGAGAAGGGATATGATATTATTTAAACATAATATGAGAACTTTCTTTTGAATAATGTTATGGTTGAATTTTTACGTCTCGTAAGAAATTTCTGTGTTTTCAAACGTCGTATCGGCTTGATCACATCGATTAGATCACACGGTTTTGAAGGATCATCTTGTCGAACAAAATGAACTTCGCATGTACCTTGAACTAATTGACAATTTTCTGGAGGCTCAATAATACCAGCTTCTGGTCCAAATCTGTATGATAGATTTACGACAAATAAAAATGAATTACGATGTAGTACAAATATAATAACATACCCACAACATTCTAATCCATATTGAGAACAGTGACAATTAAGACAATCAGGATACGGTGTAGTCCAAGTGGTATTAATTGCATATTTTACATCCCCATAATCGCAGTATATATCATCGATCTGCTGATCTAGTAATTCAAAAAACACTCTAAATATTTTTTACACAAACGTTTTGTATATAAATTACTTGAAGTATTGTTCGATGGTGATGACTTAACTGTATCTAGAAAACACGATCCACGCACTTGAGAAATAGAGAGAACTAAGATAGTTATCAGTCGGTAGGCAAAAAGAGCCATGTGAATAGATGAATAGAATTCGGTAGGAATAATGCATTAGAACCAGTCGACTCTCTTATTTATATTGTTTTTTAATTCTTTTCGAAACAACAGATATTGGCAACATAAGGTACCTATCTAAATATTATTTCAATGTTTTGCTTATAATCAGATACCGTATGTGCGGGTGCTATTCAATAAATTTGAATTTATCACTTAAAAATACAATAGAAATCATTATTATTCAGATTACGAAAATAATCAAATCAGAGAGAGAGCAACAAGTTAACACACATGATGTACATTTTCTTTTCTTTTGGTTTTCTACTGATATTCTATGTTATATTGTTCTAACTGCTTAGAAATATCATTTTATTATCTGCACTTCGCTCGCATATTTTCACACATCTTTATTATGACTGCCTGTCTTTTTGCGTACACCAGATGCTTTGCTGCTTTGTAATAAAAATCCATTCAATCTATTAGTAGCATTGAGTTGAGACTTTTGAATCATCAATAAAACATGTATTCTTGACAGATAATGCAATAATGAAGAAATTAATTAGAAGAGAATATTACGTTTTTTTTAAACCGATCAATTTAGACAACAATGTAAACAAACTATTAAATACGATTGATATTCCACACATGTTATCGTACGATTAAGATTTAATATGATATTTTTTATTATTCGTTGTTGTATTTGTAATAACCAAAAATAGATCAATATGTTTTTTGTTCGATATAGAATATTTGAAATCTCAATTCTTAGTTCGAAAAACAAATCAGACAACCAATGCATTTAAAATCATCAATTTTGACTATACGCCAGGCATATACATAGGATACCGAAGATTTGTCGTTTCAAGCTCAAAAGTTAATTGTGAGAATTTATTTTCAATTAGATCTTTCAAAAAAAAATTGAAGTTTTATGAATCGAAAAATTAATAAAATAAGGCGTTGGTAATTTGCTCTTAGTTCATTTTGAGATTCGCATGTTCGATTTAAAATTTTTATGAAAACTGCAGGGTTGAATGGTTTTTAAAATTACTTGTATCAAATTTGATAGAATTCTTTTCTGTATGACATTTATGGAAGCGAGTAAAATTTTCAAAGCATGAATAAGCATCTTGGATAATAGCTTACCTCTAGTGGTCGTTAAATAATAGATCAAAATGAAATGCGTGGTTGAAAATATCTATTGATTCTTAATAAGATATCACCATATACACGTAGCGTCGTTTGATTTTGAAATATTGACTTTAATGTGAAATAGTATCGAGAAATATGGCGTTAATTTCGGATGATGTCGAAATTTCTGTTTCTTTCTCGTCTGTGACTTCTATTTTATATAATTAGAACTTTTAGAAAAAAATTATTTAGATACAAACTTGACGATTTTTCAGCAAATACTTTTCCTAAAGGTACACTTTTTTACAGAAGTATGATACTGACTTTTTGCACTTTTTTTTATTTCGTTTTAAAAAGCACTCCACATTTATATTAAATCTGATCTGTAGGATATATACAGTTGTGTGCACAAAGACTACATGCGCGATAACGTCAATGTTAGAATTTACTTAAAGCTATTCAAATGATCAGAGTATTCATTAACTACAACGAAATTTAGTTACGTCACTGTTTTACTTGAGAACGTGTTACCAAACATGATCATTAATCATGACGAGCTCTGCTGATTGAAAAGACTATGATTAAGCATAAATAAATTGAAGTCAAATGACATCTGCCATTGACGTTCAAATCGAATTTTTCATATTTTGTTCTGTATTCGATACTAATCGACTCGTAATAAAGTACAGTTGTATTCAAAATTCGTCTTATTTTCAGACGATTGCCAGTATAATGTTGACTACTTCTAGGTAATTGCTATTCTACATCTCCCGTCATATGCAAATTATATTTTCCTTTGAATTATAGTTGGTCAATAACTGATACGCGTAACACGCAAAAAATAGATCTACTATATTTCTTTTTGCTTTAATCTCTATGAATATTAAGTATGTGGTTTCAAGTTTGTTAGATAGAATGACATTGTATACACTTATCTTTGGTAAATATTTTTAAGAAGAATTCGTCTCTCTAAAGAATATGATAAGAAAACCTTTGTAATGCAATTTAGTTATACGCTATATAAAATCGACTCACAACTATTTTTTGTGTATTCAATTATTTTGTCAAATATCATTTCGTTTTTATTCGATGGAAATTCATGAGTTTTGAGTGTCGGGATTTTTGTTTGTGTGCCAAAGAGTATTTTATTAGGTTCCATTTTGAAATTTAAAATTCATTTGATTATTATATACAAATGTATTGATTCCAACAATATTGTGACTTGCTCGAAATCAATTATTGTAGAATTCTTTTTCTGTCATTATCTAAAATAAGTGGTTCAGATCATAAATAATATAATTAAAATAAATATAGAATTCTAAAGAGTAATACAATTCAATTTTAATTTGTCTCAATGATAGAAAATAAATGAAAATGCCTGATTAGAAACTGGTTCTCCGGAGAATGCAGAGTATGTTCGAGTGTTACGAATCAGTAAACTCGAATACTCAGTCACAATTGGAAATGCACGAAAAGAACAACCCACCGCTCATGATGTCGATGATATTACACCAACTGCTTAGTCTGCTGCCGAGAAAGTGCAATGCCTGAGAAAAGTACCAGGCAAAAATGAAGGAATCAATTCTAACACTATTATTCCTATAGAGGATAGATCTCACTTAACTGCCATGATGGATGCTAAATTGCACGATAGTAGGAAAACTGAAGAATTGTTTCATCCGTTCATTTTAAAATAAAGCAAGATATATGATTTCACATATGTCTATTATTTTGGGTGGATATAACAATTGCGAATAATGAAAGATACTCTTGATTACTTAATTCAATTGTATAATATTAATGATAATAGTGTCTTTTTTAGAAAGCTCGTCGACATAGATGTTAGAAAGATGCAGGAATTTCAACCACGCTGCTGCTCTAAACATGTCTCTATCATTATTTGTTTTCTTAACGATGTTACTTTTCTATTAACAGCTGTTCAACTCGACTTCTTAGAGTTCAAAAATCAATATACATTAAATGCTAAAAATTAAACGAACAGATTGAATTGTAGATAAATTTGTTGTCTTGATGTAATATCGTTTGTGTAATTACCTTATTATGCTACTTATTTCTTATTAAATTGATAGATTTAATGATAATATTAGTTGATTTAACACTAGGAGAATAGAAAAATCGTCAGAGAAATGATTCCAATGCCTTTAGACGAAATATACACATGCCACATCTTGTTGTACCGTGTAAGCGTTTCGAACAGACAGATTTAACTCTTTTTCTTTATTTTAATAATTATAAAACTGAGTATCCTCATGTTCTGAGCATTTTCTCGGTCAGATAATCATCAAATTATCAAATTTTTAACTTATAAAACGTCATGTTTTTTCATACTCCTTGGTTATGTTTCATTGTGAATATTGTTTCGTATATTCAACAAGAAATCTAATACTGATTCACTGATTGCATCAGCTTGAATTTTAAACATTGCTTGTATTCAAATATTTTTATTCTTTTTTATCGTTTATTTTCATCTAAGACGTTTGACAAAATAGCCATCCGTATTTCAGTCAAAGTACTTTGAATAGAACTTAATTTAAAAGAGAAGATACAATATGATTCAGTCTTGAAATATATCAAAAAGTTTCTCTTAAATTTCACCTTGTTAAAATTAGTTTCGGTGATAGCAAAGAATAGTTCTGTTAATAGCTGTATTACCTATCTAGTAAATTGGAGAAGTTGGGGACGTTATACATGTAACACACACACACACACACACACACACACTACTCAATAGTAAATCTCCTGAAGAGATATGCTGTATCTCCTGGCTTTTCCTATGGGGAAAATATTCTTTTATTTTTAGTCTAGAACTTATTCCAGATATGCTGAAAAGCGTCAATATATATATTTTAGCCTTATATAATGTGTTCTTACGTTTTTAAATATCTTCAATCGATTCTTGGATTTCTCCGACGTCCTAGGTTTCCTGAATATGTGTCACCTTCCAGTTATATATTTAAGAAAAGCGCAATCTATTTTATTGCGTCCTCAAGACAATTTTCTCGTTAATCAAAATGCAAAATGTTGAGTTTCCAGGATTCAGGCGACTTCCAACACCTTAACATTTTGATGTAATCGAATGATTCATATGCTTTCGATAAACTTTGGATCTATGTATTATTTTTCAACTGGTATAAATATTAGTAAAACAACCTAGTTAAATTTTTGAGATTCTATAGGTCATTGTAGTACGTAACGATTTTTTATTTGTTGACGATTGCTGTGCTAGAAATTATCTTTCTTTCTAATTGTAATATTATTTTGTGTCGACTTGAATTTTAACGACGGAATAAAATTTGCTTCTGCTTTCTATCATTCATCGTTCTTAGCAAGTCGTTGTTATAGTAAGAAAAGCAACGAAGTGAATGTTATGATTCAAGCATCATTCAATTGATTTTTTTATCTCAATGATTTATTCAATAGAAAAGAAAAGAAAAGAAAAGGGCGTGATTGATAAATCAACAGATGATAAACGAAACAGTAGAGAAAGACACATTCAAGACAAAATAAAACGTGGAATAGTTGTTTTATTCCTGTGCTGGTCTTTCAACATACAAACAAAAACACAAAAAAAGAAAAAGAAAAAGAAAAAGAAAGACAAAAATTAAATAAATAAACGACAATGATAGAGAAGTGTCTCTGTTTCAGTTTCTATTGCACACACACACACACACACACTCATAGAAAATTCATTAAAAGAATACTTTTAGTTTCTCGAATTCTTATTAATTTATTTAAGATCAGGATCACCAGTAATTTTTTTAGCAATATCTTCAGTTAATGAACGGAATACACGATCAGAGCGTAATGTTGATAATGGTGAACTATCAATATGTTTTAAAAATGATTCTTTATTTTGTTCCTCAACGGCGGCAATTAATTGACGAAGTAGTTTAACTTCAAGTGATCGTTCTTCAAATAATGGATTATCATTTACATAACGAGCAAGTGCTGTATTGGCATTTTCAACATCGATACATAGTGCACACATTGTAGCTCTAGATAAATAATTTAACATAAAAAGAAAGAAAATCTATAAGAATAAAATCAATTACCTCAACCAAAAGTCTTTTGCACCATATTTGAGCATGGCATCATCTTTTGTTTTATCTCCCATTTCTTCATATTGTTGTTGCGCTTTCATAAATTCATGTTGCAGTGCCAATGTTTCAGCCATTTTCTTTTGTACTCGATTTGCAGCTGCTTTTTGCCCTTCTTGTTTTAAAAATCGATGAGCTTCTTTTAAGCATTTCATCATATTATCAAGATCATTCAGTTGTTCATATAGTTCCGCAACTTTTTCTAATGTTTGTGATGCCATAGTCCATTTACCCTGAGACATATGTAATTCAGCAGCACTTGTTAATGCTGGCACAGCTTGTGGTAGATCAAACATTTTATATGATGATGCAATAGCTTCATACATTTGAGCTTTTTCAAATTCTTCTACACTTAAATCTAATGCTCGTTTATAAGCTTCAACAGATATTGGATAGTTGCTTTCAGCTTTTCCAGCATTTCCAGCTTGAACATAGAGTGCACGAGCATCTTCACTTGCAGTATTACCAGCACCAAGCATTCGTTGAAAGAATCCATTTGCTGATTTAGCTTTTTTATTGGCATCAATCATTAATTGACTTGCCGACTTACTATTAGTTCCGCCGGACATTCTTTTTAATTAAAATATAGATAGTAATGAAATCTGAAATACAAAAAAAAAACAAACACAAACATCAGATACGTTTCTATTTGTTCAACAGTGAAAACAAAATAGAATTTATTCTAATCGAACAAAAATTTGAGAAAACAAAACCAATCTAATACGATGACAGTTGCAATCGTGTGTGTTTTTTTCAAATTCATTAATGTACAACCAAACTGAAAATTCAAAAGCTTCTGTATAAAAACAACAATTTATCGCTTTGATGAAACGTACCATTGTTCAGTCTTTCTCTATCAGTGATTATGATTTACATCTACGAAACAAAAAAACATGAAATAGAAATAAAAATTGTTTTTGTTTCAAATCAATCAGTTACCTTCCATCGATGACCACAGTTTTTACAAAAAACAAATAGAGTCATGGGTTCATCAGCGCTACGTGTTTGAGCTTCTGTATACGCACAATTATTTTGTTTACACCTAAAAATACTTTTATTTTTAAGGAAGAAAAGAAATAAACAGACATCCATCATACTTGCCACATTGAATAAGATCAGTGCCAGTGCCTTCGTCCATAGCAAGCTGATGTTCATTAATAGCACTTTCGTTTAATTTTGAGCGTTCTTGTTTCAATGCATCACTTGCCATTTCCTTTATAAAAAGATACTGATATTCAAAACAAAATAAAAACTCAACAAACTTCAGCAGTAAGTGTGGCTAATCGTTCAGGTGTAATAAAACCAATAAGAACATTTGTACGAAGATTAGGATTTTTTAAATCTTTCAAATTTGATATTCGACTACGAATTCGATTACGGTATTTAACACCAGTATCTTTTATGTCTTTAAAAATTGCTAAAACAAATACAAAGCATTTTAAAAACGAAACTGAATTAAAAACATAATATTATTTATTATTCGTACCATCTTCAACTCGACCAGCTAAGTCAACTGGATCGGCTGACCCTTCTGGCAGTTCAGAAATTGAAAAGGCGCTTGCTATAAGATCTCGTGATTTCAATCTGAAAAAAAACAAAAAACAAAAGAGAAAAAAACTCTTTCTTTCAAGATGAAACGTTTTCTTTTCCCTAACCTAATCTCATCGTGTGTTTGTGATGCCGATGTATAAGAAGATGTTGAGGTTTGTGAAATTTGACGTTCAATAGATTTACTTGATTCGAAATTTTTTCCAGTACTGCCATTTATTTCTTGAGAATGTTGACTATTATTATTATTATTATTATTATTATTTGTTGGTATTGTTTGTTTATCATCTTTATTTACTGGTACCGATGAAGACTCTTAAAAAAAAACAAGAATCATATGAATATTTTTTTTACGAAAAGTCAAAAATGTAAATATAATGCAAACCGGGTACAAGTTTTTTCCAATTTTTTAAAAGACTTTTTGCAACTGTTGATAAATCATCGTTGGCAATAACTCGTCGTAAATTATTAACAGTTTTTCCAATACCAGTTTTTTGAAGAATACTCAATGTAATACGTGATTCTTGTAAACGAATCAGAAAGTCTCGTGCCATTGATTCATCCTAATGGCGTTAACATGTATAAAATAAAGAGGAAGAAAAATATATTTTATAACATACCACTTCTGATTTATCAATCATTTTTTGTAATTTTCGATTAATTTTTCCTATTTCTTCTTCAGACATAATTCTAACTAATGATCTGAAAATAACATAACAAAAAGAAGTTGAAACTTAGTCACTGGTTATTTTATTTGCTAAAGAGACGTGTATGTGCGTGTGTGTGTGTGTGTGTGTGTATATACATGCAGTAATAATAATAATGTAAGGATTTACTTGATTCAGGTAAAATGAATCATCAAATTCCACTGTCAAAAGAAAATTTATTGTTTAAGGTTTTTCTTTAAAATGCATATTTTTTGAAAAAAATCTATTAAATCTACATGATGTAACCGACTAAAAGATAGATGGCAGAAGTTAAAAACAAATCTTTGTAAAGGTTTCGTAAATCAATTTCATTGGCTTTTTTTTATAGAGAATTTTCTCAAGTTTGTTCTTTCAAATATCTTATTATTCAAATGGATTGATATGTTCAAAACTCGTCTATTAATTCGAATTTTTCTTATTTATTTTATTTTATTTTTTCTTATTGCTGTTTGGTATTTATCAAAATTAGAAAGAAATGAAAGAACAACTCCATTAAGTCATCGTTTAGCGGTTATAGTTCCATATCGTAATCGTTCAAACGAATTGGAACTATTTCTATCCCATATGAATTCATTTCTTAATTCTCAATCAATTGATCATATTTTTATGATTGTAAATCAAGTTGATAAACATCGATTTAATCGTGCTGCTCTGATTAATATTGGTTTTATTGAATCTAAATCATTAGTTGATTATATTGTCATGCATGATATTGATCTTCTTCCATTAAATCATGAATTAACATATAAATATCCACAGTACGGTCCTATACATTTAGCATCACCAGAATATCATCCAATTTATCATTATCTCAGTTATGTTGGAGGTATTTTGATCATTAAATCTGAAGATTTTGAACGTATTAATGGTATGTCACCGTTATATTGGGGATGGGGTAGAGAAGATGATAATTTTTATGTGAGAATGAAACGTGCTGGAATGAATATATATCGTCCACATAATCTATCAACAAATAATACTAATACATTTCAACATATTCATGATAAAAATATTCATAAACGAGATTATGCAAAATATGGAAAACAAAAAGAAGAAGGAAGAAAAATTTATCCTGAACTAGGTTTTAATACAACGAAGTACGAAATAATCAATAAAGAAATCAGAAAGACTAATCAGGGTATTGAATATATTATGTTAGACATTACAATTGAATGTAATTATAATCTAACAGATTGGTGTGATCATCCTCTTAATACAGTGAAATAATCAGTCAGATATTTGTAATAGAATGATCTTTTTTTACTTCTTATTAAATTTTAGATAATAAATGAGCGCTTGTCGTATTGTTATTACTGGTCTTGGTGCTGTTTCACCATTAGGAGTTGGTGTAGAATTAAATTGGCACCGTCTATTAAATAATCATTCCGGTATTGTTTCACTTAATGAAACAGATTATACTGGTATTCCATGTCAAATTGCTGGTCGTGTACCCATGAGTGTTGATTATCAAAATCAAGATGGTACACTTGATTTTTCTAAATATTTTACACGAATATCTGATTTAAAATCCATGACATTAGCAAGTGCTTTTGCTCTTGTTGCTGCTCAAGAAGCAATTGAACATAGTCAAGTAACTTCTTTTGTTTTTCGATTTGAAAATATTAAATTAGAAAGTAGATACTTTTAGCTTATGATGATCGAACACGAATTGGCGTATCGGTTGGTAATGGAATAGCTGGTCTAGCAAATACATGTTCCATATTCGAACAAATGAAAGCTAAAGGTCTATATCGTGGAATGAGTCCATTTTATATAACACAAGTTCTACCAAATACCTCAGCTGGCTATGTATCAGTTCGACATAAATTACAAGGACCTAATGTATAATATTCATTGTAATATTACAGCTACTTAATAAATTATTCTTCGTTTTTTAGCTTTGTAATAGTTCAGCTTGTGCAGCTGGCGTTCAAGCGATTGGTGATGGTTATAATATGATTCGTCTTGGCCATGCTGATGCTATGGTATGTGGTGCTACAGAAGCCACTGTCAATCCAATAACAATATCAGGCTTTGCACGAATGCGTGCTCTATCTACATCATTTAATGATCAACCTAAACTTGCATCACGTCCATTTGAGTAAATTCTTTTTGTATGTCTATTGTAGATTTTAATTCTTTTTTTTTTCTTTTGCAATTTTCAGTCGACAAAGAGATGGTTTTGTAATGGGAGAAGGTGCTGCTATTATGATATTGGAACGACTTGAATCTGCTCAAAAACGAGGCGCTAAAATTCTCGGTGAAATACTTGGCTATGGTTTAAGTTCAGATGCAAGTCATATTACAAATCCAACTGGATTAGGAGCATTGAATTGTATGAAAAATGCATTGAATAACGCTCATTTGCATGCGAGAGATATCGGCTATATAAATGCACATGCTACATCGTATGTATTAAATTTCATTTCATTTGACTAATCTCATATCAAACAATGCAACGATACAGCTAACTATAATTTTTGTTTTCAGAACTCCAATCGGAGACCGCATTGAAAAACAAGCTATTACACAATTATTTACGTCCGATAATTCTAATGTTTTAGTTTCTAGTACCAAAGGTCATACTGGTCATTTACTTGGCGCTGCTGGTGCTCTCGAATCTATATTCACTGTTCTTGCTTGTAACCATGCAATATGTCCTACAACATTAAATTATAAAAGTAATAATGATGATTCAGAAGATTCGTCATTATTGAATATTATTTCTAATGATAAACCATTATCATGGAATAGTAAAACGCGTATTGCATTGAAAAATTCATTCGGTTTTGGCGGTACAAATTCTTGTCTTGTTATATCAAATTTTTTTTAGATAAATATGTCTTTTGCTGATGAATTAAAATCAGTAAGACTTCGTTCAGTGACACAGCCAAAAGAAAAACGCAATGAACAACTTTTATGTCCTGATAGTGATACGTACAAGAAGATGATGAATGAAACACAGTTTGAATATTATTTTGATATTATTAAGCAATGGACATTTCCATCAGTTATTGTATCAATGGATGAAGACGACAGAAAAGCTCTTCATCAAGGACATTTATTATTTAAAAATTCGTTATTAGATGATGACGATAAAAAAACTAATGAATGTTTTCAACAGTATCCGCAATTATTTAAATTATCAAATGCTATTGATTCGTGTGATATTCAACGTCCAATATTTGTCCGTTTATCAACAAGAAGTCCGAAAGATGCAATTTTATTATTGAATAAACAGAAATGTAAACAAGTTTTTCAAAAAACATTGGATGACATGGTAGCTGATGATACATCCGGTTTAGTTTTTATTTATTTTATATAGTTATCATTATATTTATTTTAGAACGTAATCGACGTTTAATTGCAATCGATGAATCATCTATTCGTTTACTATCTGTAACGGATGGTTTTCATGCCATACAACTTCTAGTTGCCAGTGAGCGTATTCAAGATGATCTAATATCGTGTGCATCATTGAATTTAATAGTTCGTCAATTTATTATTGATCGTCGAAATTTAAAAAGTGAATTTCGTGCATTTATATTTAAACATAAATTAACAGCATTAACTCAATATAATGAATATATATTTGATAGGAATTTATTTGAAAAAAAAGATCTCATTTTAAAATCTATTAAAGATTTTTTTGAAAATGAACATATAATTGAACGAATACCTTATGAAAATTATATCTTAGATTTAATATTGATCGAAAATAACAATAATAATTATCAAATATTTATCTGTGAAATAAATCCATTTGCAGAATTTGCCGGTACTGGATTATTCTCATGGTTAAATGACCGAAATATTTTATTAGGTCGTGAAGAATTTCAATTTCGTATTAACGAAAATGATACTAGTGAACATTCGGAAGCGAATGATCAATGGTTATTATTAATGAATAATTAATAAAAAGAATAATAATAATAAAACTAAAAGCTATCTATTTTAATTTGTTTTTAGATGTTTTAATAGCAAATACACATGCCAAATCAAACAGTAGATATAATTAATTTAAATGTTGGTGGACAACGCTTTTCAACAAGTCGACAAACTTTAACATGGATATCAGATTCATTTTTTACTGCGATGCTCAATGGGCTAATATCGACAAATCGCGATGACCAAGGTTACATATTTATTGATCGCGATCCAAAATTATTTTCAATCATTCTCAATTATTTAAGAACTAAAGAATTGGGTAAATAGTTCTTTCTTTTTATACTGAATGTTTTTCTTGAAATAGAGAATTAGAATGCTTATTAGTCAGCTTAATAGATTACTGGACTTAGTTGATACTAGATAATCGTTAACTTATTTCTCATGAAAAATCTCAAAAATATAATGTTGAACTATTATGTAAACACCGACAGGAAGATAGAAAATAAAAGTGTGGACATGTGTTTCTTTTATGAATAAATACATCCAAGTTAATAAGCACATCTTCGGTTTCACATGCAATACCATTCATTCGTACGCACGGTCATTCAAACCTAGTTGGCTGATACAATTAGGTGTAATGCTTCACTTCTATTCTATTAGTCGTTACTCTAGTAAATACTTTTCTCTAAAATATAATTGTTGTGCTCCTGTTCGTGAAATATAGTGTTTTTTTTTAATATTATAATAATACTTTCAAAAAAGTAAATTACCAAAATTTAAAGGATTTGAAATTTGGATAAGTACATAGTCACGTCAATTTTAGAAATTATATCATTTCAAGACGTTTCAATCAATTTAAACATAAAAGCCTAAAATTTCCTATTATACCTTTGTAATTATAATGATCGACGATAGAAACGACAAAAATGATTAGAACTTCGAAAAGTGAATTATTTTCATTAAGATTAGTCTCTTATACAACGAATCTAATGGTAACTAGAAAATCGTATTTCTGAGTAAAAGTCAAAGATCAATTTTGTAGTTTGAAAGTTTCTCACAACTGCTTGGAATGTGCATGATGCATATAGTTCAAACTCAGGAGAAATGCTACATTTGAATATATTTCATCGTAATTCGATACAGTTACTACCACAATTGTAAAGAATTAGTTTTCTCTGAATAGAAAAATGACGAACATTGAAAAAATGATTTCAGCACTTCTTCTATAATACTTTTTACAGTTGTTTTAAATCATTTCTATTGATCAGATATCAATGGTTGTGATCTTCATATGTTAAAACATGAATGTGAATTTTATGGTGTACAACCATTGATTCGTCGATTACAATTATGTGAAGATCTTGAACATAGCCAATGTGGTGATGTTCTATTTAATGGATATATTAATCCTCCGCATTCAACTAATACGCAAACCTCATGTGAAACTACGCAATTATTACCATGTCAACCAATTGTTTATCAACCAGTATTATCTCAACCAGCAAGTTCAGTTCGACCTGGCACTGCTTTGAGATTAACTAACATTATGCAACAAACACTAAATCGTAGTGCATCACAAATAGGAGATTTTAGGTATGTGAAATGAATAAAATAAAAATTCAATATATTTTGACACAAAATTTAATTTTCTTCATCAGCTAATTGTTTTATTTTGACAATAATAATGCAGAAATACTCTCTAGATGAAGATTTAGCATGTGCTGTTGCAAATTCTTTCGATAAGAAAACATGAATTAACTCATTAATATAAAATTTAATTCCTATTCACTACGGCTAGTTATTTTATTTTTTACTGATGAAATTTATAGAACATCGTCATCGGATTTTGTTCCGATGGCTCCGTCAGCATCAAGTGTTAGTCGTGGACATTCACGTGCATCTTCAACTGATTCAGTTCTTTGGACTACGCATCAACCTAATACATCATCTCATGTTCGCCAAAAATCAGCTGCATTTATTGATCATCATCCTCCAACGCCAAGTTCACCTGTAGCAAGTGTCATTCTTCTAGCTGGACATCACAATTGGATTAGTGCTGCTTATTCAAATAATGGTTGAAAATAATTTTTATGAGGATTTTTTCAAAAGTCTATCTATTCTATTTTCTAGTCGTTATGTGCTATAAAATGAAAGACACAAGTGGATGGCAAATAATGTTTGAATCCGAAGTTCAATCTGATGACATTTATCGTTTAGCTATAACAGCTCGCTCATCGTCATCGGCAGCAGCTAGTCAACAAACTCAAGAATCAACATCAAATATTCGAGAATCAAAACTTCTTGGCATTGCTGTACGAACAAATGTTCGTCTTTGGAATATTGTTGATGCATCAATACACACAATTCTTGGAACATTTGCATTTGGTGGACCGATTGATAATTTATTTTTTATCAATTCACAATTAGTAGCCACAGGTGATGAAAGAAAAGTCGGCGTATGGCATTCAATTTCACAACAATGGCAAACACAAGAATTAACGCGCATATTAAGTTTTGATACTGTAGGAATTTTGTTTTTTCGAGTTTTATTCTAAAAATAACTACAAAAAAAAACATTCTTATTTTAGGCTGGAACATTTCTATTACTTGGAAGTGAGACGGGATCAATTTATTATTTTGATATGCAAAAATTTCCATTGAGAATGAAAGACAATGATTTATTGATCACAGAAATATTCAAGTACAGCTTTTTAATATTAATTTGTCTTCATTTAACATAGTGACAATTTTATTTTGTAGAGATCCAGCTGGAGAATCAATTACAGCTTTAAGTGTTTATTTAACACCAAAGACAAGTGTTACAGGCAATTGGTAAGAAATCAGATAAAAGAAAACTGTTCGAAAAAAACAAATCTAATATTATATTCGTAGGATTGAAATAGCTTATGGAACAAATTCTGGTATTATTAGAATTGTTGTACAACATCCAGAAACTGTTGGTCACGGGTAATCCATTATAAAATATTTTTATCCTATAACTTCTTATACAATAATGTTATTTAGTCCTCAACTATTTCAAACATTTTGTGTACATCGTAGTCCAGTGACAAAGGTTAAAATCAACAAAAATTGTATTATTCGATGTATTCACGTTTTTCATTTTCTTTTCTAGATTATGCTTTCCGAGCGACATTTAATAAGGTAGAATTATGTGAAATGCATTATTATAAACTTTATTTAATTATTAGTGTATGTGCTTCCAATAATCATGTTCGTACATGGAATGTTACACGTTTCCGTGGCATGATTTCTACGCAACCAGGTTACATAGTTTTAAATGAAAACGATTTCACAAGTAAAAAAGAAATAATTATTTTCTAGGATCAACGCCACTTGCTTCGTATCGTATTGTATCTATTGAACCAGCTCGATCAATAGCTAGTTATACTTCTGGGAATGTGAGATTTTTTCTTTTTCTATCATTCATCTTATTTTTGAACTTGATTTTCTAGGATATTGGTAAGCTTTATCCATGTACAAGTAGAATGAAAAGAAAATAATATAAATTTAGGACCGTATGGCGATCGTGATGATCAACAAGTTTTTGTTCAAAAAGTAGTACCATTTGAGACAAATCAAATTTATGTCAGATTTTGTTCAACAGGTATAATATTTATTTTAGTACAAATTATTTTTTCTTCAATAAAATTTAAAATCTATTTTTAAATAATTTATTACTTTGAAATTCAATATATAACAAATGAAATATTATTTCTGATGATTCATGAGCGATGATTTCAAATGGAAATTTGTCGGTGGAATCCCTACAATATTACTGTGTAATATAGTAACTTTGAAGCTGCTGACATTGTAAAAGTAGGATTTTACCAATATTGGCTTCGGGTTATAGATTTCTACTTACTATTTTAAGAGGATAACTCTAATATATAATAGTTCTTGAGTAAAATTATGACCAACGATTACTACCTTGAATTCAACTTTTGTTTTATACTAATTTTGTTGAAGAACTTTTGCTTTGTATCAATAGGACTTCGGCTAATTATTAGTGAAAATTTATAATAGTCTATCCCTTTTTGGCGTAGAACACTACGTAATATAGTACATCGGGGGTGGGAAGACAATATTTCTACTCCTATTACTGTGCAATATCTCTTTTAGATCATGTATCTTTTTTAAAAGTATAATCGAAATTAAAATTCGATAAAAAACATTTGTGATATAATTAAAATCAAATGTTATAATACCGGAAAAATAGTCTAACAAATTCTTTTTTTCTTTGCAGGCAAGCGAGTCGCTATTGTTCGATCTGTGGATAGTTCTCCAATCAGTTGTTTCACCATACATGAATGCGAAGGACCATCAAGATTAAGTACACGTCCTCGTCGATTTATTTTCACTGGTCACGATAATGGTTTGTTTAAATTAGTCAACAAAACAAATGAATTTTTTGTTATTATTATCTAAGGATCTATTCAATTATTTGATTTAACAACTGCTATTGAACTTAGTTCAAGTTCGGATGTAAACTCTCTCACATTATCATCACCACCTTCTCAAAATAATCAAGGAGGTCCATCACCAGCTGATTTACTTAAGATGCTTGACCACTGTGATTTTGCAGTTACAAACGGGCAAAATCAAAATTTTCTATCTTCACGCTGTTCAACACCTTGTTGTATGAGTAATAATTTACCAATAACAACTGTCAATTATACGACTGCTTTAATATCATCACCATTAACACAACCAGCAACAAAAGAGGACAATGATAAACATGTTTCATAATGCATTTCTTTTTCTTTCTCTTCAACTTGCATAATATTTATTTTAAAACACAAAAAAAATCCGTCTCGTGCTTCCAATATGTGAGTGAGAAATCTATCTTATATCTTATCTTTTTATTGCTTTTGTTAAACTAAGACCATGTCACTATCATTGGGTTTATTCTGCATAAATAAATTTCTTAGCCAATATATAAATACCATTTTAAAAACGACAAAAAAAAATGTTTTAGATGTTGAAAACATTTCATGCGTACGATCAAGATCTTTCATTTCGGTGGGCTTTATTTGGTCGATTGAATTCTCGATATATTCATTTAAGAAAATTGGTTATTGCCTTGGAATTTTCTGGCTCAGGTTATGTATGGATTCCATATTCATTGATTATGATTGAACTTTATCGTACATCAATAAATGAAGCAATGCCATTTATTTTACTTTTCACTGGACTTATGTATGATATAGCTATCATTGGTATAACAAAAAGTATTATACGTCGACCCAGACCAAAAATTAATCATGACGATGTTCTTTCAATAGGACCAGATAAATTTTCTTTTCCAAGTGGTCATACTTCTCGAGCTGTATTTCTTTTATTTTATTTTATCGAAACAAATTTTTTCCAACAAATTCCAAAGTCAGTTATTATAAGTTGGTTAGGTTCAGTGGTTGCTTCACGTATTTTATTAGGACGCCATTATGTATCGGATGTTTTAGCTGGAGTTTTGTTTGGAATTTTTGAATGTACAACTATTGTACATCTTTCACCTCTTGTAGCTCGGTTTGTTTTATCGTTTTATGGCGTTTCAAATTGATGATAAAAATAAATCAGCTTCTTCGGTCAAAATTCTAAATTGAAGCTTTGTTTTTGTTTGCTTCACATCGAATTTTTTCAACTATTTGTTTGCAAACATCACAGACATTCATTTGCGTTGCTCACGAGAAATAAAAGCGAAAAGAGATTAAAATAAATTGTTTGATTTCAACGAAAGAATGATGGCCATCAACCAACGATGAATTATAATTCTCATTTCTATTCATTGATGTGCGATGATGACAAGTATTTTGACTTCGTTGACCATGATTATATGGATCATCGGTAATCAAGGTAATTATTCAATTAAAAAAAAACACAAAATTGATTATTTACTTGTATTATTTGATATATTTTAGTTCAAGCCGAATGTCAAAATGAGACATCAGAATCTATATTTGTTTATCGACGTGTGTACGTATATGTATATATATATATATATATTCGATGATAATGTTCAATTTGATTCAATCATATTTCAATTTAGTTGTTATTTTGCAAATTGGGCAGCTAAACGATCCGATAATATTAGTCGTTTAACTCCCGAAGAAATAGATCCATTTTTATGTACACACATTAATTTTGCTTTCGGTAAAGTACTTGAAAGTTTAACAATAGCACCGAGTGAAGAAGATGACATCAAAGGATGGACTTTAAATTCTAAAGGCATGTATGAACGTGTAATAAAACTTAAAGAAACAAATCCTGATCTACGTGTCTTATTGAGTGTTGGAGGATGGACACATGCCTCTCGTGGATTTAATGATGTATCGAAAAATGCTGCGAATATGTATGCTTATGTTGTATTCTATTAGAATATAAGAATTTTCTTTTTTATTCATAGTAAAACTTTTGCAGCCAATAGTATAAAATTTTTAAGAGATAATAAATTTGATGGATTGGATTTAGATTGGGTACATAAAAACAAAAGTGATCAATCGAAATTTATTCAAAAATATTCTATTCAAATAGGAATATCCAGGTGCAAAAGATCAAGGCGCAGAACCTCATACTAAAACTGGTTATACAAAATTAGTCAAAGTAAAAATAGAAATATGCAAAAATAAATATTATTTACCAAAAAAAAGAATATAAAATAGAAATTAAGTGAAATGTTTCAGCAAGAAGCTGAACAAACCGGAAAAGAAAAATTATTACTTACATGTGCTACAGGTATTTAATTAGATTGTTTCGAAAAGATTTAACAAAAAATCAGTATGTTTTCAGCTGCTGCACGCCATCGGATTGAAGCTGGCTATGAAGTTTCAGAACTTTGCAAGTATGAAGTTATTTAACACTGGATTGATTTGATTAATTTTGATTTTATTCTTAGATCTTTTGATTTTGTCTCAGTCATGACTTGTAATTAATTTTGATCCAAGAATTTTTCTTCCTTTTTTTATATTTCTTAAAGAAAATGTTTTGTTTTCTTCTCGTATAGATGATTATCATGGTAGTTGGGAAGGTAAAACGGGACATAATAGTCCATTGTATGGAATGAGTAATGATAGAAAGAAATTTCGTGAATGGAATATTAAAGGTTCAATGCATGTGTGGTCCGCATTAGGTTGTCCAAAAGAAAAACTTAACATTGGCCTTTCAGCTTATGGTCTGTTTGTTTGTTTGTTTCTTGTGCATTCCTCGTCTGTTCTGCTAGTTATTCAAAATAAATTATGTATTTAGGAAGAGCTTTTACATTACTTCGAGAGCCTGGTGTAAAAATTCGTAAATCAAAAGAAAAGAAAAAATCACCGATCGGACTCAAAGCAGGTGCTGCTGAAGCTGGAAAATATACACGTGAAGCAGGTGTTCTATCTTATTATGAAGTAAGTTTTAATTTCAATAATTTGAAACTATTCCATTTCCAAAAGAAAACATAGATATGCGAATTGATTGAGCAAAATCCAAGTAATCGTGTATTGTGGCATCAAGAAATGAGTGTTCCATATGTGTCCAGTGATACACTATGGATTGGTTACGATAATGTTCGAAGTGTTAAACTAAAAGTATAGAAAAGAAAGAGCAATGCTTTTTTAAAATTAAATCATCATAAATTAAATTTTTGTTTCTTTTGAATTAGATGAAATTTTTAAAAGACCAAGGTTATGGCGGAGTGATTATCTGGTCGTTGGATCTAGATGATAAAACAGGTGACTTTTGTAAGGAAGGCCCATTCCCATTAATCAATGCAGTGAAAAATGAACTATCAATTTCACCGAATCATGTATCTAATACAAATACAAAATGTTTCGATGACAATAATACATTAGTATTATTATTCGAAAATATTAATTCTCAATCAACAACAATAACAGTAGTATATAAGAGTAAGATTGAATAAGTTTTGTTTATCATTTGTTTGTTCTTTTCTTTTTAGATTTTTTCTTTTTTCTTCTACTTGATGCTGTAATACATATTTGAATAAAATCCAATTAGTTTTGAATATATATATATATATATGTTTAGCAATCATGGATTTCTTTTCTCTGTTTTAGATGGATGATATAAATAATCGTAACAATGAATATATCAAAGCAGAACTTGTAACAAAATTATTAAAACATTTTTTACCTGAAGATAGATCATCGCGTTTATCAAGTGATATGGTAAAATATTTCACCGAATTAATATTTCAATTTATACATCAAGCATTTACACGTACAATTCAACAGGCAACATCGGAAGGAACCATTCATGTTGATATTCAACATTTCGAAAAAATCCTTATGCAATTATTACTTGATTTTTGATAGTTGTCAAACTCGTTGAAAAATAAAAGAAATAAAAATAATAGAAAAATATTTTGTTATTTGTATTTTAGATGGCAACAATAAATTCAAAACATTCCTCAGGATCGTTCACTCATAAATCATTATCGAATTCAAGTTTAGGTGATGGTCAAATACTTTACTGTCTTTGTCGATCAAGTGATTGTTCAACATTTATGATGTATGAAACCAAACTATTTTCATATTAAATATTTTCATATCAAATATTTCTAGTGCATGTGATGCATGTAATATATGGTATCATGGCTCGTGCATTGGTGTTAGTGAAAAAGAATCAGCAAAAATTGAAAATTTTTTTTGCCATCGATGCCGTCGTAAGTAATCTTTAAATCAATTGCAAAGTTCAAGTAAACAATAAAGTCTCTCCGTAACGAACATTCTTACTGCTAATGATTACCTGTTAGTATACCAAAGCTATCATTTTAGAGCGAGTTGAATCACAATAAAACAGAAAATCATTCTTTCCCATCTTTCCTTGTTTAAAGTGTTTTTATTGTTTTCTTTGGTTTCCAGCATTTCGACTTATGGCTTCGTTTTGTTTTCATGTTTTAAAATATGTCTCATTTTTTACGTTCGATACTATTTCACACAATGAGGATGATTTATTGGCATCAGGGCTTTCATCCATGATTGAATATTATGCAACCAATGTTATTGATGAAAGATATTTCTAGAATCCCAACCGTAGAATTTGTTCTAATGATATCTATGTTGACGAAGTCAATGGGTATAGCGGAGAGTAAAGAAACATGATTTACAGTCAGAATCGGAAATATATATAAATAGATGAAAGTTCAAGAGTCTTCTACTAAAAGGAGAAATTTTGTGATACGAAGAAATGCTGCAAGAAATTATGTAGTATATTTTAGAATGTAAGGCGATTTCTTTGTTTAACTTCAACAATTGAAGAAATGAAATGAAAGACTCCTTCTCAGTTCAATAAATACCTGCTGTTTTTCGTTTTGAAATAAACATATACTATGCGTCAAATTCCGCAGACATTTCGGTTTAGAATATTTTACATTTATGTTTCTTTGATGTGCGATACTCTTCTTTAGGATAAGATCATGCGATTATCTCTTTCCAACCAGTTCCAGTGAAATTCGATTATTTTTAGAGATTCATACCATTCACTAGATTCGTAGCTTTACATCGCAAATTGATGCTAGAAATAATTTGAATTTTTAGTAATTGTCGACTCCAACCAGTAATTACGTTTTGAAAAGCTAGAGCGCTTTCCAGTACACATTAAAATATGTTGAATTATAATAGTCTATGAAACCTAAATTAGAGAATTACTGTACACAATTCGTATTCTTATTTCGTTAAAAGAAGTTTTTCTTTTCAAGTTTTTCAAGTTAACAATTTTGTGTACACAAGTGTATGTTCGAAATTCTTCCGATTGTCCCTTGATGCACGCTAATAGATTCTGTACTTTTAAAAGATATAACTTCATTTAGAGATATTTTACTTTAATTATTCTCTTTTATAGATAAAACACCTAGTTTGCAAATCAAATACAATAAAGCGCAAAAAGAAATCGAAGAAAAATTAAGCAAATGTATTAGAGTAAGTTTTGCTACGGTAATTGTGAAATAATTGTTCTATCGGTTCAACTTTAGAAACGATTACAGAAAGAAGCACAGCTATTGAATCCTTCATCTGACACTGCACAAAAACAAAATGAATTCTCAACTGTAAGTTAGAAATGATTTAAAGAATTAGTTAAATTGAACACTGTTGTTCGATTTCTTGTTATGTCGACGAAAATTTCTCAATGAAACTATCGAAACGCTAAAACAAATCGTCCATATGATCTTTTGCAACTAAATTATAATGATTTTGTTGATTTTTAAAAATATACCAACAAAACAAAAGCTAGCAGAATTCTCATGCTTAAGTTAAATGATCCTCCTTGTTTGTATCCTGAAAATATTTATCGAAATAAACTTTTCAGAATAGATAGATGAATCATTATTTAATCTGACATATCTATGAGCAGCAGTTGGTGTCGAACTCATGTTATTTTGATTTCTTCTTTATACACTTAAAATTTGGCTTGAAAATTCAATCTCAGTATCAAGATGACGAAATTTTCTAGTCTTACTAACGCATTCTTGTAAAATTAAATGGAAGACATGAGCTATGATTATCTCTTTATAAGTACATAACCAATTTTTTCAATAATGTTCCATAGAATGATAAAAAAAATAGAGAACATTCAACAAGCATGGATCAATATACTAATGATGATTCAACTAGTAATCAATCAGACTCATCATCATCATCCACCACTGTCATGTCTCGACAGCAACAAGTAATTCACGGAAATACGGCTGGAGTAGCGCGACCAAGTGGCATTCAGTCGGTACAATACGAAGCTTTAATGTCGCGTGATGAACAAGAACAAACAACTAAAACTTCTGTCATTACAACAAAACGTGCTTTAATAACAAAAAATATTGGAACTACTGAAAAACGAAAGAGACATGTTAGCGGTAGTGCTGGTCTACCTCCTATCAAACGAGAACTACAACCAGAATTAAATGATGAAGTTTGTTCGTTCTTGTTTCCGAAACGTATCCGAGTAATTTTGAAATATCTTTTCAGGAAGATACAAAAAATCTGAATGCACGACGTCGCCGTCGTAACACTGAAAAAGCAGTTCGTCAATGTTATGGACCAAGTTGTCTCTTCGAAGCACGTCCTGCATCAAAATATTGCTCAGATAAATGTGGTTTAGAGTTAGCTCGAAAGTACGAAATATTAGATTACAATATTATCATATACTTTATATATATATGTGCTTGATTTGATTAGTCGTCTTCTTCAATTTCTTCCAATGCGTCTAATGCAATGGCAAACAATTCCATCCGTCGCTGATACTTTCAATAAAAAAGCCATTGAAGAGATTAGAAATGAAATTGAAGATATAAAACAACGTTTATCAGTACTTGATGAACGACAGCGAAAATTAAGTGATATTATTGAAAGAGGAAAAAAATTAATAGCTACTAACGATACTAATGTATGGAAATTCATTTTTTACTAATCCACCAAAATACTTCTTTTGCTGTTAAATAGAAAATCGATACAACAAATGATGAACCTGATGGAATGTGTTTCTGTATATTATGTAATCAAGAAATAAGTCAAAAAACTTATACACGTCATATTGATAAATGTTTTATTCGAGTAAAGAAAAGTTTCTTCTTTTTCGTGTTTTGTTTGTTTCAAATGATTCGATTTTCCTTAGTTTGAAAGTCAAGTATCCTATGGATCAAATATTAAATCGAATATTGAAGGTTTATTTTGTGATAATTACGATCGTACAAACAATCTTTATTGCAAACGACTTAAAGTTATTTGCCCAGAACACTCAAGAGATCCAAAAGTAATACAAAATTATATTTCAGCTTTTTTTTAATAATATCTTCAATATTTTTTTATTTATATGAATAGATTGGTCCAGATGAAGCATGTGGTTGTCCATTAGAAAAAGATTTATTTGAAGTATCAGATGAACTATGTACAGTACCAAAACGCTTATGTTCAAAACATTTTAAATGGGATCGAAAATATCGTGCACAAATTGATCTCGAGCGACTGCATGAAGTATTAATTATTATAAAGTTTTTCTCAGTTCTATATTCATTTTTATTTTTAGTTAATGCGTTATGAAGAACTTATTGAGAAAGAAAACCGTTTGCGAACAGCTATGAATGAACGTGGTTCGGTAGCAGGACTTCTTTTACATAAAACAACAGCTCATTAAACATTATAAATATAGATAGAAGGCTTGTTTTCTGTGCAAATATGTATGTAACAAAAATGTATAGTTGCTTTAGTTTTCTTGCGTTTATTTGATTGATTATTCAAAACAAAACAAAACAAAAAGAATATATATCATATTGGCTTGTAAATAAATACACAGACTTTACTAGGTGATTTACTTGTATTTCAAACAGATATTTATTGGTGCCCATTGAGATAGAATATCATCAGAAGAAAAAGCAATGATGACATTCATATGTATACTAAGTTAAAAATGCTCTAATAAATATAGTAGATATACCAGATTAATAGGTTCGTATCAATTAGAAGAGAAAAAAACGATTTATGAAATGCTTTCATTTACAACATGACAAGTTGATCGTCGTAATGTGATTTCACTTGGTATTCCACAATGGAACGATGACATTGATAGAGGATATCCGAATAGAAAGAGATTCAATCAATTAATCAATGGGATGATTTTTAAAGTTCCTAAAAGGTAGAAATGGAGCTGATTCTGGGTTTAAATCAGGCAAAATCATGCAATTAGAAACAAATGAATCAAAAATAAAAATTTGGAAAATGTCATTTGCGTAGTACTTTTTCTTAAATTTCATATTTTTTCCCTAATTCAGTCGAAAAACAACACATAACGTTTAGTAACATAAGTATTGTTAATATTTCAGGCATTTTTTTTTAAATATATTTAGTAAATATTCGCACAACCCTTATCGGATTCTCAGGGTTTGAATAGATGAAATGTTTTCTATCTGAATTGTACACGTATTGCAAATATAACTGTGATAGATTATTCTTTTAAGACATAATCTGTCATACGAAATCTAATCAATGATTAATTGCGAAGCATAGTAGAGACTTCTCATTAGATACTCAAGGCAATTTCTTTAACTATGAAGAGAACAGATCCTGTTCATATTCATTTTTTTTCTATTGATTTTTTACGATTTTCTCATCTCAATGGTATATTATCAAGTAGTATACCCTAGAAAGTCATCTATTGCAAGTTGTCACGAATATCAGAATGATTCAATATGGATAATTTAAAACATCTTTTCAATGATGTAAAGTTACTAGGTACATTTTCACGACTCTTTCTTTCCTTCTAAGTATGTTACAATGGTTTCAACGCTTGTGAGATCGACTGCATATTAAGAGCATTCACGAAATTTTTAATGTTATCTATGATGGCGGAATATAATGACTCTACTGCTAGCAAGCAAATCTAGTTATGTGAATTTGTGTAGATGTTTAAAAATCAATTAGAATTTATTTATGATTCAGACAACAGTATGAGTTCAATTCGATATTTTGATGTTTAAAACAACTATCAGTTGATTATATTATGAATAAATGCATCTACTTTCTGTGTACTCTATTTCTTATTCAATCGTGTATTAAAATAACGAAATCTCTGAAGAAATAAATGATGAGAAGGTATTTCTAAGTGTACTATTCTGGTACGAATACGAAGACTATACAACTCAACGAAATAAAAAAATACATTTATCTTCAATTTAACCAAAATTTTAAAAAAATAATTGGAAATATCCAGTCACATAAAATCAACGAGTTATCGAGCATTATCGTCTATTCCAACTAGTTTGTTTATTATATAAAGAGCATCATTCTATTGAAGTCTAATGAATAATATAAACTAGATGCATTAATTGCATGTTGTTTTGCTAACATTTCAACTATACACGGTGCTTATATTGAAAATCTACAAATGCTCGATACGCTGTGTAGATCATTACGTTGATGGATTATTTGAACATCGTCACTGAATTTAACCGTATTTTAAAAAAAAAGCATTCTATAAGATCTGCACTGTTTATTTTCTCATGAAACTAATGATTTCAAATGAATATCTAGAACAATACTAAGTAAACCTCCAAAACACAAGTGTAACTTCAACTTTTGACTGTGAAATATGATCGCGGTTGTTGTAAAACTAAAATTACCACTACTATTAGTCATTCTACACAGTAGAGTTACAATGCATAAAAAGTTTACTGTTTTTTATGTCAAATGCTTTCTTTTACATATTTCTTACAAAAACAATATAGATCTAATGCGCTTATACTACAAAAAACGTTTGTTTCGTAAAAGAATTTTCAGTTCATCAAAGTAAGTAAATACGGTAAGTAATGTGCACCATCTATTCTGTATTAAATCTTGTTTTTCGTACTATTTCTGTTACACCAAGCCTTTCCTATACGTACAGCTTTCATCTCGTAATGATTGTCCTATTGTTTTAGAGCAACAGACAGGAAAAAAGCATCCGGCAGATTGACAGACCGGGCCATTTCGTAATTTTAGCATATCGAAATAATGCTACACAAATGATCATTTCTCCAATTTAGAGATTCAATTGTTACAGTTATTATAAAATAACATTTTTTTAGGTATATTTATTAATACTTGTCTGCCAGTTTAAAACGAACTTTCTTCATTAAACGCACACGCCATAGAACACAAATTTATTATTTTAAATAGGCAAAAACAAGAAAATAATTAATAATGTTCATTTTAGTAAAATTGAAAACATTCTCAAGTCAATTTTATTGTTGATGATTTCTTTCATCATGTTCTTCTGGTTCATCATGAAGATTTTCTGCACTGACATTAAAGAGTGACAAATCATCTTGAATTGATTGTCGCTTTTCATCATAATCATCGTCTTCGAATTTTGTTTTCTTAAAAGAATTTGCATTGTTAGCTTCTCCATTATGTTTTGTTTGTCTACTATTATCCATGTGTAGAATTTGTGAAATAATTTGTGTAGAATGATGACGAATAGTAGGTACACTTTTGGGAGTAAAAAAGGTATTCTGAAAAAGAACCAAAAATCTGAACAGCTGTTGAGAAAGTAAAGCATCAGCTTACCGTCGGAATTGTTTGAGATTGTGGCCCAACTTTGTTCGTTTTCTTCGATGGTGGTTGTCTTGTTTTGGAAGAAATCGATAGTGTACGAGTTATACAAGAGACGAGTTTCGTTAAAGAAACCGAGGATGACCATTTAGCATTCTTGTTCGAAGACATATGTATGTGTCCAAAAAAAGTTATTTCGAGAATGAAATAAAAGTTCACGTGCAAAGAGATTATATGTGGTTTATTCTAACAAGCTTAAACTGATTGCTTAAGATTATTACAAATAGTGTTCTTTTTTCTTTCAATCTACGCATAAAATGGCTCAATTAAGTCATTGATTTTTTGATCATCTTATTTTGATGAAATAGAATTTAGTAAATTAATCAAAGACAACATCGAATTAAAATTAGTGAACGGTAAGAAGAAAACATCAGTTCAGTACAGACATATGAGAAGTTTAACTATACTAAAATTTATTTCTATTAAATTTTTTACTATTATTAACACGCTACATCAGCAAAAGAATCTTCTTAATTTTTGTTATTGCAAAAATATCAAAGTAAGCAAACGATCGAATCAAAGCTTTATTTGTTGAAAAAACGTTCAGATTTTAGAAACGAAATTAATATCTGCTCAACAACTGGACAAATAGTCATAAATATAAACGCTGAGTTGTATGTGGAAATTTAGAAAAAGAATTTATAGAGATGAATGAATAAATGAAGATTAACCATCATCACCGTTCATCAAGCACATATTAAACACAGAAGCTTCATCGCGAGCAAAAACTCAGTCGATATCAACACGTGCTACGGATATAGGGACATACGCTAGATGTTATAACTAGTAAGTATTATCATCAGGCATCTTATTACAAAAGAATGGATCTGAAGAAAATCTTCGTGAATTTCTTTGTACACAAAAAGAATTACCTAATGACGAAGTTTTCAAAATACATCGAAACGTACTACTGTTTTGATTGGATCGAAGTGGGAAAACTTTAATTGTATGCAAATTACTGAGTTTGGCTCAAGTCGATATCGATAGTCTAATAGTTTCAACTGAAAATTCGAAATGTATTCATTGAAGATATTTATAGTGGAAATATATGATAGAGAATTCAACTTCTTACGTTAGTGCAATATTTCTAATGATAAGGATATTTTCACCTTAGTTATAATGAATAATCAAAGTTGCATACTATTTTATATATGGAAAACGGTTGACACGATTTATTAGCCGAAGATTTACTTTCCATTAATTGCTTTTCAATTTTAATTGGTTTATTTCTAGAAAAAGTATAAGTTTTGCTCATCAGAATTTACTGTCCGTTGATTGATTGTATCAACGGAAGAGAAAAAAATGAATGAATACTGACTGCGATAATTAATATATTATCAGGAAAAAAAACGAATTTCAATAAATCTATCAGAAAACAAGAAAAAACAATCAATGTGTAAATAAGCAAAAACGAAGAAGAATAAATGTTTAATGTGTTGATGATCTTTAAAACTACCTAAGTTCAGCAGCTTTCAAGAATGATAGAATATCATGACCACTTTTGTCATAACGTTACCATAATTTTATTAAATATTCATTTGTTACGACTTAATGTTTACGAAGTTTTGGAGCTGAAGCACCCATATCTTCTAGCAATCGATCAAAGTGTTAATGCTTGTTCATTTCTCATCTTCGAAACAATTAAAGGACAGTAAATCCTCACACAAGAACAACACTGATTGAAATAAATGTTTTCATCTAATCAATGGACAGTAAATCCTCGGGTAGTAAATCCTCGGGTGGTAAATCATGCACACGATGGAAAACAGTAAATAGATATCGGCTAAATCTTCTTAGTGAAACGCATTTATAGGTGATCAAGAACAATATTACACTTGTATGTAATACAGTATGACATTGGAAGAAGAAAAAGAATCATCTACGAAATGGCTAGTTAATTCTTACTGAAAATGACACTAGTATTTGCAGACATTAATATGATCGGTACTAATCCTTCGTACTTCTAATATTGATAATTATAAATTTTTTTTTATTTATTTAACTTCATTTTGAATCTATCCAACCGAAACAAAAAATAACAGAAAATCTATATATATCGATATATAAAATACAAAACCTATGAATAATTAACATAGAAAAAATGATTATAAATTAATTCAAATGACATTTAACAGATCTATCGCTTCTTTCAATTGTTTAACTCGATTTCGTTCATTTTCGATTTTTCTTTTATATAAATCAATAATATTATTTTTTATTTGTTGTGTTTGTTCTATCATTTGTTTAGAAAAATAATTTTTCTTTTCTAGCTTTTCAATCTCTTTATTCATATTATCACAACGTTTTCTTAATTGGATAATTAATTTCACCATTTCATCATTGCACATTTTGTTACACATCTTCTTTTTTTCTTCATACCAATTTTTGATTAAATTTAGTTGTATGTTATGTCCAAATTCAGCTGCTTCAATAACGTCTTTTTTTCGACGCAACTTTTCTGAAATGCAAATATTCATTTTTTTATTATCTTGATCGAATCTAATAATTTCTGTAAAATATTGATCAACCCGAGATGGTGAAATATATTTTCTAAGTATTAACTGGTTGTCATTATGAAAATGTGGTTCATCAAGAATTGCACAGTCAACACTATTTGGTTGAATAAAACCAAGTAGAAATGTTTGATCAGGAATTATAATATGACATGATGTTACGGTACCATATTTACTAAAATATTTACGTAGATTCGTCTGATTAAACTCGCTATCATCAGTTGGACAATCCAACGATATAACTAATTCATTCGATAACATAAAACGTTCATAGGCAGGACGTGTTGGTGGTAATATACGACGAATAGATAGTGTTCGATCATCAAATTTTATTCGTTGACAACGTCTTATGATGGAGTTCACATCAGCACCTAATCCATATGTAATTATTGCAGCTGCACTATTACGTTGAGAAGTTTTTGAAAAAAATGTATAACTTTCAATTGTACCAAATTTTGAAAACGATGAACTGAAATATATTTTTTTAATAAAATCTTATTTTTGCAAAAATTGAATTAAACTTACATTAAATCATCTTCGTTAGTGTTAGAAGAAATATGACTTATATATATACTGCACTCACTACGGTTCATTTTTTTCTTAAAAAATAAGTTTGATCATAAACAAGATTTAGTAGTTTTTATTTCTGTGTCTTCATTTATTGTACAAAAAAAAAAGAAAGAAAAACAAAAGAAAAGTAGCAAAACAAGGATATATACTTCTATGTTGATGTTCAGGCTCACCGGCAACAAGAACAACAAACACACATCAAGCATTAACAAAAACTGTTCATGACGTACAAGATAATTTAAATTTCACTCAGGCATAATATAACTTGTAGATTGATTCGAAAGAAGAAAATATAAAACGACGATGAACGGATGAAATTAATTAGTAACTGATGAAGGATGATTGACAATTTGAGCAACTATTTACAAAAATGCAAATGAAAATTATTCGAACAATGAATTCTTTCTTACTTACTGTCAACTGTATCGTTATGATAGTTATTTTCAGATGGTTTTACTAAAAGAAAATGTTATTTCATAGATAGATTGAAATGAATAATATTTACATTCTCGATAAGTAGTAGTAGTACTTGTTGTAGTAGACGAAGATAAGGATGCATCATCAACAGCTAAATATCAATATAGAATACATTGAAAAGTTTTCTTTATGAATCTACAAGACAATATCAAGTTATTCTGATGTAGTTTAAAAAGCTATGTTGCATCATATTAAGACTTCTTTTGCACACATTCTAATCAATGTGAGATCGCTCATAGAAAGTCTATAATCAAGCATACTAGTCGAAAAACAATAGTAACAAGACCTATGCATAGTTCTAAGACTTTGCATTTGATTTTACACGGATTAAAACGATTTTTTGGAAAAACAGAAAATGTAAACATTTTCGTAGTCATCTGTTTCCAGCTTCTTTGTTGATATTCGATATAAGAGTGTAATAATACCTTCAAACGAATAATACTATATTATAATCATAAGAGAAGATTGTACAACTCATAATTTTTCTACCACTTTAGCTCGTATAGGTACGTATATCCAAACATTGTAATTAACATGATGAGTATTTTATCTATTCTATTATAGGAGTGATAATACCCCTCTGAATGTGAAAAATGTGGACATAATTACTGCTTCGTTATACGGACAACGCTTTAGATTCGATATTTCACTCTTAATCAATGTATTTTCAACTGGCTTTAAGCTACTTGGTAGTTCGTCTAGTAAATAAATGACAGTTTAATGCTGTCTTTGTTAAAGAAAAACAAATGAACTAATAGACTATTCTACTGAACATACGACTGGGTTTTGTGATAATATTCTGCTGCAATCGATTGCCGTCAACAATCGATGGTTTTAAACGTAAAGATTCTATAATGTCAACAATAGAATCACATGTGAATATTAAAAATATATTTACCCTTTAAACATGTACACGAATCTATTTGATTTCGTAATATATTAAGGTCTAATTGTAATGCAGTAATAATTATTTTTACCTATGAAAAAACAGGAATTCATTGATCTATCAAAACACAAAAAAAAAGGCTATTTACTTTATCTGATGAATTATGTACTAGATTGGTTAGTTCTTGAAAATTTACAACTAATTCTTGTATTTTCTTACTTTGATTAAGATTTTCAAGTTCGTTCTTAAAGTAAAAACAAAAATAAGAATAATTAATGATTTATTCTGAAATCTTTCTGTTATGATGTAACAATATTTACTCGTAGAGCTTTTAATTCATTATGCCATTTAATTGTACTTGCATATAAACTTTCATTCAACGAAAGAAGATTTTTTGATAGTTGATTTGAATCCTATATATACAGGAAGAGAAATTGAACGAGACAAAAAATTTCATTTAAATCTTCAACTTTTTGTGTATTTGTTCGTCGTTCTTGTTCAAGTAAACGTTCAATTAAATTTCTGTCAAATGGTTTTGTTTTATCATGAACAACATCTATTGCTTGATTATCAGCATCACGACTTAATTTCTATTAGAGACAGTAAATAAATAACAACAAACAAAATAAATAATTTCATACATCTAATTCATCAGCAGCTTCAGAAAATTGCGTAGATTTCTGTTCAATATTTTCTAATTTTGATGAAATATCTACATCATTGTCATTATTCATTAGCATCTAAATCAGTAATGGTTTTCTTTTTATAATATAAAAAGTACATTTATAATTATAAACTTACTTCAGTTTCTGGTCGATTGTGTTTTACTTGATTAAAATCTCTTTGTAGTTTTTGTAATCGATCATATACAAAGGAGACATTCCAGCGTTCAATTAAATTTAGACGAACTTTTATTTGTTCAATTGTGGATAATATACGATTGATTTCAAAATTTGAAAATCTTTTTTCAACTAAATAAAATCATTATTGAATTTTTTAGCATGAAATTTTTATGTTTTTTAAAACAAAAATAATTAAAAATATGACAGCAATCCGAAGAGACTAGATTCTCGTTTGTAATCATTGTTGTTGATGTTTCAGAAACAAATATTATTCACACGTACATATTATTTGTACTAAAATAAATTTTATCAATGATTAATAGTAGATCTCAATAGATTTGAACTATTTCTTGATGAAAAACCTATAGAACTACGTTACTCATCTTGAGAAAGTTAACGAAAACAGCGTATGTCAAAAATTATTCTTACTTTCATTAACACGCAGAGATAAGTTTTGCACTTCAGCTTTCAATTCAATATTTGCGTAAGCTAATCCAACACTAAAAACCAAGCAAAATAAATTTTGAAAAATCTTTCACATTGGATAATAATTTACCAAACGATCATGAATATACAAACAAGAAAAAATGAGAGTAAATGTCGAGTATAGTTACACCAACGTCGATATCGCGTTGGATATCTATAGAAATATATGAATAATAATGATATTTGTTTTTCGTAGTTAATTGAATTTATTTACATTTTTTTAGATGAATTTTTTCTGTTTGATAAAAAGACATCATCTTCTGAACTAAGAGAGAGTTCATTGGATAATCGACTACTACGACGATTAGATATTGATGTTGATGAGCGAAACTTTAATAAAGCATCAAGTTGTTTGCGTTTTTTCATTTTTTTATTACAATGACGTGGTGGATTATAGGATATGCCAGTTTCTAAATCGTTGATAAAATCATCCATGAAACGAGTATTATTTTGATCCGATAGATTTTGTGAATTATCATTCAATTTAATTTTAGTAGGAAGCATTATGTTTTTAAGATAATTAAACGATCGTTTGAGATCGATTGAAATACATCAATAAAAATGAAAAACATCTAAAGACAAGAAAAAACAGTGAAGCGTATCACACTCTTACGGGTACTTGATAAGCGTGAATGTCAATGACACAAGAATGCAATTGGGTACTGTTTATAAAGCAATAAAACCTATCAGAAATTTAAAAAGCTAAATTTCAATATTTATTTAAATAGAAAAGAATATTTATTTGAATAAAACTACGGGTAATAATTTTGGTTTGAATCTTTCTTTTTTTTGCTTTTCTTAACTTCGATTATAAAATATCTGTGACCATTCGTTGACGTGAATCCTAGATGACAGTAGATACCAACCTAACAGCAATGAATGCTTTTTTATCGATAACTTGTGTGTCCTATTCTAAAATCTCAATAAATGAATTATCAAGTTGTTGTTTAACTATTATTCGATTTTATCTATTAATAGCTACTATTTTTTTTACATCTCTGTTAGATTCATCAACATTTCTTTGCCATTCACATCTGAGATCATTGTTGTTTTTATACGATGTGAAGTTTTCTCTTAACAAAAGATTTAGTTTGCTATAGTTATTGTGAATATTAGGTTTTAGAATTTATGAATTCGCATTATTCGAATGAGTTTGTTAAGAATGATGCTGTCTCCTTTTATTACGTATATAAAAATGAAGATTATTAGGCGTTGAAGATAATATTGATGAATTTGAATTCTCTACTACCGATTGCTAAATATTAATACGAGAGAAAGAAGAGATAGATCCAAGAAAACAAAAGATAACTTTTCATAGAAAAACTGATGCTCAGGTATCATAGAAAATCATATAGAAATTGAATTTAAAAAATAACGAAAGAAAGCATTTCAATCTTCGTATTCATTTTCTACATGTCCTCATAGTTAGTCTTTCGACTCGTGTAATTATTTTCTTCCTTTTGTTGTCGAGAAGATATTCGTCAAAAAATATTTCGAAACTAATCTGACTGCAAATGATGATATATGATCTATATCAGTCTTACTCAAATGTTTTTTTAACACGATATATAATATTTATTTATGTAGCTGAAATATTGCAGAAATCACTCTTATTTATATTTGTATGACGAAATGATATGAATATTCTAAAAAGAAGATTCCAGTGTATATGTTTAAGCACCAAAAGAAGACAAGAATAGATCCCATTAAATCTATTTTTTGTATAGTGATGTCAAGGAATGAAATCAAAATAAATAACCAATCCCTGGAGATCGAACTTTTTTTGTATTCTCATACAGAACAGATTAGAGCAACACAATACAACAAAAACTTCAATAGCATTGTTTAGTCTTCTTTTATTAATCAGGCAGGTATTGCGAGTGTAAAACAATGTGAAATTATAATGCATCTTACAGAAATAGCCTTCATCTATGGAACATCAATAGAAAAGAGAGGGGAAGAGAGAGAGAGAGAGAAAGTGTGACTGACATGGTTGTCAAACAGTAGGAGGTTTTGTTATTATGCTTAAACTTCATCTATTGCAGCTCTATATAGAATTCTTTTCAATTTCATAAGCATTATTTTATTTTTATAATTGACAATAACAACAACAACAACAACATCATCAATACATTGACTTGAAATTTTCATTCGTGATCAATGGGAACTACTTACGATTATACCTACGAATATGAAGTAACAGATGCAAATAGACATCATCGAAATACTGGTGGAAATATTGGAAATTATGCCCCGCGAGCTATCGGACACCAACAACATCATGGGATATCAGTTCCACATACAAGTCGTACAGACATGATGGACTCATTAGCTAATTTACAACGTGATCGAATATGGCATAAACTTTATGATCCTCTTGATATGAATAAAGCAACACACGAAGCTGAAATTCAGGTTTGTTTTTGTAATTTTATATTTAGCAAAGATAAGCTCGATTCGATCAAGTTTATTATTCAAAAAAAAAAAAAAAAAATTATATATATATTATTATATATATAAAGAAATTGCATTCATTTACACTAATTACTGTTAATAGTGACGATTATGACACGCTATCATTAATTTTGCTTCATAATTATTGAATTTTGAAGTACAACATGAGAAACTGTTCAAAATCGATAGTAAAAATGAGTTTTCGACTATTGAAACAAGGTATATATATTTAATACTATGACAGAATTTGAACTTAGACAAATATTATTAGAAAATCCGCCAAGATGTAATTGTTAAAATATTTGATCTGCAAGATTTTCTTCATATTCGGAAACCACTATTGCATATGATTGGTCGTCACAACAACTAGCAACATAGATACGCTTTTTATGTCACTAAGTGACAATCAAATATTGAAAGAAAAAAAGGGAGGGAATATAGGTGAAACCACACTATTCTGATTGTTTTTTTTTCTTTCTGTTACAGTTAGCTGTCAATTTTTTTTGTTCTTCGCTTATGTCGCTCGTCTACATCAAACAACAAAAATATGATTATAACTAGAAAACAAAAAGAAGAGAGAAATCCTTTCTTGGTAAATTTGTACCATGCCAATCTTCATGCTATGTTTCCATTATCAGAAGAAGGAAAGAGAGAAAAGAAGAAAGAGCAATAGCGTAGATGAAAGAACTCGTTTTTTTTTCTGTTTCTTTCTCTTCATCTAGTGTTCACATAAATTACACACATATTTTAAGAAAAAAAACTATCAAGAAATCAAATAAATAACAGATAGGTATGTAAGCACCAGAGTTAACTATCTGCTAGTTGAATATCACTATTATATACACACAGGCACATCTATTAAAACTGCACCATGTACATGTTTTTCAGCGAGTATGCACGTAAACCGTATGATCACGTAGGCAATGATTTTAAAACGTCTTTTCTTTCTATACAATCATAAGTATAAATAATTGTTTTCTAAAGAAAATGGCTCGCCGTCAAGATCGTAAAGTAATTAAAATTGAGGCAGCCTATGGATCAGATCGGCAAACATTTATTGTTAAACGTAATTATGATTTGCGTGTACGTGACGTACAAGAAGATGCAGCAACAACATTTCGAATACCTATTGATCAAATAATTCTCTATTGGAAGGTAAAACAGGATTGCTAATTTAAAACAGTAATTTCATTAAAAATTTAGGGTCGAAATATTTGTGAAACACCAAATGAATCTTTGGAATCATTAGGCATTGAAAATAATCATACAATGCGTGTTTGTCGAGGCGATGATCAATCACAACAAAATAGACAACGAGAACTACGTTCTTATCATGGATCTGATCAACAATCTTATTACCCTCAATATCAACAACAAGTTTATTCAAATTATCCAACAATGTATGATCACCAACAACAACAAAATATGATTAGTCCACGGTAAAAATAATCATTTTTTTAAGTAATTGTTTCTCATGTAGGAAATCTAAAAAGGTTTAAATAAATAAAAACTATTCTTAATCATTATTTTTTAAACAAACGAGAAAAAATAAGTTATTTATGTATTTATGAAATGCAGTTCGTATTGTAATTGTACCTGTGCGTACGGGAATTATAACAATTGCAATTGTTGTTGTCATCATGGGTCGTAAGTTTCTTCTCCCAATTTTTCTTTAATCAACAAATTATATATAATATCATGAATTATTTCTTCCCTCCCTATTACCTATTGCTTCAGGCATTTTCGCTATCGTCCGATTTAAAAAAAAAGACAACACTAATTTTGTTCCATTTTTTTTCTTTTAAATAAAAACCAACCATCCACTTACCTGCTATATGCTATCGACTAACTAATCCTTCTTTTCTAGCACTAACTATTATCAACAACTGACTAGTCCAGGTATACCTGGTGCTGTTACTGCTAACCATGTAGTCAATTTACAAATTGGCTTTGGTGATCGAGTGGAAGGCCTCGTTGTCGGTCGACCACATCCCATAACAGCGTATGATTTACAAATTGAATTACAACAACGCTTCAATATACCGCTTCTCGAACAAAATGTTTCATATAATGGAATGTCATTAACTCAATTTCCACCTGATATTTCATTGGATGCTATTGGCATTGTTAATAATTCGTTTATTTCACTTTGGTATAAAAATGCTGTTCACCATAATCCACAACAACCATCGAATGATTATCATTCTCCAGGACAACAAGCACCAGGACTATATTCTAGTGATGGATCTGTAACAGTACGTAGTAGTGAAAACTCATCAAGGTAAGATGAAAAGTGAGCAGTGTGTGTGTGTGAATGTAGAAACACAGTCGAAGATATTAGTTGTTAGTTCTCGTGATTTAAAAGGCGAATGAACAACAGCAATAGCGGAGACGACATGATCCAAAATACGGGCAGCCACGATGTACTCAAAATTGAAGTATTTCATGGTATGATCATTTTATTTTTCAATATTTTCGTTTTTTTTTCTTTTATTCTAAAAGAAAAAATATTAACTATCCTTGTTCTATTGTAAGGTTCTGATCGGCATGTACTTATTTTACGTAGCCCAAATAATTTACGCGTTATGGATTTAATGGAAGAGTTACAACGTATAACAACTGTTCCAGTTTATACTCAAAAAATTTATTATCGTGGACAAGAATTACAAACAATGAGAGAACGTACATTACGCGATGTCGGCATTGATAATAATGCTCAAGTGAGATTAATTGGTGATCCAGTAAAACCACGGTATGAAGCGATGATTACAGGAAATCGACCTCATTGAAAGAGAAACAATAAAGATAAAACATTATTAAATCATTTTGAGGATATCATATTTCTTTATTATTATTATTTTTTATCAGTTAATCACTTTTGTTCATCCTATCCGTCCATTCACGTCCCAGAAGAAAAATAAGTTTTGTAAATAAAAATATGAAGAAAAAAATATTCAATTGTTCATAGTTTCTGTTTCGACAGCAAATATTTTATAGTAAAACTGGTAAATTAGACATGTGCTTTTGTAGCTTATGTCATTGATTTGAAAATGTATTCTACTTACCCAGATTTATTCCATTTCAGAGCGAGTCCATGAAGTCTTGCTTAGACCCAAAACTAAAATAATTGTATTAAATATATAGTAATTGATGACAGCGTAAACGTTGGTACGATCCTGAAAACGATAATAATCGCACACCCATCTCACGTCAACTCTGCACACACAGACCAATAACTACGGTTCATACCTTCAGTTTATTTTTATTAGCTCCTTTTTTTCCGTTCAATATGATCACCAGTTATGCGATGTTTTTATTCAAGTAATTCATAGTTTTCAATTGAAATAAAAAAAGAAAATCACAAGAATGAAAATATTTCCTCAATTATGGATTCATGTTTTAAATAGAATCCTTTTACAAATTTTCATGAACATAATGAAATTAGCTATAGTTCAGATAATCTAATCTGTAGATCTAACACGAAAATTAAGGTAAATAATCAACTTTTGAAATAGAGAATCTGCGCCAACCGAATAAAAACTTCATTTCATCCAAAACAATGACATTACTTATAATCTGCGATGAACGAATAATAAAGCAAAATCAATTATTTTTCTTAGTGACGATTTTATGAATATGATCGAATGGATAAAAAAAGAGTCCTTTTTTACAGTTCATTTTGTTTATTATAAATTAAACAAATATTTTCTTCAGGCATATTAAGAGTATTCTTTAGTCAGTAGTTAAATATGAAAAAATTTGAATGAATAGAAGAGTACAATATTTTAGAAACATTTTCTCTACATAATTACATATATTCTTGCACAATATTTTCAAGCAAATAGGTAACAATTCGATAAGGATTGGGAAGTCACAGAGAGAATGAGTGCACTGCGAAGGGTTAATTTTCAAGCCAGAAAATTTACGAAAAACACAAAAATAAGAACAAATGCAATGCATCTATAATGCCTTTAGTAAAATTCACTCAAAATAAAAGGTTCAACTTACATTTAATAAAAAAATTTGAATTCTACACTTGTGTTTTGTGATACATGTACTAAATTATACTAGTTTAGCTGAGAGGACTGCAAAGTTTCCTTACGAATAGTAGAGATATTAGAGATAATATAATTGATAAGACTTCTCACTTGACACGCTTCAACAAGATAATAAATTCTACGGGATGACGTACGTGTGTCATCTATTCTGTTTCAAATAATCTCAAGTAATACTTTACCATGTCATGGCAATGAGTCGTTTTTTAGTGGGAAACTGTATTTGTCAACATAGACGTTTTTCTATGAATTGCTCTGGTCAATCATGCTTTACCAACTGCTTGTAGCTTGCTATAGAACAGTACATAGCATTTCCTGAGTGACTATACAAAGGATGAGATTAACGGAGAAATATATGTATACGTAGGCATTACTAAAATTGATCAAAAAGCAAATTTAAATTTTTTCTTTCGTATATATCTTAATAATTGGGTGATAACAAGTTAGTCTAACTTTTACGAAATTGTTATTCTGTGTTCTCTTGTACATCTGTAAAAGAAAATCCAACCTAAAATTCAATTTTAATTAAAAAATGGACCATGAAAATGATTTTTCGTCGTTCAACAATCGATCAATAAGCATGGAAGACAAAAAAACCAGTCATTCAGCAAATTTACATTTCTCTTTAAGTTGCGTCTGACTGGATAATTTAAGCTTTATCACATATAAAATAAAAAGTATCTCTCTAGTTTAAACTATTTCACTTCATTTGTATTTGGTGTTGGTCAAAAACGGAAAAACAACAGCATCTACGTAATATGCTATTCAACTCAAAACTAAGAGTGATCGACTAAAGGCAGCACCATCGGCATGAGAAGGAAACGGAAAAAAATTGGAGTAGTTTTATCCAATCTAATAGTTCTTCGTTGTCTTGATGAAATTAAATCTTAGAGAGAGGTGTTCCTAGAAAATAACCATATGTGAGTATAACGCAAGTCGACTGAAACTTTAAACATATGCCAAGAAAAGGAGAGAGATATCTATAAATGTGTTTTATGATGCAACGAGTCAAAATTCAATCTTTTTGAAGCTAACGCTAAGGATATAGTATGAAGCGCACACTAAGAAGAACTCAATCTAGCGTTTACTGAGACAACAATCAAACATCGAGGCGTTAATGAAATAGTTTGGGGTTGATTTGATTGGCATTGGATGGGAACTCTGATTTTTATGGATATTTCAGTTCAGTCTCTCATTCGCGATAATATATAAAACAGGAGGATAGACCTCTTGAGATTGTTGACTTCGTTCATCAAAACGTCCTCTAATTTTTCGTTTTTCTTCGTCGTCTGTTAAATATAACAAATTATTGTTCTCAAACAGGTAACAATAGTCAAATGTATAGTTTATTACAAAAAAAGAAGTCAAGTATCCCGACGAAAAAGAAAAAGTAACCGAGTCACTTTCTTTGTTGAAGACAAAAGAAAAGAAACATGAATAATAGGAAAATAAGACGAGTCAAAGGGTTCTCTCTCCCCTTTTTTCCTTGTTACGAAGATTTCTGTTATCGCTGCTGATCTGCTTTTATGTACTGCCATGTCTTTACTGCCGACGTATGTTTCTTTTCTTTTCTAATGCTCTATATTTGTCTCTTTGTCCTTGCTTCTTTTTTTTTATGTTGCTCAACTAATGCATAGGATGTGTCCGTGTCCGTGTCCGCATCTTTTTTATGTCTCTTTATGCATGTCTCTTGTTTTGTCCTTGTTTGTTGTCTGTCGGTGTGTGCCCATGCATGTCTTATCTTTGATGCTGTCCTGTTTCAGCGGTTCATATCTCTCTTTCTTTTTCCTAACTCATTGTACTATAAGAGCTCATGAAGCCGTCAGTTAATGCATAATAAAAAAAAGACTAGTCAAAGGGTTGACGAATGTTAGAAGAGAACAGCGAAGTGAACGGACAATATCGAATAGTTATATGCACTGTACAAGAAATGACGAATGATCCTCAATTACTTTTAATGGAACACTGCCCAAGAAGTAAATATATTTTATACAATTCATTTTTTCAATTACATGTTGTTGGCTGTGAAGACATGCTGCGTCATCCATTTGGCTTTCTGTGTGTTAACTATGATGCAAAATATATGTGAAAAACATTATAACAATTTGTGGATTGTGACGTTGAGAATTCGAAATCCTCGAACTTGTTGTTAGATAGATATTATTTGTGTGTTTTTTTTATGAAGGCTATACGATCCTGCGTGAATCACTATAAGTAAATAAATCATTTATATTATTCCTTCACTAGATTTTACTGATCGTAGCTATTATACTCAAAAATGAGGTATTACACTAGCTATAGGACATGAGATAATAGCTTTCAGATATTTATCCGTACCGTACTCTATATACACAAAATGACTTTCTTCTTTTAAAATTCAATATGTCGAGTTCCTTGTAGATATCTGCTGTCTGATTGCAATATTCGAACAGAGATAGTTGTTGATATATCTATGATTAGTTTTGACAGGGATATATCTCTTTTTTTTCCCTATAGGTCTGTTGATTTATCTAGCGGTTGAAATGAACAATCGACTTTCTTTACATATATGAAATGAAAATTTTCTCTTGAATTATTTCATCTTGCAATTTATTTGATTTGGTAGCTTATCTGAAATGCTGACCATCGTGCACATCATATAAACTTCTACAGTTTATTGTCCAGTTTCGTCAACTGAAATTATTCACATCACTTCCTCATCATATTTTACTTCTATATTGAAAGTGATGAAGAAAAATATTTCTTCAGTCTCAGCCCCTTTTCTTCTATTCATCTACTTCAACTCTGAGGGTAAATTTATAAGTAACATGTCAATCGTAACATTTCGAAATTGATGCTTTAATGTAACATGCTTGTCAGACGTCCACACATTTTCTATTTTATGCAATAAACAAATACAAACTTTCTTTCGTTTCGATTCTTTTTATTTTTTTCTGCGATTTATTCCAGAAGCACTTCAGCTCCACCTTATGTAAGCAATACTAACAAATACAGAATTTCGCAATGCCCCTATATATTATTCATTCGAATTTATTTTGTGAAAGAAGTAACATCGTTTCGGTCCTGCTGTATAGTTATTACGGTCGATTTAATAGAAAGATATGGCCTCTCATTCTCTTTTAACAATAAGATCCATTGACTACTCACGTCTAAATATTTTTAAAATATGGATAGATTCGTTAAATTAAATTTACATTCCAGATAGAATCATCGTTGCAAATAGATAGGACGCTTTAATGAATACCGAAATAATGCCACCACCTCCTTACAGTGCGTAATATGAAATTCAATTTTTCTTCTCACTATGAATTCTGATTTATGTTCTATACGGCTATATAATAGATGAAAAGGCTGCTGCTCGTTATATATATCAGAGTCCACCACCAATCATGAATCCAACGTTGCAACAACCGGGATTTCATGGAACAACTATGGGTCCTCTTTCTGAACATCCGATGCAATGTGTTTGCTCTAGATGTGGTGCTTTAATAGTGACACGTACAGAAAAAGAAGCAGGTGTTGTTACGTGGCTTCTATGTGGTGGTCTAATACTGATTGGTTGCTGGTTATGCTGTTGTTTTATCCCATTTTGTATTGATGGAGCTAAAGTTAGAGAAAAATTTTAAACGTCCTTGTTATAAATTTATTTCTTATAGGATACGGCACATTATTGTCCGAATTGTGGTAGTTTGGTGGGTGTGAAACATCTTATATAATGCTTCTATAGATCACGAGACACGTATGAACACACAAATATTTGTGACTTTCTTTTGTTGTTTGAATGAAAATACATCTCCAAGATTTAATTTATTTTCAAACAGCAGACTACTGTATTCCTAAATTTCAGAGGCATGCTTTTTCGAGTGATCAATCCTCTCTTATGAATCACATTTCCGCAGAAAATAGAAAAACAATAAAACACATATATGGCTCCTCACGTCAGAAGCAAGTAGCTATGTTGTTTTTTGGAACGTTTTATATAGCAGTGAATACAAAGACTACAAAGAATCCATCAGCATACACTGATGAGAAAGGCTGAATAAGACAGAGCCATAATCTTCTGAATAAAAGCAAGATATTCGTATTTAATATTGATTCAGAAGTAGAGTAGGAAGAAAGTAATTTAACTCATCATTTTAATACCAGGATTAATTCCTCAGTGGTTGACGTAGCAGATTTTTCTGCTACGTAAGACCAACTATGTTGCTGTCTGTATGAGTCTACCGTTAACTCACACTCTACGGAAAAAATTAGCATGCGTCTTCTCAATATCTATTAAATAATAAAATGTTTTTTTTAAATCATAAACTAATTTTGCAACACCCCTTTCTATGCCATAGTAATATGATTTGATCAGATTATTTCTATATGAGACAATCTTTAGAAACAAAGGATGTTTCTAGAACTTTTTAAGATTCTATTTTTCTCTTCTGGTCTTGAACTCCGTAAAAAATAGTTCTTTGTTGAGCAATGAGATGTTACAAAGTTTGTTTGAATCATTTGTTTTGCATGAGAAAATATTTTTGAGAAGTTCCGAACTTGGACAATAGGAAGCACGTTAAAAATTTCTGACGACCATCTTTTCTCAGAGTGTTAGAGATTCGATGTACTTGTATCACTACTGAACACAACAAAAAAAAACGTATTCTATAAATTACGAAACTAATCTAATTTCTGTGCAGAATTGAATACATTCGTGAGAACTAACCCATTAGACTTATCTTGCATAATTTTATTCGAACAAACCAAGTAGTTCGACAATCGAAGCTGAGAACAAGAATACTTCTACTTCATCCTCATATAATTCATGAAATCGTTCGAATATCTGATAGATTGATCGGTATAAACAATAATACTACAGTACGTCGGAAAGACTGAGTATATCAACAGCGCAAAACAAAAGTTCAATTGGCTCTAACAATAACTAGGTGCAACCAATTCTAAATGGAGTCCATTGAGAAACTTTATTGGAGCATTATTATTGAGACTCAAATGTGAAACTCAAACATTTCCCGTATATGTAATTGGCTGTTGGTAAATAGCTCAAATGAAAAATCTTTCGTAAAGATCTACCTTCATTTGGAAGATCTATAATAAGCTATTACATGTTTGCTTATACCTTGAATGTTGATATTTAGACTAATTGGTAAGGACTGTATTGAGAACTTGCTAAGTTTTATGATGCAGTCATACACGGATTGTTAAAGACTTTCATGAATAAATCTAGGTTGTTTTTAATCTTTGATGAAAAGACGAAACAAATTGCACTCTAATTAGTGTAGTTCCTCGTTGGCGAAATGGGTAGGGTACTTGAGAAGCCGCAAAAAGCTTTCACCCATACCCTCCGTTGAAAATATATTCGAGTTACATGAAATCAATAATATTTCTTTTGACTAATTAAATAGAAACAATGAGGGGTGTCGGGAATTGCGCCTACGTAACTTTCGTCAACACAATATTTCTAAAGACGTCATCTGGAATATCGCATATTAATGAAATTCAAAAATCGAAAACGACGGCTTTTTGTGCGAAGATTATTACGTAGCACCTAAGTCATGACCATACATGGATTAAATACTGAAAGTCTAAGTTTGAAATGACTCTATAGTCAAGCTTTTGAATGCCGGACGGCTCTTTGTCATAATATTTGTCTCGGAAAAATAATGATCCTAAATTTGTCTATGTCGTCTTTAGAACTTCGGAGAAAACAGAATACTAATCAAATTAATCGATGAAAATTCTATAGGTCAAATCTGAATTCTTTTGTTGTCGCTATGCAGCATAAATGTTATAAGTGATTAAATTAGATAATTGCGCAGCCAGTAGAAAATTGCATTAGGGCTGCCGAAACATTAAACAAGAAATTGGTTCACATCGTTTCAATCATAATTTTTATAAGCAATTTCATTCTTTTTTTTAGAATTGATCGAAATTAATTACAATAGAGTTCATTAAATTGTCTTCTGAAAATTATCACGAGGAATAAAGACTCTGACCAAGAATGCAAGACGCATATACATCAGTCTTGAAATGTGGACATTCATCCAATCATTAGTTTTTCCTACGCATTTCAAATGTTGATAATTTTACATCACACCAAGAGACGAAAACATTTTGATGTTTACTCAAATGTATTTGTTGTTGCTTGACAAGTTTCAATAGCAGCCAGTTAATCTACTGTTACATGAAAAGCCTTGAAAAACAATACCATTCGACGAAGTGAAAACAGTGAGAGAAAGACTATGTATGATGTTTACATACTTAATGAAATACGAACATTGACGAGCAACGGTATCTTATTATAATGAAAAATAATTACGGTACCACTTGAAGTATTTTCTAAAATGAGAAAAATGAAATTGATCATAATTCATTCACAATTATGAGAAGAAGAAGAAAACAAAAATAATCTAATGTAAGCAGCATCTTGCGTAGCTTGGTGCAGCATAGTAATGGAGATGCAGCGTATAAAATCAGAGAAAACAATTAATATTCTACTTGATTGATTCCATTAGAGCTGAAGAAGTCCTTGATGATGACGGATTGCTGTTCTGTGTGCCATTAGTGGCCTTTTACATAACGACGCATTTAGCACAATTGAAGAGAAATTCTAAAAAAAAACTCTTCGTTAACGAAACTATTACCAAATATTTTCTGAATACTCTTGAAAGTAACGTAAACCAAACCGACGCTATATTTTTCAGACACGTCTTGTGTACTTGTGTCGATCGGCAGTGACGAGGTATGAATAATCATATCAGATTTTTTGCATAGGAGACCTATTTAACCAAGAAGTTAAATTTCAACCATTGGCAAACGGATAGTTACAAAACTAGTCTTTACACAATATTTTAATCAGAGATGGATTTAGAAAAATATTTTTTTCTTTCTTTAATGGTTCTGCTCATTTAATGATAATCATCACTTTCTCGGATTAGAAAGCTCAACTTTTTCAAAAAGTTCTTTTTGTTTGTATTATTAGCACTTTGTGCACTAGTCACAACTATCTCTCGTTGTTTTAGCACCCTTAACTGGTGTACTTATTCTATTAGAACAACAGAAACGCTTGAAACTCATTCACAGAACATTCTACTCTCATACACGTCCTTTTCTTTTTCGAAACCATGCTCGCGGGAAACGATGTCGCATCATTCTCGCTGATCTGACTCTATCAAACATTTCGAACTGAAATATTGCCTTACAGACGCTAATTAGTTTTTATCGCCGACAGTTTTGAATTTAAAAAAAGAATAATGCTGAACGTGTGAGTTCAATCAAATTTATAGTATAAACTAAGCCATAGTACAGACATTTTTATAGGATCAAAAATACTTAGACATCATTATTCAAGGGAAAGACGAATAAAACAAAACAAACACAAAAAAAAACTAGTGAGCCATCTCAAGTATTCACTAGCACTAGTAACAACATGCCTCCAACGAGCCGAAAATAATATATCAGAAAAACACTGACGGCAAAGCATATCAACTGCAGTTCATTTTATAATTCGATACACTGCAGAAAAAGAAGCTGCTCTGCATATTTTTATCTGAGAAAACTTTTTCTTCTCTCCAGAAAATATATTCACGCTCGAAGCATTATAGAAATTTTCTTAAAATTAGTCAATGCATTACTCTCTCAAAATTCAACAAAAGTACACTGGTTCCTTCAACCAAAAGGAGTCCATTGCCCACGGAAAAATATACTATGTATGCTTACACTGGAAGCAAAGATAAAACATCTTGGCTATGAATATAGAGTTGCCACCCTCATTCGACTAAAAGCACAGTACCTCATAATAGAATATAGATGCGACTTGCAATTATCCATTTCAAAACTACCCAAATAATAGGTCATATGATCACAGTAACATCAACTAGAAAAGATATATAGCCGATTGTTCTTTAGCATCTACGTTGTCGTTCAATATTTGACTAAAAAAAGTATTCCTGTTGAGCAAATTTTCATTGTTTCTCACAAAAAAATCAAGAAAATAATATTTTCTTTTCTGGACTTTATATAGCTTGAGGTCGTGTAGAGTGAAGAAGGAGTATTTGTTCTCCTATTCGCGTGAAAACAAGGTTAGCAGGAAAAAACGTAGACGAAACGAATAAGTTTCGGTCCAGTCCCCAGCAAAATTAGGTGATCTCAGCTGAACATATGTGCTTCTACGTATGAAAAAATTAGTGAATTTTTTAAAATCATCTACAAATGAAATTTCATCGAAATATAGATAATCAATTTGTTCAATATTGATTTCATTGAGAGAGCGGTCTTCAAAGTATATCCAAAGAAATCTAGTGATGCCAACAGTGAGATCACTAACTTAAGACACTCCGATTAAACAAAAGATAGAAGAAAAATTTATCTACTCTTTCAATCTTTGTTTTCGAAATTCTATTGCAAGCTAAGAAGAGTAAAATGTATTTTTATCAAAATCAACGTGATCGAAGAACTATTTTTCTCTACAATTTTTAACAAAGCACTGTTTACAAAGCATGATCTTGAGAAATTCTATTGAGGAAAATTAAACATAATGAAAAAAAAAAGATTTCATGTGAATGCAAAAGATTTTAATAGCCGCTAGAGAACAATTTTTGTTCTGTGAGTTTAGAATGCGAATTTTCCACACCCTCAACTTGAAAATACTCCTGGACCTCTAAATCATTGTTTTACGCCTGTATTGAACTAAAAGAGTGTCCAACTCATATGTATATAGTTCAAACTTTCTATTTTTAAAGGTCACTCGAAAGTAAAAACAGAAGAGACCATAACTTATATGAAGCTGTGGATAAAACTTTGAACTAATCGAGAGATGAAGTTAGCTACCTACCCTACTCAAGGTTCAGTGATGAATGTGGTAGTTTTACAAAGATTTATCGAGCACATTCTACCTAAAGATACACAAGATGAGTGAGTTTTTTTGGATACCATCACGCACAGATTTTGATTAGGTAGTAAAAAGACTGGAGTTTGATCACTTATCAGCTTCCTTACTTAGTCAAGCCATAATCCCACATGTCTACATCTATTTGTTTACAATATTTTCATAGGAGAAAATGCAGTCGTAGTCATTGAAGCAGAAAAAAGTTAATTCCTTCTGCTTGGCAGAAGTATTAGAACAATGTTGATTTGATTGAAAAATGAATTTCTACAGTTTTTCCAGAAAAAATGTGTGGCTACTTTGTATTAGAAACGGAAAAGTGATCGTATAGTAATACGTATATGAGAAATATTCTTATAATAATATGATTAAAAAAATTCATTTTGTTTTCGATAAGTTTTTATCATGCGCGGAGAAGTGTTTATGTAAATGTGGAAGTAATGTTCCCGAAATAGCATTGGAGTATGACTTATCATGACTAAGAACTTACAAATAATTGTAGCAACCTAGTTGTGAGTAGACCGGGAAAATATATAGATGAGTTAATCACAACACGTGAGCATGAGAGAACATACATGTTTTCTGTTCATATAAATACTAAATAGAAACGCTTTTTTTGTATTGTTCTATTGAATAACTTGTAATCCCTATTAAAATTGATTCTCACCTGATCAAGTAGGATGTCATAAATTTAATGAATTCTCTTAAAGTTAGTTAGCATTATTCATTTTTACAAGCTGAAGAATTCAATGACGCAATATCTCAATATGATTATTTGAATAAGAAACATCTATCTGTTAAATATTTAATATAATGATTTTTTTACAAGCATCCTATTTCAGTGCTATTTTAATGTAAGCATAACTACTAAATAATTATACCGATTTTTACTACTGAAAGATCGATTATTAATGAGATGAAATAATAAGTTTATTCGTGGATCGAAAACAGCTATGTCGGACCAAGATTTTCTTGTCCTTGTAGATATTTGTTTAAATGAATCCTAATCACTTGCACTATAACCCAAACGGGAACGCGCCATTATATGACAGAACTGTGCCCAACACTCAAAATTTGACTGAACGACGAATTGATTCTACTACAAATCGGAATGTTGTTTGGGAGCCTTACGGAATTAACACTCCAAGAGGGGTGGTCACTAATAATGAGCCGATGCAAACTCAAAATCCCAATCAACGACGAATTGATTCTACTACAAATCAGACTGTTGTATGGGAACCTTATGGAATTAAGAATCCACGTAGGGCAGTCACAAATGATGAGCTAATGCAAACTCAAAACAGTAAAATCGACGAAGGTTAGTTTAATAATACTTCTTCTACATAGGTTAACGTCAACTCTTGTAATTACTTTAGATTGGCTCCATGCATATGCAACATTCTCACCCTATAGAACATCGAATCAAGACTATGGTTATCGAACATCGAATATTCATTTCATTCCAAATCAGCCGAATAGCTACAATCAAGTATGTGTTTACTAGAATTTTACAATCTGTATAAATTATAAATCATGAATTTACAAGGTACCAAATGATCCACGTCAAAATTCAATGAATGTAAACACAAGTGATCGGGATTTCCCACAGTCGTCTATGTTGAATCTTCTGGCTAAAAATGGCTTACCACCACTTGCATATAGACCATCGAAACGATCTCAGGATGCCTAATAACTGAAGTAAACTTTTGAACTATTGTTCCAGAAAATTGTATTAACGCACCATTTACATTATGAACGATCGCAAGACTTTGCTACATGTTGGTTCTATTTTTAATTTGAAACTATTATGCGAATCATTCCTGTGATTCCGTATAATAAATTCTAGATTGGATCTTTTTCTCTCCGAATCATTTATTCCAAGCACTTTCTTTAAATAAATACATTTGCAAAGAAAAACTGGTGATGAACCTATGTTCTATATTAAGTCATCTAGCGTTTGAGACGATCTGTGTAACATTGTTTCAGTTATTTAAGACATTGACTGCATTTCTTTTTACACCTATTTCGACTAGAATATCAGAATTTTAACTAATATTACTTAGTTTTTGCAGAACACATGATTGCTTGTAAATCTACGAATTGATTATCGCTAACCAATTCTTCGTTGACACTGCCATTAGTTTACCAAACTCAATGATAATGAATAGATTTCTAACGTAAGAAATTGAACTGACGTGAGTAGAAAAGCTCTTAAGCCCCCCTCAAAAGTCGATTTTTGCCGAAGAAAGTCCAAATCGGCTGAATTTTTCAGGATATGTTAGGACTGGAGCGGGTAGCCTACGATAAAAATTTCAGCCCGAAATATGCAAGTTTAAGGAAGTTATAAAGTGAACACTGGTTAAAAATGACCCATTTTTTCATCCTAGTTATTTTGCCTTCAACTATGTTTTTTCGAAAAATTTTTTTTACCTTTCGATAGAGCATGCAAAGATGCAGGGCATCTCGTGCTTTGACTTTAAAAAAGTCCATTCTGTAAACCAAAAACGTTTCCGCAATTCAAAGTCCTTGAAAAAAGGCCAAAAAACTGCAGATGAATTTTGTAGGCGACCTTGTTTGGGCATAAAAAAACCTTTTTCAAAAATCGGAGCACGAGACGCCCTGCGTGTTTGCATGCTCTATCGAATGGTAAAATAAAATTTTTGAAAACACATAGTTGACGGCAAAATAACTAGGATGGAAAATGGAAAAACATGATTTTGAGACAAAACAAAAACATTTTTTCGAAAACTTTTTGCTGTTTTTTTAAATTTTCTGCAATTTTCACGTGGTTTTTGAGAAAACTGACCTAACTTATCCTACGTAACTTTTAATTCTGCACACGCTGAGCGCTTAATTAACTAATCAGTAACTAGATGATCAAAAAACTCAAAAATCGTTTTTTTTTCGAAAAAAATCGTTTTCGACATAGAGAACCTCTCATAGATCACTAAAAATTTCGGTCAAAAAATGGTCTTTGAAAAAAAAACTATAGTGATTCTGAAAGAGCAGAACATGGGCTATCACCTCATGATGTTATCTCAATTTTCATTTTTTTGACGAAAATCGACTTTTTTAGGGAGAGGGGCCTTAAGAGTGAATGTGGATGAGACTGTAAGGTCCACTTCGCGCTTCATTACAAATTCGCATACAGATAAGTACTCATCCGCAATCATGCCCACAAATCAAGCAATGAGATGACTAGCTAAGCGTGCGTGAGGAAGAAGCAAGAGGCTTAGGCGACTGTCATACTCTGAAAATTTTGAAAGCAGTACAGATAAGCATCCCTTTCATAGGTCGATATATTAATTTAATGTTTTTGACTAATATACCCCTGAACTACAGGCAATTTTTCAAAATTGATAAATATTACCTTTATTCTATCCAAACAGTTTCTATTATATTTAGTAATCAAATGCTAACAATTTCGTTCGATTCATTATCAAATGAGTTTTTTGTAAATCCAAAAAAAATATATTGAAACCTATTCAATAACCTCATGTTGTCACACCTAAATTTTATAGATTATCTGCGTATAGTGACATAAAGATTTAACTGATAATAACATTTGCAATATATATCTCATTAATGTATATTCTTTTCATACTTTTTATTTAGATAATTGCATACATGTACATGTTCTTGATTTAGTTATACTTTTAAGTAATTAGCAGTATACATAATAGCCATCAAAATTGTAACAATAAAGTGATTGTACATTTTTTTCGATCATGAATTCAATAATAGAATTGACGAAAACTAGACGACCATCGATTATTGATACAGTGCAACGAGTTCATTCTCAAGACTTGTTCACATTGCATCCTTTCAATAAAATGCACTTTAATATCAGGCGAGAGAGCAGACAAAAGACAAATATTGTATGAGTTGCCACAGGCAGAAGAATCCTTCCGATCAAATTCAACAGGATTCTGATTGAATTTGATATAGATTTCTGTTAAACCAACGAATTCCTATCGGAAATCCGAGCAGAAGAACGGCATTCCGATCCATAATTTTGGCATTAGCTACTAAGTAGAGATCAATTTACTAAATAGAATTTAACCGTCGGAGCCGTTAGTGGTTCTTAAATCCAGAAACCCACGTGATTCTGTCGACTGGTGAAATCATATAGGATTTGATCGGATTCGATGTTAGATCCATTCGCATGAGCAATCGAATTCAGTTCCTTAATTAAATTTAAAAAAACAGAACTTTTCTCAATATTTAACGTAATCTTTCATTTACGCTCTGGCAATGTATGATGAAAGTTCTGCGTTAACTTTTTTATCAGAAAAGAACATAATTCGAAAATTGTTCTATACAGTACATAGTCAATGACTTGACATTCCTTGGAAGATAGGATGGGTTACCTATCATTCTAGTTATTCACCTAGGTGCTAGATCTGTTCATTTCTAAAACTTGGTATTCGTGTTGCAGATTTTTAAATTTAAAATTGCTTATCCTTAAAAGAAAGGTACCCGTGAATGGAAAACCTATAGCAAGTTTTCACTATTGCAATAAAATGCTCATTGAACTATGAAATTGTATAGCTTTGAGATAAAACTTCCCTTATCATCAAAAACTTCGGCAACAATGATACTTACATCAAAGTCTTGCCAATGACACTGGTTCACATGAAGTCAAATATAGTTTGTGGTTGCATAGAATTATCGTATACATATGTCAGCCGCCGACTGGTTCCATTTTATTATACATCCGTAGAGATAAAAAGAAATCTTTTTCATATTATAAAACGTGAAACCACGGGATCGTCTGTTTCAAAATCGTGTTTTTCATTCTATAATATGTTGTGTGAAAGATATTTTAGTACAATAATAAGTCCTTTTAAGATTCATTGTCATCAGCAATGACTGTAAATTGTTTATATTACAGAAACCCTTTTTCTTCTTGTTTCTTGATTTTGTTTTATTTTGAAAATGAATTGGCTTTAAAATAAAAACAGAATATTGAGATGATTAAAAAAAAGAATCAAAGAATGTGAATAGAATATAGGCAGCCCTTGATAAGAACAGAATGTATAAGGCATTTATGAAGTGTGTGCCTGTAACAATTTAGAAACAGTAATCATTTAATAGAGTTTGTCCACTTTTTAAATTCACTGCTGCAACTCTTGTTTCATCAACCTTGAACTGCTATCACAGACGTTCTTCTGCACCATAATAAGTTTCAAGGTTGATAACAATTCTAGTATCTATTCTTGAATAATATATCCTTAAATAAAAAAGTTATCAATTTCTAGGTTATGCCTGAATAAAAGAAATTTCCATTTCCCTGCCATAGACATGTAACAACCGTCACTTCCGATAGAAAGTCGCCGTGTAGTTTTTTTTCTGCTGCATTGTGATTAGATGAGTATTCTGAGTCATCCGTGGTAACGGCGTTGTTAACATTTTGCTAAGCGAATCCGCTTCCTTACTTTAAACTTGGTTTAAAGATAAACAACAGAAGGAGAAAAATGTTCTTCATTTGGAAATAGGTGAGTATGGCTCGTTGCTGCATGTTTTCTAGAAAAACGTGATGGAATTTTTATTGTCCCTTTATCTTCAGTTAGGAAATATGGCTTCATCATCGTCGTCACCTTCATTTTTTTCAAACAGAAATGAAGATTTAAAACCAGAAAATATCGAACCATCTGTTCGTGATAGGAATCAGGTAAGTTTAACTATTATAAATTCATAATAGCTAATGAATGAACGAATTGTGATTTAATAGGAAATGGTAACTATGGAGAGTTGTACAAATATGACTCAGCAAACGAAACAATTATGCGATGATGATGATGATGATAAGACATCTGTATCCGTCGAGGAAGAAACAAGTTAGATGACTACATTAGCAAGTGATCTATTCAATATACTTCACTATTTAGAGGTTATTGTCAGACAAGGACAGTCTGCTGTGGAGCAAATCAGGATTCTGAGTCAAGAAGCAACTATATTAGACTCGAATGCATCAAGGCAAGATTCTATCCGTACTCATAACGGCGGTATCTCAGAAATAGATATACCAATAAACAATAGTGGCCCTACACCTCCTACTGTACCAACAACAGGTATGAGAAAGATATAAATAGCATTAACAGGATTTTCATTGTCTACTTCAGATATTTCACAATCTCCAATAAGTGTCGCCAATACACAAAATAGTCAACAAGAATCCCGGCGAGAAAAACACATTATGATAAGCTATAATCAAGCGACATCACTAGCCGTTTGTCAGAAAATCTATGACTACCTGAAGGTGAATAGAAAGAGATACACGAGCAAATAAATTCTTCACAATATTTGAACTGATTCTCATAAATAGGCAAGAAATTACAATGTATGGTTCGACCAAGTTGATCTACATGGTAGTATAATTAATGGAATGGGTGAAGCAGTCGATAATTCTTATGTTATTCTTTTATGCATCAATACAGGTTACGAAAAAAGCGCTTTCTGTAGTATGGGTGAGTTATTAGTTCCTGTTATTTTTCATTTTAATCATCAAAAGGTCTGATTTTTAGAGGCTAAATATGCGATCGAAAAGCGAATTCCTGTAATTCCATGCATGATGGAAGAGAACTTTCGTCCGAAAGGTGGTCTAGGTATCATTAAAAGCGACCTAAAACACATCGAATTTTTCTACGAAGATAAATTTGATGAATCCATGGAGAAATTAATTAGTGAAATCAAGTTTTTTGCAAGACCATTAGGCAAGAGATCAGATAAATCTCTTTTCACTCATCTTTAGTTCATTTCATTGAATATAGAAGATACTCGAACCACAGAAGCAAATATGGGTCAATTGAGTTCAGAAACAACAACAACAGCAACAACAATGACTTCACCATCTACCAATCACACAAACTTCTGTGCGCGTTTTAATACCATCATTTGTGAACATATTTTATCGGTTCAAAATCGATATCTTCACCGGGAAAACCTTAATGAAAATGAATTTGGAAAAGTTTTACATACGCTTATTCAAGAATTTTCTCCTGAAAGTCTGCAATCGTTTGAAACCATTGAACCGATTGTTAATGAGAATAGACATCAACAAGAAATAGACAATGACCGCCTCCTACAACACTTTCTTCAACGCAACGAGCAATTTGCAGAATCTATTCGAATGCAACAACACTACAATGATCACATTCAGCAACATCGTTACGGTCTAGACGAACGATTGGCGGCATTTCTCCGTTTTCAAGAAAAGCAAGAACAAGAGAATACTCGCTTTTCTCAGATTCATGTCAATCACAATGATCGATTGATATCCATCGTGGATGTTCAACAACGAAACTATGCATCTATTCAACAACAATATGCAAATCAAAATGAACTATTAGCACACATAAGTCGTAAACAACAAGAACAAGAACGAAACAACCGAATTTCAGAGCAACTTCTACAACATGTTGAACAGTATACACAACTTTTTGTCAATCAACAACAGCAAAGTGCTCGAGATACTGCAGCTTTGTATCAACTAATCAATCGATCATTGGAGAGAAATGAATCCTTAGAGAGTATAATTAATCATCGTTTGACACCTCATGCTCAACAAGAACCTGCAGAAGGCCGTTTCAATTTTGATACGCTCAACAAACTGATTCAGACAATCATACTCTTGTGGATACTAATTATACTTTTGAAAAATACATAAACATTAAACAATAGCTTGTGGCACAAGGCTTGTGCCACTATTGAGATGTTGTTGTGTGTGCCAATAAAACGGAGATCTTCATCAATCCCTAGCCTACACCCTCATTCAAAGCAAGATTAGTTAATGTAGAATTCTCTATCAACATATTCTATTTGCTATCTTAATCAAACGACTTTTTCCCTAATTTTATTGAGCTTTCTTTGAAAAAATTATTAACACTTTTTCAACTAAGTAATTCTTAGCACAGTGATAAAACTTTCTCTATGTATGGCATCATGTGATAGATAGATACCTTGTCAGGCTTCTTTTCAAGATCTGTGTAGCATAGTTGATCATAGTACTTTTATACTATTCATGATTGCATGTATGCATCTTCTATATAAAAACTTTGAGATTAAGTATGGGGAAGCATCGACGAACGAGATTTATTAGTAAACTAGTATCGATCCAGGCATATTTTCGTGTTGATCTTCTATAAATATACTTCCTTTAATTTATTATGCTCTTTTAATAAAAATAGTCTGAGGTTCAAGAAACAGAAAAACCGTGTCAGAGCCTTCTCGACTAATTTTCATTGAAAACTTAATAAAGTTTGCGACTTGTGATTTTTTATCATACAATTGGTAGAATATTTCAATAATAATCTAGTTTTAGTTTAGGCGATTATTACTGCTACTTGTTGAAATGTGAGACGCAAACTATTTATAACAATATTCACAATAACATACACTGATAATAGCTTTTAAATTAATTAGTTCAAATTTAGTTGTTTTTTTTTGTTCCAGTTCATATTTGCTTTCATCAGCAGTAGAGTTATTTAAGTAATTCTAATTTAATGAATCGATTGATATGATTGTCACAAAGTTGAAAGGTCTAGCACTGCTAGATTAGAAAAACATTTCTTCTTTCTACCATAGAATAATTCTTTGGATAGCTTCTGCTCCGTTGTTCTTATTTTCTTGATTATTGATGACAAGTATTTTTTGTGTCCTTACTGGCTACGAAATGAAATTGTGTTATATTCAGTGTGAGAGATAAAAATTTAGTGTCTCTTCAGAAAACGAAATCTAGATGAAACACTGGATGCAACAAATAAAATGATATAAAGAACAAAGTAAGTGTACGTATAGTTAATAGTCTATTCGTTGCCCATCATGTCATTCCTACTTCTTCGTGAGTCGATCCGTTAGTCTACCAGACGAAGAAGAAACAGATAAAATGTACGTGCAGACACATAATCACATTACTTCTGGATTCGGAACACAGCATCGTCACCCCGTATGATAACATCGAATATTCAAGAAACCTTTCATATGAGAATAATTTGAACACAAGAGAAAATAGAGAGAATAAGCGATCATCGAATTTTTTTTCTTATAGAAGAAGTTTTTCTTCTTTGAAATATGTTTATGCTGTACTTTTTTTTAAGAGATAAAATTGAGTGCTTTTTTTTGTATGTTAACGTTTAAAGAAGTTTTCAATTATTACGAAAATAATAATCTATTGAGTGACTCTCAATTGATAGGACGTCAACTATTTCATTACTATAGCTATAGTATAATAAATAAAGTAGTATGCAATTTTTTACAAAGTTGAATAATATAAAAGTGATAATTGATTATACATATTATTTTCAATTCAACAAATTTGTCTTTACACAAACATCACCTAAATTTATTAATGATAGAGAACATCAGATTTATTTTAGGCTTCTCATTTACACTTTACATTTATATATGGCATATATATGTATGTGATCATTTTGACGCGCGTCTATTATAATTGCCTATAGGGGCTTCAGTTATTTGTGTTTTGATTGGTTATTGATTTAAACCTATCCGTAAAAAATTAACTTCTGCATGAATTTTTTTCTATCGTTGTTGTGTTTCTGCCTCGATATTATATTATAGAATATATTATTTTTTTTCGTTTGTTTATTATCAAAATAACGCATTTAATAATTAGACATATTTTATTTCTCTTTATTGTCGATTAACTGAATCTAGTTGATATTCACATATTTTCTTCAGTAGAAATCTTTTTTTTTTCACTTCCAAATTAATCAATAGGATACAACAGGCGGCTTACATCATTTGACCATATGGTAAATGTTACTCATTCGTAGCGTATTTCAATAATGGCGTTTCTTTAGCTGTTCTGTTGATTAACCTTCTATCTGTCCATTTATTTTATTTATATTCATGTATATATATTTCTTTTAGTGATTGTGTTCCGCACTAATTTTTCCGACAGCGATTATTGAAATGAACTAGCTGTGTCATAAATTTATAAATGAATGCGTAATATTCTTAATTCCTAGTAATAGAAAAGACAGCTATTTATCTGTATCTCGATTTAAACGATTGCATCCGCTTCTAGCTATTCATTCAATCTACTACTGGTCTTTCTCTCTTTCTGTTCTTTCATTTGCTTTTCGTTCTTTTCTCGTTCAATTTAATGTGCACGTTCGCCCTTCATCTAAGTTCTCTTCCCACTTGATTATTGCATTAGTTAACATTTTGGGGATGAGATTGTGAGTGTGAAAGAAATATAGTACATACATGCATTTATATATAATATATATATATATATATATACAACTTAAAAGAAAGAGAGAAAAAATGTCCTTATGTAATCCGCTCTTACTGACAAATTGTCTAATGTTCGTTTATGCTTGTTCAATGTATATCTCATCTTTTCTTCTGCTTCAGCGCACGCCTGAACTTGAACACTCATTATTCTTCGCTCTTACTATAAAAAATACACATATTTCATTTTCAAAGGTTTCACATCTACTGTATATGACTCGTAATAAGTATAGAATGTTTTCTATGGAAGAAATACGTCTTATGCGATGAGAAGCCAGCCAGCATGTGCTGATTTCTTAATGATATGTGTGAATATACAAAACACATAAGGAAATAAATAGAGACGATTCATTTGTATAAATGTCAGAGACAGAAGATGTCTTCTTTTTGATTTTCCTTTTCTAGAGGATTTGCTATTTGACGCCATCGCCAAAGACGACGCACACGACGAACAAATGCCAAAATCGTTGCTATCTCTTATTTTCAATAGTAAGTTGAGATTATTATTTTCTTATTTGAAAACATAAGTGGACCCTAATGTTAGAGTGTCTTCATTTTGTATCGATCGTTCGCTACTTGCATAAAACTATCATGCGAAAAATAAAAGATCAATAGCAAACATGTTGAAAAACTTTGATTCTTTCTTTTAAATAAGTAAGCAGAATATATTTTTTTTTGTATACAAAATCTGGTCTTAAGTTTAGTAATTATCGAATATAAATTTAGAAAGAATATGCAAGTGACTCATTAGTTATTTGCAATGAGAATTTATTTTCATTTTCATAGTCAAAAGTAATTCTAATTTGGTTTTTGCATTAATACATATTTCATGTTTAATTAAAAAAAGAAACAAATGTGATCAAATTTTACAAAAAAAATATTCAGCAGATAAACTCAATATTTTGTCATATTTTAGTTTGTTTCGTGCTGATGTTCATTGCTCGAACAGTTATAACCTATGATAACACCATAATTCAACTATCAGTTTATCCTAATCATGGCTTTTCACCAGAAAAAATTGAAGTTCGTTGTCAAATCACTGAACCATCAAACTATAATAATATATATCTATCAGTGCAAACAGATAATGTTAAACCATCAGGTATAATTCTTATGGTTGATAATACTATCAATCGATGCCGAACAAATAAAAAACAATATATTAATGTCAATATTTGTAATTCATCATTGATACTTGTTCACATAAATCATATAATTCTTAATGATACTCTTGAAAGAATTGATTATGTATGTAGCCAAGGAGAAGTTGATGCAATAAGTTCATATAGATTGTTAAGTAAGAAACACAAGAGTATTAATTCAAAAATGATCTTCTATTTCTTGTCTGTTTGTTTTATTTAGAAGAACAAGTAGCACGTTACTCGGATTTTAGTAACAATAAGAACATCAACAATTCATCATCAACGTTGAAACACACATTTTTTCTACTGCTTTTTAGCCTTCTGACTGTACGAGTATTGACAATAGATGGACTTCGATGATTGTTACAAAAATAACATATTTATTGGCACATCATATTTGTTCTCGCGTGTGTATATGTGCGTGCCAGTCTGTGATAAGAAGGATTTTATTCTTATTTTGAACATTTCAAATTTTAAGTTTAAACATAGAACTATTTTTTTTGCTTGTGTTTATATCTGATTTCTTCCTTGTGTATTTATCATTATCTAGAAGGATTTTTTATTGTTATTTTATTTCGAACTTTTCTTTGTAAAATCAAAATACTTTTGTTGAATATGTCTACACTTAGACACTAGTTGAGAATGAATCACTCAGCATGTCGCTTACTTGCCTATTTTTGCCGGTTCATTTTTTTCTTTTTTCTTCCTGTAAGTGACCAATTCATTAACATTCATTTACTCTTTCTCATTTGTTTGATTTTTTCAGAATATAGATTATCTCTGAACCATAAGCAGAGCAAAAATATTTCGTTATTTTTCACAGTAACTTGTTAATGATGAATACATTTCGGGAAACAACGATGATCAATGTATTGTTTATAGGTTAAAGTATACTTTACAACAATAAAAAAAATTACTCTAGAAGAATTGACTTTAAATGATCCTTCTAACTGTATATTCAAATTAAATAGAATCCTAGTAAGTGAAGTGAATAAAGTCGATGCATATATATGATTGTATCATAATTCTTTTAGTCATGCTCTACTGTTTTTATAAAAAAATGTTGCTGTCACATTCTTGCAAGACATATCGAGATCTTACACCACGTTGTTACGTTCACACATTATTAATAGATTATGAACGATTGTCTCTATTTTTCTTTCATAGTTGACTTGAGCAATTATTGTACTGTTCTTCTCTAGATTCTACAGATAAATGTAATGTCAAAGAAAGCGTAAAACAGAATGAAGATAATTGTAGATAACCTAAATTTACGGATGAATTGCTTCCTGATGCTGTATCTGTGTACGGTTGTCCTTTTTCACAAGCTATACGTTAGGGTTATTTGAAGATTTTTCCTTAATACTCACAAATAAGAAACAATACGATGTATATGAATGCATTGTTAAAAAAGATTTTCAGCAGAGATTCTGTGTAGATATTTGTAATTTTTTAATAACGAGTAGTACCGAAAGAAACGCAAGTCATATTTCTCCAAGAATTTTTTAATTATTCTTCTCTGATCCTAATTTGTCAATTTGCAAACATGAATATAATTTTTTAATATTCCTTCTGATTTCAACAACACACACACACACACACACACACACACCGTCAAGGGATGCCTAGTTCGAATTCGAATATAAATGGACACTCAACTGCATGGTATCAATTCGAAAATAAGTGATAGAAATAGATTTAGTTTAAGATGAAGTGGGTGTGGACTCAGGGAGCTGAGGGGTAACTGTGGGTGGCGGTGAGTGTACCCGGGGGACTTCAAATGTGGGCGATGAGTATCATGGAGGAGTGCTCAAGCGTGGGTGCGGGCGAGGGGTGCAGGTGGGCTATCTTGAGGGTGTGGGTACCAGGGGTGGTGCCTGGATTGTTTACGTTGGGGTGTGGGTCTGGTTGTAGGGGTATATATGTGTTTATATGTCTTACATATCAGAAAGTTAAACTAAAATTAAATATATTCCTAGATTTATCTAGTACTTTTTCTTTTTCTTTTCTCCATTTATATTCGAACTCGAATTAGACAGCTAGTCATAGTTTGCATCAAATAAGAAGCATTTACAATACTACTCTATCATTTCGCTCTTTGATATTTTCATCTAGTAGATTTTTTTTTCAAGTCATATTAATCGTTGATAAACCTTAACTTTGAATGACCCTACAAATTCTACATAGGGCTTGCAGAAATGAAATTGATAATAGCGCTCAGCTGCTATTACAATATAGTTTTCTTTAAGACCCAAAAAAAGACGATGAAATCATCAGTTTGAAAAAACGCAATTTATTATCGTTAGATATTGACAAGACCAATATTATATGAATTCAGATGACATTGAATGTCTCTTATAATGGCTTGATACTCGCTGGTTTCCTTGGACTTTTCTTAATTTTATCAACAAATCTCAAAATTCAAAATACAATAGTGTATTCACAAATATCGAAATGAAATTTTACAGTATGATTACAGTAAATACAACATAACCTGTAATGATTGCTTTTACACTATACTATATGACGGTTTGATTGCATATAGGGGGCATTGCTTGTCTTTTTTATTGGTTATCTATTTAAACCTATCCATAAATAGTAAGAAGTCAATTTTTTCCATCGTTGTGTTTATGCATTTATTAGATATTTTGTTTTATTATTTTTGATTGTTTATCAGTTGAATAGGATAGATAATAAATAATCAAGGAGTATTAGTGCTTTATTTCATTATCAATTTGCTGTATTTATTCGATATTTATATATTTTATTTTTCCTAAATCAATACTTTATTATAACGGATGGCTGACATTATTTAATCACCTGGCACTGGCACATGTATTTCATTCGTATGGTAATATTATACTTGTGTTACTTTAGCTATTTTATTGGCTAACCGGTTATCTATCCATTAATGTTATTTGAATATTTTCCTCGAATGTGATGAGTACTTATCGTTTTCCGAAAGCAACTATTGAAATGAGCCAACTTCGTCGTAAGTTTATAAATTAATAAACAATTTTCCGAATTCATATTAATTTAAGAACTATATGCTTATTTTCATTTTAATTTTAATTTTAAAGGTTCCATACGTGTTTTTGAAACGTAAAATCTACTACTGGCCTCTCTGCTCTTTCATTTTCTGGTCGTTAATTCCTGATTCTACTCAATATGTACATTTGCCCTTCATAAAAATTACCTAATGTCTATGTTACAAATGAAAAAAATAGCAGTTTTCCAGAGGAAATTGTAAGATTTGATCTTTTCCTGAGTTTCCCTAGTTCGGACAGCAAATTCACATGAGTCAAACAGAAGAAATATCCTTGTGTGATTCATTTTTACTGAAATATTGACTAATCTCTACTGATTCTGTTTCAAAGATCTCTCAGTTTTATTTTCTATCGTAGAATACGTCTCCACCTGAACACTTATCATCCTTAGCTTTCGATACAAAAATATATTCTTTTAGTAGTTTGAAAGTTATTATTGCACTGAATTCATATTTTTAATATGAATGACATGTTTTTTACCCAGAGAATTAGTCGTATACAGTGAAAAATCAGTGGAGATATACTGATTTTCTCAATGATACTTACCTATGAATGTACTACAAAGATAGAAATAGGAATGATTCATTTACATACCTTTCAAAAACAGAAAATGTCTTCTTGTTTCTAAATGATTAATTATTGGAAAATTTCATGCCATCACCACAGATAACTACGAACTATCACTATCGTCGTTCGTATTTATTTTGAATAATAAATTGAAATTATTACTTTCTGATTTAGAAAAAACGTGAGTAGATATTAAAATACAAATTTTACAAAGATTTTGGAAATTATAGAGCGCTCATTTGAAATATAATCCTACATTCAGAGGAAGATACTTTCTTGTTATACCATGAAAGGCGATGTCGTAATAACTGCTTCTTATAGTTTATGAGCGTCATTCTTGATATATATATATATATACTTATATATGTTAAGGCTTAGTAAGCGGATAGTGAAGAAATATGTAGTAAAATAGATAGAATAAAACAATCTTTATAAGATTATCAAAAAGCAGTTGTATCATGTTTCATATATTAATTCTGCAGAGCTTTTGCTAATATCTTCTGTGATCTTAAAACATGAATCGATACCAATATAAGACTTTTTCTCATATCACATAGGTTCGTGAACAAGTGTATCAACTTATGAGTAAAAAAATCCTATAGTCAACATAGTCAAATGACATAGTACTCTTATGTAAAACAATTGCACACGATACATACTTCTATTTTAAATCTTAAATTTCGTAGTGATCTGATATAAACGACAATATTGAAAGATGAATTGTTGATCATTCAAAAATAATAATTTTTCTCGCTCGCATAGTCAAAAATAATTTTGATTTGATATGAATATCAATTGAATGTGTTATTAAAAAATAAATGAGTATAATCATATGGAGGAAAACCTATCAAGTGGATAAATCAATCGTTTTTTCCTTGTCTATTCTAGTGTGGTTCCTTTTGGATTTTACTGATCGAATAGTTTAAACCTATGAAAAAAACTATAATTCAATTTTTGGTTCATCGAAATATATCCATATACTTAATTAAATAATTGAAATACGGAAATAAACTCATATGAGTAATAATTCAAGCAGCTCATACTAAATCATCAGGTATTGTCTTATGTTTAATGGTACTACGATCAATCAATGCCAACTAAATGAATAAAAATATATTAACATTTATATTTGTAATTCATCATTGATACTCATTCGTATAAACGATACAATGTTTAATGATAATCGATCAAGAATCGCTTATGTACATTGTCATGGTGAAGTCAGTGCATTTAGTTCATATCGAATACTAAGTCAGAATTAAAAGAATATTTTAGAAAAAATTAAGATGTATTTATTTTGTTTTCTTATTCTATTTATAAGAATAAACGACATTCTACTCTGATTCGAACATCAACAATAACAACAAATCTTCATCGGCACTGTTACACGTTTGAAGTAAAATTCTTTGGTCTCTCAATTGCAAGAGTAACGAAAATAGACGAATTTGTATGGTTCATGCAGTATTAAAGTAGTTGTCACGATGAGTCAACGTGTGTGCATGTGTTATGATCTGTTACACAAAACATTTTGTTTTTAAGATTAAAAATTTAACTTTTCTACATGAAATAATGTTGCTATTATAGTTTCTCAATTCTTTTCTTTTTTGTTTATTTATCTTCATACAGTAAAGACATTTTTTCTTTCATAATTTCCGTCGCAAAGTTACGAATAACCTTGTGAACCATGTATGCATTTAGACCATCATATGAAATGAATCGTGAAGTGTATCATTTTGTTATCCTTTTTCTATATTTTCTTTCGTGTGATTGAATGAGTCAGCAGTACTTCTCATCTTCGTTTTCTTTCTTTTGTTTTTTTGAAAGATAGTTTATCTCTAACCGATAAGGACTGAAAAAAATATTTTGCTCTTTCTAGATGGCAACCAGTTATACTTCAGTATCGCAACGTGAGCGTAATGCTCAAGCTTTTTTTCCGAATTCGGCTACGCACGCCGATGAATGTCGTTTCGTGTGTATCTATCCAGCTTATATAAATGCAAAAAAAACACGAGCACAAGGTCGTCGAGTTGGCAAAGCAAAAGCTATCGACAATCCATCGGTTAATGAAATACGGGATATTCTAGAGAATGCTGGTTTAAAAGTCGTTGCAGAAGCGAATCGTTTATATTGTCGTGAAGAATCACGTGAACCGCAATATCGCGGCCGTGTTCGCGTTCAATTAAAAAATGCTGATGGCATATTATTGAAAGAACAATTTAAAACAAAAGATGATTTATTATTTTATCTTGTTGACATGATACCAAAATTAAAAACACGCAGTGGCAATCAACAGCAGCAGCAACAAAATCAGCAAGGCGGCGGCAAGGGCAAGAAGCGTTAGATATTTCCATAATGGACTTTTTCTTTAATTAATCGCTTTTATTGTTATTTTATTGTCTTGAGAAAAAAAGAAAAAAAAACATACGCGTATCAGCTCCATTCTTTATATGAATAAGGCAAATAAATTCGTGAATTAGTTTTTAGATCTGTGATATATTGGTGTTTGATTCCCGTACCTTCAGTGTTTTTTTGCGCTTGAGCGCAAAAAAGAAAAACAAATAAAAATAATCAACAACGATGTTAATCGACGAACAAAATGTCGATCAAATAATCTCAACCATTGGAACAATTCATCAAACGACGATTGACCAACGACCTTATGATTTAACTGAATATCTTACTGAATTTTTTCAATTAATTAAACAACAAACAAATTTATCAAATGTATTTTATTTATTAACAAAACTTTTACGTGATTATATTGATCGAGCTGCATTAAAAATTGAATTTCTTAAAGCAAATTGTCTAGAAACAATTTCTGAAATATTAATTTCTGAAGTAGATAATGAAGATAATATTATATCGATTTTTCAATTTATTTGTGAACTTCTTGTGAATTCTGAAAATGTTCAAGAAAAATTTCTGCATTTTAATGGTTATGAAAAAATTTTTCATTTTCTCTACCATGTACATTCACCATCAATAGAGTTTTTAAATCAATTTCTTATACTTATGACAGAAAAAACTACATTACAAATTGATAGTTCCTTGACACCCGTTGATATATTTGTTCATTTTATAAACCCACGTATAGCTGTTATTTTAATACATTGGATACCATATTTAACAAATATTTCACTTCAACATCATATTATACATTCAATAAATATTATTGTGTCACGTTCATTACAAAATAAAATGATGGCTTGCTCAAATGATATTATTTATTCGTTAATTGATATACTGTTTTCAAATAAATTGCATGATAAAATTTTACTCGATAATATTTTTTCAATATTAGAAAAATTAGCTCGGTTTTCAATTAATACAAAAGAAATTCGTCATATTTATCAACTGTTTAATGAAAATACATCATGTAAACAACAATTATTACGTATTTTAATTACAGCAGCTAAACACGATGATTCAGATACACAAACAATATCATCCTACTTTGATTTGCAAAGATCAAATAGCGTAATGAAATATTTTTTCGTTGAATTATTGAATTTTATTAAATTTTGTTACTTTTTTTTTCTAGGGAATTATTTTACCAATTATACGTCGTTGGCCATCAATATCATCTTCATCATTTCATTTTTCATTTCATTGTTGGCTACGACTTAATAATGAGATTGAAAGTTATCCACATAATGCTCGTCGTCAAGTTTATTCATTTTATTCAGATTCTATTGGCCTAGAATCTTTCATATATAATTCATCAATATATGTTCTAGTGAACGATCGCCGTGAACTGGCTTATATTGAAATAAATGAATGTGATGAATTAATGGATAATTGTTGGCATTCATTAACAATTGTTCATACAGCACAACGTCCATCATTATTTGTTGCTGCATTTCAAACTGTATCTTCATGTCATTTAGCAATCTACATTGATGGTTTATTAAAAAAACAAATTAAAGATTTTAAATATGTGCCGTTAATCAATGATCCAATAACGTCAGCTTCAATTGGTGCACCTAGTCAACGACCACGTGCATCATCGATAAATACAAAATCGGATCCATTAAATTTATCAACAACAATTGCTAAAACAATTCAACCATTGAAAGGCTTATTTTCACCGAAAACACGAAATGTAAACGCACGTCAAGAAAGTCAATTACTGCGTGGACAAAATGTCATAATGATGGAGCCTAATAGTCAAGATGCTACTTTTGGAGAATCGACAAGTTTACATGGGCAACTAGCTTGTGTTTGGATTTTAGCAGAAACATTGAATGAAAGCCAAGTTAAACATTTACATTCCATGGGTAATACTTTGATTTTCATTTTAAAACAGATTTTGCGTGAGTTTGAGTGTATCAAAATGCTTCTTAATCAAAACATAATATAATATCAAAATTCTCTTTTCTCAAGGTTTAGTATTCTGTCAGATTTCGAGAACACGTGAGATAAGTTTTTATTTATCTCTATATATTCATTGTAAATGTTGATTTTGTTCATCTAGAACTTCAAAATGAATATATATAATCACTTCCTCTCAATCACGTATCAGTATGATCTAATCGTTCATACTCGACCGTATACTTAGTAGTCAATTATAATTCAGTTACTGTATAAGATCATCATGACCTAAGCGCAATCCAATAACTAAACTAAACGAATCGATGCAATCAAGATAGACAACTTCTCTTAAATTGAAAAGCTAGAATTTTTGACAACTACCGAGATTCATCAAAACATTCTTCGACTGTGCTACTAAAATAAATGAAGCAATTTTTATCTATCAGTTGTCTGCATTAGAGATATGACATGATTGAGATTAGGAAAAATCTAAACTCAATCTTATTCATAAAAACTTTCTTCTTGATTCATGTATAGTGTAGTGAAATCTGTATTAGAATCTTTTGGTTCTTCTTAAATTAGTTACAAATTGTCTTCGCAATATTAACTTCTTATTAATACTAACTATTTGTCAAAATGTGAGGATGATCTATTCTCAAATTGATCCATTTCCATCGTAGCAGTCTAATTGAAAGGTTTATTAAGTCAGCTGTGAATTTGAAACTCAATTTCGAAAGGAATATGAAGGAAGTGATATAATTTCGTTAAAAAAAAATTTTCTAATCTCAAAAAGATTGACGTCGTAAGAAAACAGACAGCTTGATATTAATTTATCTTCGTTTTGCAATATAAAAAGTTTTTCATTTTAGGTGCTGATTTTTGTCATCAACTTCATCCAATATCAACTAGTGATAACTCAATATCGTCTGTTATATTCGATCTGCTGTCAACTCGTTCTCTTCTTGTTTATCATCCATTAGCATGTAATGGCCAACTTTGTATCGATATATCAGTTTGCACATCTCAAATGAATGGTCGACTTAATAATGGTGCATGTTTACGACTTCGTTCATTTTCAGAATCATTATTGATTTTAGGTGGTTGTCCTGTACTTTATCCATTGTTTGAAAAATTTCAAGAAACTGACTATTTTGATGGTATGTATTCGGATAATGTTTCATCAACAGCAACTTTTGAATCTCCAACGGATTGGATTATTGTTCGTAAACAATCACAAAAAAACTTATCCGATATTGATAATCGTTTAATATCAAATCCAATAGCATCTATTATAAATTTACTTCGCTGTGTTTTATCATCGACATCAATGTCAATTTTAATTGAACAAATGACAAAACATTATAATGTTGAATTATTGGGACAACATTTAAATCGTGTATCATCATTTTTTATCGATCAACAACTACTTATTGCAATTCAACAATTGATTGAATGCAGTCGTTTGAATGAATCATCCTATTTATTAACAAATCAATTAATTCAATATATTTTACTTGATTTTGGCCTATGGAATAAAGCTAAATATGATGTCAGAATATCACATTTACAATATATTGCAGCAGTGATCAAAGATGAAAGAAAATTTTATCGAACAAAATTTGGTGTTCAATATTTTTTAGATATTATTCGACAATATTTCAAGTAGAAAATTTTTCTTCTGTTTGTATTTATTCAATACGGTTTATTATTTTAGTTCGCCAGAAGAAGATCTTGATGAACAAAAACAATTACGTAGTGCTGTTTATGGTATTATGAAATATTATGTTCAACGTAATATACACATGGAAGAACTTAATGCTGTAATATCATCGATATCAACTTTTTCAACATCAAATGATATTATAACACAAGAATTACTTGAATTTAATCTTGCATTGCTTTATCCGCCATCAATATCAACGGATGGAACCATAGGACTTCTTTGTGAACCAAATATGATCGAAGGTCTTTATTCTTTATTGACAGTAAATAATCTAACAATTAAAACAAAAGAAATCGTTTTGAAAATTATTAAATGTCTTATGGATTCTCGACGTGTACCACAACAAGTACGAACACAATTAAGATTAGAAACAAATCATATTGGATTTGGTGGAATTATATCAGATTTAGCACCTGAATCATTGAGTGTATCCATTATACGAGAGATTTTGAATTTAATAATAAACTCGGGTAAGTTTGTCGTCATGTTAATCAATAATATGAATTTAATTGTTTTTTAAACAATAGATTCTTCCATTGATGTTGATCAACTTAATATTGTATTGAAACTGTGTAGTGCTGCTTCACTTGATGTTCGTTATGTAGCTATGCGTAAAGTAAGAAATCATTATTTTGTTGTTTAATTATATCGATTTTTCGGATTGTTTTTCCTTTTTAGTTAATGAGCTGCTTTATCGCACATCCATCTGTATGTCGTTCGTATGTTAAATCTCATGGTTGGCAAGAAACACTAGCTCATTTTTTTGTTAAATTTCGTCGTTCAATATCAACACAATCATCTCAATGTTTAATATCATCAAATGCATCAAATGAGTTTCTTGCAGTAGGGAACACCGATCAAAACAATGATCCTGATAAAGAAAATTCTACTAGTAGAAGTAATGATAAGATTAATTTTGAAAATTTATCAACACGACCACAACTATTCGAAACATCATTGAGTTCAGACGATCGAAAACAAGAAAGAACTGTACGACAACTTGATTTATCACCCATAGCCGATGAAAATGCTCATACAAATTTAAATCGAACAGTTTCATCATCAGCACAGGAACTATTAACACCAAAATCGCGTCGTACATCAATTAATCCTTTTATCGACAGTAAAGATGGAACACCGGAATTTCTTCAAAGAAATAGTGAAGACTTTCAACCAAATACATTTGTAACAGTAACAACACCTTTGCAATCATCTCCAGCTAGTCATGAAGATCTTGTGTCAATAGTTAAAAAAGAAAATTCAACCGATGATTTGACTTCAATGAATGGTAGCAATGATGCTCTATTTCCACTACCAAGATCAACTACTATTACAAGTATAAAGCATCTTTATAGTGATGAAGACAACAATGAGCAGGCTGGACGACTCGGTCCCGAAGTCAGACAGATTTTAGGTTGGCTTATTTAAGAAAAAGAGATTGATTTTCGATTTTCGATCGTTTTGCTGCTCTTCACATTGTTTTCTTTTTATTTATTCGACACATGCTGTAATCGATATAGTTCGAGAGTTTTCATATATATTACTGCAAGAGTTTTCTATTGAGATCAGTATATTGGAAAATCCTAAGTTCGGTTGAATCCGACCGATAATTTTTCATAGAAATTTTGTTTTCGTTACGTCTGATATCTGAAATAGTCAATTGATTAAGCATGCATATAAAAATACGTAGTACGTAGTGTCACATATAGAATTGATAAGTCCATTGTCTAACAAAAGAATCTGTCGAGATAATATGTTTTTGAAAACAAGTTTCTTTCATTAGGTGGAGAATAGTGAAAAATAAGCAAGAAAATGAATGGTTCATCCTCTTATTGATTTCCCCCGACATTATTAATTAATATATCGATTATTAGAAAGAATTTAGAAAAATCCAATAGGTAAATTTTGATTCTAGATGAAATTTTCAGTATAACATTAGGACTAGTAGAGTTTATTATGGATAAAATTACAGGTTCTTCAATAAGATATTGTATACTAAAGATCGAATATTTCACTAGTACTTTAAATCAAAAATACTGTGGAAAAGATTTTGTAATATAAACTGAACTATCTCAATAGTTTTTGTATTGTAGGTTTGACAGAGATACTGTCGAGTGTTTATTTTTGAACATATATTCTGTTACTGATATGCTACTTCAAAAGTAGAATGAGATTTTCTCGATAGATAGTTCCTGACAAATATACTATTTCAAGAATTGTTTTGCTAAATTCATTAAAACTTTGGAATGAATGTTAATCTGCCTTGGAATAGGTAAGAAAACTCAGTGGCATTGATATAACTTGAGCAGAATGTCATAAATAGATGAATCACTCTACGTTGTTCCAATTGGCACTAGGAACTTTTCTAAGAGAAAAATCAATTTTCCAGTTTATTTTTTATTATCATGACATATTTCTTCTTAAGAAAAAAGTTTTGCTTTGTTTTGCTTGAACATGTTATCTTCAATTCTACGTATTTTTTTGATTTTGAGGTGTGGCAAGTACAGAAGATACGTCGTTTTTTGTGCCTTCACCGACAAATCCCGAAGATGGTGGCCTTCTTGAAGAACTCTGCGAAACACTTATATTAACTATTGTGATGGTTTTATGGAAAGGCATTGTCGGTTCTGATGACGAAGCTTGGACTGTTTGTTGATCTATGAATTATTTTCATTTTATGATATCAGTTTTGTTTGATCTTCTAGAGTCGCGGTCAAATTTTTTCAGCACTTCGTTATCTTCATCGTGATCATGAATTTTATTTACCATTGGTTTATATTGAACGGCGAATACTGGAATTATGCATGGAAACATGTTTGAACGACCTGAAAATAAATGGAGGTACGATATTAATTTAGTTTTTGAAATTAGTTTTCTTTGAATCAATCTTTATTGTATAATAAAAATCTAAAGCATATCATGGTTATGACCATCTATATCGACGGCGTATGAGCGACATACGTAAGTTGTAAATGAGAAATGCAGCAAAACACCATTGTGTCATTCACCAAACAAATGTTCTTCTTCTTAACTGTTGTTTTGTTTATTTTGATTCTATTGTGAATATTTTCTGTGGAAAGAAAATGAGAAATTTTCTTTTTTCTTTGATTTAGGTAAAACAACATCAACTTATGAGAATAATTGCCGTGAATTAATCAAAATTGTTGATGATTTTATTTCGCAAACAACTGAAATAAATGAGCGAATAACAGATAACTTTATTAATGGTATTTCTTTCTTTGCTAATTTAAAACAAGAAAACTGTTAAAACTTCTTTTTTTCTTACTAAAGGAATTCTTCCTATATTAGATACGATGCTTATCTTTGAAGAAAATGGTACTGGTGATCAAACAGTAGCAACACTTGTTTCTCATAATGAGCATTGGACTGAGACATCATTAACTGGTCTTAATATTCTTTTAAATCTTCTTGCTCATCCCAATGTATTATTCTGTGGTCCGGCATCTGTCCGTATACATTCGTTATTACATAGTCGTCCCTTGAATGGACGTGAAGAAGCAGCATATTTATTATCAAATGTAAATAAAATCTTTTCATCCATTGCACAAAATGAAGATTGTGAACATTTTACTTATTTATTACCATTAATGAAAACAATTATTGATAAATCATATGAAATTCTTCAAATGAATGTACAAATACCAAATGTACCATTACATAAAGCAACATCAACAGCATTAGATGATTTTCGTCGATATTGTTCATCGCCCGATAGTCAAGAATGGCAAATGTTTATTCAACGACATATTGAACCACTTGCTGAACATTATCGGTCGATGTCTATAAGACCTTTTCATATGAATATGAAAATATGGTGGAATAATTGTCATGAAATGATGATGATTGGTATACATAAACGAAATAGACAAATTGGTGAAGAGAAATTAAAATTTCAAGTAAAATTAGATTTCTTAGAACTAGACAAATCTTAGGCTGATATAAAAAATTTTAAGATTCGAAAAATAATAGTGATGAGTTAATAACCATTTCAAGAGTAATATACTATCATTCATATGCATGATTTATTCAGATAAAATAAATAAATGAAAGTTACTGTTAGAAAACTAATCTAGATAATCTACAAATTATACAGTAGTAAAAATGAAATTTTTTTAAAAATATCATCGAGACTCTCAGAAATCTATAAAAGTAATAAAAAATATCGAGTTCGAACGAAATATTATAAGAATATGCATGATATCTTTGATATTTACTTACAAGAGATATTTAGTACTTGAAATTAAAGTAATTCAGCTTGACGCCGTAGACTACCGTTCTTACGCGTACTCAACATTACAAATCTTGAAGAATTTCGTTCGATTCGAATGTTTGTATCAAACATAGAAGTTGTAATCTTATAACCATTGTAAAGATATATTTATTAACTGAGTTTTTTTGTTCTTATTTGTTTCATGAAATTTTAGAGTCACATTGTCCAGCAATGGTCTATTCGTCGTCGTAATGAGCAGCAGCGTAATTTAAAATTAGCTAAACAACGTCGTATACATCAAACACATGTTGAACAAGAATGGAAAGATCGAGGAAAATATATTCATGGTGAACGTGGTCCATGGTGGAATGAAAACGACAGTAAAGAACATCATTGGATGTTATCTGATCGTGAAAATATTCATCGTATGAGATGTAAACTTATAGAAAATAATGATTTTAACACACATGAGGAAGCCAGCCGATTGAGAGATAACTTAGGTATTGATTCAATAGCTGAATCACGTAAATCATTACTTGAAGAAAGTTTAAAAAATAAAAATTTATCAATTCAACAAGAAATTTTATATGGAAATTCCATGGATGAACAAGAGCTTTTAGCTGTTTCAAATGAAACTCAATCGTTATTACTTGAAGAAAAAGAAAAAATGTATGTTGACAAATAATATTACAATTATATTTTTTTTATATCGTTGAACACGAGCTGGAAAAAGAGCACCGACTCTGTAGATACAATTTCAGATGTTCTGTCTTCTACAGACAACTTATTATAACGCTTTTGTCAATCACAAATTGTAATAGATACGACCCTAGAACTAAAGTCTGCTATTAGACAGCTATGAATTATGTTGAAATTAAAGGTGCTGCTTCTTCATCAGACAAAATTAGAGATTCTGCGCATTTTAAATTCTTTTTTCCAGAAATCTACCCTATATTTGTGGTTTTAGCAGTTGAAGATTTAGCATTTGAATAAATAAATTACTTTTCCAAAGACAAAAACGAAACTAGTCCGTAATAGAATATAATTTTCAACTGAACAACAATGTGAGCAAGAACGGTAACATTATATTTTATAAGCGAAGCCCCTCATGTTTCTATTCAAATATAATTTTCTGTAAAAGAAAATCATGACTTTTTATTCCAGCAGAAAATTACTAATTAAAATCTCGTTTCTAAACTCATCTTAACATATTAAGAGCAGCATCTTTCTTTATGCACATCTCAATTCTGTGAATGGTAATTCTTTGTGTATTATAATAACAATTTTGTTTTAATCATAGGATTATTGGTACACCATGCTCATTAATAACTTCAACATTCGTTACAGAGGGTAAACTTGAAATAACCAATCGATATATTTACTTTTTTGATTCAACACCGCAAAAAGCATGTCAAAATGATTTCAAATATCCATTATCATGGTTACAAGATGTACAGTTACGTCGATATAATTTACGTCCATCAGCATTAGAATTTTTTCTTCTAAATCAAACAAATTTTTTAGTTAATTTTGATAAAAAATTACGACGACAAATTTATCAAAAAATTATGTCATTAAAGTTGCCTGGGATGAAGAGTGTGTTTTCAAATCTATCGATGTCAATGACACCGCAAGGAATTCTTAAAGAATCAAAATTAACTGAAAAATGGGTTACACGAGAAATATCAAATTTTGATTATTTAATGATGTTAAATGCAATTGCAGGACGAACTTTTAATGATCTCAATCAATATCCTATTTTTCCTTGGATATTGAAAGATTATACTTCAGATGTGTTGAATATTAATGATCCAAATATTTTTCGCGATTTTTCTAAACCAATTGGCATACAAAATCCGAAACATATTGAAGATGTTAGACTTAAGTAAGCTTGATTTCATGCTAACTAGTAATATTTATTTTTCTTTTTGAATAAAGATATGAATCATTTGATGATCCAACTGGTTTAATGAAAAAATTTCATTATGGTACACATTATTCAAATGCTGCTAGTGTGATGCATTATCTTATTCGAATGGAACCTTTTACTACCTTGCATATTCAATTACAAAGTGGAAAGTATGTAATTAATACCTGATTATGTAGATCTCATTTTACTGTTGTATAGATTTGATATCGCGGATCGTCAATTTCATTCTTTTCAATCGGCATGGTTAAATATAATGGATTCTCCCAATGAAGTGAAAGAATTGATTCCAGAATTTTTCTACTTATCAGAATTTCTTGTGAATTCAAACAAATTCGATTTAGGTAAACTTCAAATAAGTAATCAAATATTAAATGATGTCCAATTGCCACCATGGGCTCACAATTCTCCCGAAGAATTTATTCATACTCATCGTTTAGCACTTGAGTCTGATTATGTTTCAACTCATCTACATGAATGGATTGATCTTATATTTGGTTATAAACAGACAGGTCAAGCTGCTATTGATGCTGTTAATGTATTTATGTATTGTTCATATGAAAAAGCTGTGGATGTTGATGCAATTGAGGATCCAGTTACACGTGAAGCCATTGAAGGTATGATACAAAATTTTGGACAAATTCCATCTCAACTTCTAACGGAACCACATCCACGAAGACAAACACATGAGCAGGCAGCATTTGAGATTGAATCTCAAGGACGTGCATTAAATGTATTCCAAAACTTGACTCATATACGAGCATTTTTTGTTGAAATAACACCGGAAAATGATAAATTATGTGATCCAATAACATTTATTTCAATACCGAAAAATCAAGTTCGCTCATTTATGCAACAAGGTATTCCTGATACATTGGTTACTGTGAGTGTAAGTGGCGCTGTTGGAAATAATGGTGAGTTTATTCTATTGACTAAAGCAAAAAGACATATAAGTGACCTATTTTTCAATTTATATGTATCATCTAGGTTGGCAACCATATGATAAATCTTTAAGTAATTTTTTTACATTTGAGCGAGATCCAACATTACAAACTGAACGGTAAATTTTATTCATAAACTTCTTACGCAAATTTTATAAGAATCTGAAAATCTTTGTATTTTAAATTTTGAGGGAAAAATACAACCGTAATGAATTACATTTATTTTCAATTAGTTAAACTAATGACTTAGGTCTAACAGATGTTAAAATTCTAATATAGTTAATCAATAGACAAAAGAAAATGTTCTACGTTGTCATTAATTACCAATAAATATCAACAAGTATGGAAACTAATACTAAACTACACAATAGTGATAAAAAAGACATCGGTGGTCATATCATCAACAATTAGGATTAATACCTAAAAATATTAATTATAGCTCAAGGTTGATGTTTCCGACTGATAGAAAAACTGTTTGAAGTTTTATCGTTAACAGAAAAATAGATCGAAAATTTTTTCGAGAAACTATCTTACAAAAATTACAGTCAAATCAGTCGTAGTTCATCATTAAATTAAATGAGCAGGGGAAAGTTCGAGAAGTTTCTCTAATAGGCACTAAATGTACCAAAAAGTGTTTTTTCTGTTATTGTACGTGGATTGAAAAAACATTAAAAGATTATTGAATAAAATTATCGTCACTAAGCAGAGAAAATTTTCATGTTAAAAAGTTTTTGAGGTCACACTAGGAGTATTTTGTAGGTATGCAAAATATGAACGAAAACGGTATAAATGATTTTGAAAAATTCTCGCATGAGTAACCGTAAATGAAAAAGATCATGTTGTTGTTCTCTTCTATCAGAACATACAGTAAATTTAAAAATCAAATGTAATTGATAATGATTAATACGTATTTATAAAGAACATTCATTTCGACATTATAATTAAATCAAAATTTGAAAATTTTCAGGAAAGTCTTCATTGGCTTCCTCTACTAAAAAACAAAAAAATTGCTTCGATTTTTCTTTGAAATGTAAAAGCTATAGATCTCAATATTTGAATAAAAGAAAAAGAAAATTTTCATTGACGTCGATATAATTCTGTTTTGTTTTTGTTTAGAAATCGACATATCATTGCTGCTCCGTTTTTCCCATCACTAGAAATAAATTCCCGTTTATTTGCTGTTTCTCATGATGCACAATTTGTATTCAGTGGTGGTCATTGGGATTGGTCATTACGTGTTTATTCATTAATTAAATCAAAAATGATAAGTTCATTAATTCATCATAGTGATATCATAACATGTTTAACATTGGATTCAACTGGATCTATTCTGGTAACTGGTTCACGTGATACAACTTGTGTTGTTTGGAATATATCTTCCAATGATAGCCGTAATTCAAATAATATAAATGATCAAGAATCTAGTTCATTTATTTCACCTGCTGTTACTCTCTATGGTCATACGTCAACAATAACATGTGTCCATGTATCAACCGAACTTGATCTTGTTGTCTCGGGTTCATTAGATGGTACTTGTAATATGCATACAGTTGAACATGGAGTTTATGTTCGAACATTGCGGCCTATTGGTGATCCCATTATTAATATACAATTATCCACTGAAAGACATATACTTATTCAAACAGAAAAAGATGATACAAATTTATTTCTATATTCAATAAATGGTGGCTTTATTCGAAAAAGAAAACTAGATTATCATGTTATTGATATGATTTTAAGTGAAAAACACATTGTACTTGCTGTTAATCATGTAACATCATCACCACAGACAAATCAAAAGTTGAATAAAAAATCAGCAAGTGTAGTAGCTGCAAGAATTATTATCAAAGATATGTTTGAGTAAGTTAATTTATTTTTTCTTCTGCTTCTCCTGTGTAATACTGATTCTTTCATCAGTAGGGCTAATATATTTCTCATATCTGCAATGCTAAATTTTCAGTCAGAAGTTTAAGTTTGAAAAAAAATTTAAATTACTAAATTAAAGTGATGAAATTTTGAATACAACTGAAGATAAAGAAATTCGCTGTAAATTTTTCTAAAGAAGTCATCAAAATCACAAATAACAAAATTCATCATGACATTGCTAAAACGCAATAGGTTACAGACATTTTATTTGACTATTCCCAACATTCTTTCATTGAGAATGTAAAAGAAGGCGATGAAATCTCATTTTATTTCGAGTCTGTGCCGATATTGATGGCACGCTTCGATGATTCTCCTTCATTCTCTTTCTGTTCTCTTTCCATTGTTCTAATATCTCTCTCCCCTGTCTCTCTTCTATCTCTCTCCTATATATACGTGTGTTACATATAAAGTCGTTACACTCTGGAGATGTCAGATGACACAATACACCATCATGCCGACGGGCATAGGCGACAGTCTCTAGTTTTGTCGTTACACTCTGGATAACTTGAAGTAGTCTAATGAACATCTTTGCCGAGAGTGGCACAAGCTACTCTAATCAAGTTGTTCGTTACAGATTCTACTGCTCTTTTGAGACGTAAAACTTTCAAAGTAATTTTCATTCAATTTCCTGATAGTTGAAACAACGTATCCTGCTTTGTTTTTGAAATAACGAACTTCCATAGTCTATTTATGAAATCTCAATTATGATATTCATTTGATAAAGAGCTTCATCGACTATTGAAAACACTATTCAGTATCATGGAAATAGGCCAAACCTACTTCAGTTTTATATCTTTGAGCTATAATTTGTATTGATTTATTTTTCATGTCAAGAATGAAAACAATTCAAACAATTCGTCTTCATACACATATCAATTGTCTTTACTTTACAAAAGATTTCAGTCACTTACTTGCTGGTGTTAAAGATGGAAAATTAATTGTATTAACAGCTGAAAAAAAAGCTTTGGCAAGAAATGTTATTAAAAATCTTTAAATGCGAAAAAAAAGAGATACATTCCTTATTATTTATTTGGCAATTCTTCTTCTTATTATTATTACTAATTCCAAGTGTCAGATTTAATTCTGTTTTTATGCTTGTAATGGGAAAAAATTCGTTTAGTTTGATCGTATCATCAGTGCGCATTTTGTTTTTACCTTGATCAATTTTCGACTCGATTATTTCTGTTTTTGTGCGTGAGCTTTTTTGTTATGATCCCAGGTCGAACATTCCGGCCACCAGATCCCGTAGGATACTCCAGGGAATATGCGGGAAAGTCACCATATCCTACAGGAAAACACGGGAAATCGCTGGAACATGGAAGCAGTATTCCGGTCAAAAATACGGCCGGACTTTTCCGGCGAATTCCTGCCAAGTTCTGGTGCTTTCCGGCACGACTTGATCGGAAATCACCGGAAAAATTTCCAACCGGAATACTGCTTCCACAAAATCAACGGAACTACTCGGAACCGGCCGTTTCCAGGCCGGACTGTTCGACCTGGGATGCTTTCTCTGATTGTTTGTCCGGTTCTAATTGATTTTCTTGTTTTTATTTCGAAATTATTATTATATTTGTGCACATTATCAACTTAATAAGCACGTCTTTTCTTTTTGAAAACTTAGTGAGCCGAGAAAAAAAATATCTAATTTTTATATTAAAAACTAAACTAAAATAAACAGTGAATGCTATAAAATAAAATTTTAAATTATAATTAAAAAATGTACTCAACAATTGGCTGCAAATTTTTTTGTTGGAAACAGATAATCAAAATGGGTGATGTGTTGATGAAAACTCACTTGTTGAGGGACTGGGCGTTTTTATGATAAAATGATCGATGTGGGTTTCCTATTAATTCATACTCACATCCTCAAGCACAAAAAGCTGATGTAATATATATAGCGAGTATTGCATAGTAAACAATCAGTTAGACGTGATAAGCCATGCACTATAATAGTGAAACTCATTTATAAGAAATATCATGGAAAAAAATGTGTTAACATAGCTCGAAAAAGCATGAAAAATAAAGCCAAACACGAAAACAAGTAACAATAAAATCTAGGCATAATAGCATTAAACGTACAGTGAATGCAACTATGTAACGTGCGAAATACAAGAAAAATCCAAGCAGCAATGACATGTGTACTATCAACTTGTTTCGTTATAAACAAATAAATTGAAAGTGCATAAAACAATACAGGAATTTCAAATAAATTCTTTAGATTATCTGATGGATTCGATACAGCAGGAGGTGATATTCGTGCTAGTTCACCAGGGCGCATAAGTTGTTCCGGTCGAATACTGATTGAATTAAGAAAATGGATACGTCGAATATACATGTATATCCAAACAACAATTGTCAATAGCATTGTAGCAAAAAATGGACCAAAAATCCTAAGTTGTTGTTTTGCTTCTACTCGTAGCATCGTTAGCGATGATTACTCAATTGTATCAAAGAAAAGAAGTAAACTTCTAAAATGCAAACAAACAAATGAAGAATATATAAATAAAATATGGCTGAGCCCAGGTCGAACATTCCGGCCACCGGATCCCGTAGGATACTCCAGGGAATATGCGGGAAAGTCACCATATCCTGCAGGAAAGCCCGGAAAATCGCTGGAACATGGAAGCAGTATTCCGGTCAAAAATACGGGCGGACTTTTCCGGCGAATTCCTGCCAAGCTCCGGTGCTTTCCGGCAGGAATTGATCGGAAATCACCGGAAAAAATCCGAAAAGTTTCCAACCAGATTACTGCATCCACAAAATCAACGGAACTACCCAGAACCGGCCGTTTCCAGGCCGGACTGTTCGACCTGGGAGGTAAGCTACATACAATTCGTAAATACACGAGCGCTATCACCAACATGAATTATGTTGACACTGCTACCAGTGTATGTAGAAATTGTATGTAGCTCAGCGTTTTTAACAGAAATCTAAAACACAGTACATTTAGGTACTTTGCTTCTATTGGCAAAGTGTTAGGTGATACTTTGTGATGAACAATAAAGTACCAAAAGTGACAACAGGAAGAAACTTAAGAAAAACAAAGAAAAAAACATATGCTATTGACCATTTTTAATTAATAAAATGTTTCGATACAAAAAAAATATACAAAAGACTTGTAGATAAAAGATAAAAGATAAAATACACCCATGTCGCTCATTTTTTCTAGGCTGCGTCGTAGATACGCGCAGTGGTTGATTTACAGCATAACTACGCATAAATGCGGCGTAGTGTGCGCAGTTGCTATTGACACTAATCTCTGCGCTC